TGCTTATTACGATCGTCTTCGCAACCGGATCATACAGCCTCCATGCTTTTGATTCTTCACTGACTCCAAGGAAAACACATTTCTTGCTCTTGTCGTCTAGTTTTCTTCTTTTCTGATCGGGTATATGTACATACCCTATGCACCCAAAGACGCGAAAGTATTCCACAACAGGTTTCTTACCACTCCAAGCTTCTTCAGGTGTCATATCTTCAACTGCTGCTGTAGGGGATCGATTCTGAATGTGCACACTCCATCTGGTGGCTTCAGACCAGAAAGTTTTTGGAACTTTCCTCTCACTTAGCATAGAACGAACAGCATTCATTATCGTTCGATTCTTCCTCTCTGCGACTCCGTTCTGTTGTGGCGTGAATGCTGCTGTCAATTGCCGAGTGATGCCATGAGTTTTACAAAACTCTCCAAACTCATTAGAGGTAAACTCTCCTCCTCGATCTGTCCTTAAGCTAGTGATCGCCGTTCCAATCTCCTTCTCCACACTTGCTTTAAAAAACTTGAAGATGGTGAACACCTCTGATTTCTCATGGAGAAAGTATACCCACGTTTTACGAGTGAAATCATCAATGAACGTCAGTATATACCTCTTGTTGCTGTGTGACATTGGCGTGATTGGTCCACATATATCTGAGTGGATCAACTGAAGCTGTCTTGATGCACGCCAAGAACTCTTCTTCGACATTGATACCCTATGTTGCTTCCCGGTCAAACACACAGCACATATCTCCTTCGTGGGCTTCAGAGTTGGTAGCCCAATAACCATTTTCTTTTGTGATAGTAATTTCAGCCCTTTTTGATTTAGATGCCCAAAACGACAGTGCCACAGATTCATCTCCTTCTCAAAAACTTCTTCTGTTTGCAAACACAACGAATTCTTCTGCGGTTTGGTGGCGAGAAGAAAGAACATTCTGTTTCCACTCATGTTGGTGTTCATTATTGCACCTTTGCTTGGATGAAACACCTTGCAGGTTCCGTCGCGAATCAAGATTGCTAAGCCTCTTTCTTGCAGTTGACCAAGGCTCAACAAATTGTTCTTAAGCTCCGGAACGTAATAAACGTCAGGTATAACTTGAGTGATGCCATTAACTTGAACTTTTACACTGCCTATTCCCACCACCGACATCCTTGTGTCGTTTCCGAGCTTCACCGTTCGATTGATTCCTTCTTCCAGGTTGGAGAACCAATCTTTACTCCCGGTCATGTGATTGCTGCATCCTGAATCCAAAAACCAAACTTCATCTCTATTCGCTTGATGTTGTTCCACGTAAGCCATCAAGAGCAATTCTTCTTCCTCTTCTAATTCAGCGTAGTTTGCTTTCTTCTCCCATTCGGGACACTCATACTGAAAGTGCCCTAATTTGTGACATTTGTAGCACTCTACAATTGCACGATCAACAGCACTTCTTCCTCTTCCTCTGCCTCGGCCTCCTCGAAACGATCCGCGACCCCTTCCTTTACTTGGTCTCTCATCTTGAGACACTTTTAGCGCTTGCTCTTCTTGTATGTGTCCATTCATACGCTGCTCATGGACAAGTAAGCTCCCGTGCAATTCATCGATGCTCAATGTGCTTAGATCGTTCGATTCCTCAATCGAACACACAACATAGTTAAATCTCGGAGTGAGGGATCTGAGAATTTTACTCACAATCGTGCTCTGCTCCATCGATTCACCATTCACCTTCATCTTGTTTACCACCGCCAAGGTTCTTCCCAGGAAGATATCAATCTTCTCTCCCTCTTTCATGGCCAGCAATTCAAACTCTCTTCTCAATGCTTGTAACTGTGCCCTTTTCACCTTTGTAGAACCTTGATATTTCTTTCTCATGGATTCCCAAATCGCCTTAGAGGTGCTTTTGTCAAGAATAGTTTCCAGAATCTCTCTATCAATGGACTGGAACAAGAAATTCTTGACCTTCAAATCCTTAAGCTTCGCCTCTTCTACCGACTTCCTCTGCGTCTCACTCGCTGGTGTTGTTCCGACAGCCGCCGTCGGAATTCCGTCCTCCACTAGGCTCCATAATTCTCTGCTTCTGAGAAAATTCTCCATCGTCATGGACCAGAAATCGTAATAGCCATCAAATTTTGGTATGGCTGGCTGCAAAAATTTTTCTGATTTCTCAGACATCTCTCTTTTCCTTTCTCTCTCTTTTCTTCGTTTTCTCTCTCGATCACTTTCTCACACAAGATTTTGTTTTCTTTTCTCTCTCCCTTTTTTTTTTTAAATGGCTCTGATACCAAATGTGAAATGTAAACTGAAAGTGATACTTCATTAACCCAGTAACGATGGCTTTAAATAGCCTTACAGGAATCAAAGGAAACAACAGAAACAACCTAAAAACTAGGAAACAGACTTCCACTACACACTAGCTCAACTCCATGACTCAACTACGTAGTCTCCTAAAGACTCGGACATGTATTGACTGCAGAAAACAGCCAATGACTTATTCAACTAAGGACAACGACCAATTCAAACTTCAACACTTGATAGAGCTGTGATGAATATAAAGAAGGGTGAAGTGGCATTGATGACCATAGAACCAACCAGAGTATGCTTTTGGTGCAACCGAGTTAAAACAGGAATTGGCTGTGGTGCCCCCAAACTCAACCCTCTATTACAAGATTGACCTTGTGGCTTTCGACAAAGTTAGTAAACAGTTTTGGTTGTTTACGCCCGTTAACAATTCAGCGATTAAGGAAATATTAGGTGTCCAACACTTGCTTCTCACTTGAGCTTTTAGGAAAAGGAATCGTGGGATATGAACACGGAGGAGAAGATTGAAGCTGCTGGTAAGAAGAAGGAAGAAGGAAACTCCAAGTTCAAAGCAGGCAAGTAATTAAAAGTGTTGAAGGTGGTGTGTAATCTAAATGACGCAGCCTGCAAACTGAAGTTGAAAGAGTACAAGCAGGCTGAGAAACTATGCACAAAGGTAACTAATTTGTGGCTAAGACTACATATCTTTTAATGTGGGTTTAAAAGCTTGGTGAACAAGAATGATGGTAATAATGGTGGTTTCGATGTTTTAGATATTAGAGCTTGAAAGCACCAATGTGAAGGCTTTATACAGGAGAGGCTAGCATACATGGAGCTAGCTGATTTGGACTTGGCTGAGTTTGTTATATAAGAGGAGATTGTCAAGTTTAATTCAAATGATACGGAGGTGAAGCTGGAGCAGAAACGGTTGAAGGAGAAAATGAAGGAGTTTAACAAACAGGAGGCCAAATTTTACGAGAACATATTTGTGAAACTAACAGTAAGTGTAAGTCTAAGTCCATGGTTGATCTTACTCATCTAATTATGAACCAAAAACTTATCTTTTGTTTTTGTGGTAATGTGCAGAAATGATGTAGCATTATCGTAAACATCATGCTCAGAGAAGAAGAATGGTTTATTGGCTTTTGATATTTTGGTCTTTTTTCTATTTCTTTTCCTTAGTTTTGATTGACTTAAATGTTGTTAGATTTCTACCAATGCACTTAATAAATTAAGCACTTTTTTAATGAGTTTCTCATTTAAATATTAATATTAAATTAATCATGAGAAACCCACATTGGTTTCTACTAATAAACATGTTCTCAAACTATTTCCATTGGAGATCTTTGGCACAGATTTTTAGGTGTTTTGAGATAAAAAAAAAATGAGCGTTAAAAGATCGTCCTTTGTATAAGAGGTTCTAGAGACGCCTCTTAATTGATGTGGCATGAAGGGATTAGCCGATTTTTGTAAGACTCTCTCTCTTCTTGAACAAAATTCCCGAACCTTTTTTCATTTAAATTAAATCTTAAATTTATTACTAAAATAATTTGTTGGGATCTTTAAAGAATCCCTTTATTGGACATACAAGTTCGGCCTATTATTTCGTTAAAGAGTAAGCCGTATGGTTTGGCCAGTTTTACAACTGTCCATTTGCAGATGTTCAAATGCCATAAGGCCCATACCAAAGATCATTGAGTTGGACATGTTGGATCACATGTCAATAAAGTTTTATTTTTGTCATATATATACATTATCTATTCCACATTAGAACTGAAAAGTAATTATTATTTTATGACTTTTTTTTGTCTAATTAAAGTGTATGATGTTATTTTTTGAAATGAATAATAATAATCTTACAGATTTTGTTTTTGGTCAAAAAAAATCTTACAGATTTTAATTGACATACAGACTTTAATTGACAAAAAGAGGGAGAAAAATTGAAACCAATTATGTTTGAAAATGAATTTTGGCTGGCCATCAACATCAGTTACTGTGTTTCAGATAATACTTTTGCTATTTCCTATGTCGTTGTACTGATTTTCATTTTACAGCGAAGACTCGCACACGCCGCTTAATGACAAGCGAATACATTTTCCAAAATGACATCATTATATATAGTACTCATAATCATTAATATTTTGAAAAATGACAGAAGGCAACATAACATATCTTCTTCGGATCCTCATGTTTCTAGGGTTCTGAAACTTGCTTATACGACCTCTTTCATTCAAAGAGGTCTAAACTCTAAGACAATGTTACCACTTTTATTTATTAATGCTTTGTTTATGAAAGTTACCATTTGGGGCGTAATAATAATTACTATTTTTTAAAAAAAATTTTTTAACCTTCAAATGTTTTAAGAACTTAAAGCATATGAGTTTTCAAACCAAGTTGCCAATTTTATTGTCAATTTTCTACACTCGCTCTTGGCGCAACCATCAACCAGTTATATATCTTTCCTCCACCCTAGACCGTTATATATCAACAAATTTACATCAACGAGTTTTTGTATATGAACGGGGTTCCAACATTTTATTTTCCCTTTATAAAATACAATACATACCTTTAGCACCAAATATACATTACCATCGATACGGTAATTATTTTATGTTTTAACTAAAAAATTTTAAAAACACAATAACAAAAGTACGTACCAGCACTCAAAATTAAATACAAAGAGAGGTCACGACAGGTCAAAGCCACAAGTTCGTTGACTGGTTTCATTATTGGACGTATTACTTGCAGCGCACACTATCTTGCCCTAGGAATCATCCCACTATCGAAGATCATGCTCACTTCAGGGGAACTCAGTGAATCCATGCCTCGACTCATATTTCTCCTCGAGTTTTCAGACACGAGACACTCTTTTAGTTCGATAACAACATGAGACATGGTTGGTCTTTTTGCTGAAGTTGGATCTGCGCACGACATTGCCAGCTCAAGAGCTCTCCATGCAGAGCGAGAATCATAATCACCGTGAAGGTTTGGATCCATGATCTTTGCAATATCTCCTCCGTTAAGCTCAGACCCAACCCATTGTGTTATGTGAGACTTTCTGCGGTTTCGATCAATCACGGCTTGGTTTGTGATCATTTCCAACAACACAATGCCGAAACTGTACACATCACTTTTCTCACCCAACCGGCTTGTATGGTAATACCTACAAGCATTGGAGAGGAGAACATGGTAAGCTCTTCAAGCATTGGAGAAGAGAACAACATTTAGCAAATTGTAAAGTTTAGGTATCACTACTTACTCAGGATCAAGGTAGCCAGGAGTACCAGCAATCACTGTCGACACATGAGATTCACCTCCAATTGGGAAAGACCTTGAGAGCCCAAAATCAGCGAGTTTGGCCTTATAATGCTCGTCCAATAATATGTTTGTAGTTTTGACATCTCTATGAACCATTGGTGGTGTGCATCCAATGTGTAAGTACTCCAAACCTATGCAATGATTTCTCTATTTTAATTGTTTATGCTCGAATAATCCAAGAAATACTAGTTCTTTATCCAAAAAATAAACTTAGTACTAACCTAGTGCTGCCTCCACAGCTATTCTTAGCCGAATACCCCAACTGACGACGGATCTACCTCCTTTTCCTGTGTATTAGATCATGCATTAGATCCTTTTTGAGTTATCAAAAAGAAGAATTTTTTTATGAGCTCATGATAAATGTTACCCACTAGAAAAGTTTTACCTGATAGATGTTGTCTTAAGTCTCCATTGGGTACAAACTCGTAGATGAGGGCCAAGTGGTCTCCTTCATCGCAATAACCGACAAGACTAACCAAATTCGTATGGTGAACTCTCAGAAGAAGATCAACCTAATGCACTCATGCGAAGAAACACAAGAAATCCATAAGCTGTTGTGCTGTTAAAAAAATATACCATTTGGAAAGATTGTACTACATATACCTCTGCCTTGAACTCTTTGTATCCTTGAGTTGATGACTGAGATAGCAGTTTAACAGCTACCTGTTCAGAACCATTGACAGTACCGTGACACACAACGCCAAATCCTCCTTCCCCTACGACTCTTTCAAAGTTATTCGTCATTTTCATAACCTCTGAATAAGTAAACCTTCTCTTTTTCATCTCGATTGATGGCTCGGGAGAATTAGCATATGGAACATTCTCTGTTGGCCTATTCGGTGGCGGCTGAACAACTGTTAGACCAGAATTTAGGTGTTAGCAAAAAAAACATATTCACGAGATTTATCAATTTTCACCTTTGACATGTCTCTCTTGCATATATACCTTGAACAGTGGACGGCTTTTTCTTCCTGAGAACAAGAAAAAGGACCAGCGCAGCAATGAGGATGGCTGCAGAGCCAACTGATGCAACAACTGGAACTAGAACGCTCTTGCCATGTCGTTTTGTGGGTGTGGGTGAACCCGAGGGAAAAAGCCTTGGGTTTCCTTGAAGACTACAAGAAGACAAGTGTTGATTCCAGACATCAAATCAATAAAAGGGTTCTGGACAATAACAGAGGAAAGTTGACAAAAGTATGTGGAAGTTTCTTACTGTAGCTCGAGTCCTTTCCTCTGTAGTGATTCAGGGATTGAACCATTAAGATCGTTCCCGCTTAAGTTTCTGCATAGAAAGAGCAATGAAGATGGATTCAAAGTGGAACTGGAAAAGCATTAGGAAATATGCTTAAGAAAACTTACATGACCAATAATGATTTCATGTCGCCTAGAAACTCCGGCACCTCTCCGGTCAAGTTATTATTCGACAAGTCCCTAAAGTTTGCAAGGAGAGAATAAAATATGAAATTACATCCAACTCTATAGCAATTTTTTTGGCCTTGAATCAACAATGGACAAGCTTACAGTTTTTCTAGTTGTGTAAGGTTTTGAATGGCAGCTGCTATGTTTCCAGTTAAACCACTTGAAGATAAGTTTCTGTTAAAAAAATTTCGGAACCACATTCAAAGTGTTAATGATCATGACTACTAACAGATCTTGAAGAGCGAGTGTTCGTCCATGTGTATTAGTGAACTTATGACTTACAAAGAAGTGATTCTTGGTGGTGTGGAGATGTCCGTGTGGCTGCAGTTTAAAGCGTCCCACCTAAGCTTTATAGGGACACATGGATCGCCTTGCCAGTTGATTCTACTCAATCCATAGGTGGCTTCAATGTTTCTAATAGCAACCACTGTCACAAATATTTTCAAGATGTTAGAAATAAAAATACACAAGAACAGATCTTATATGCTTTAAGTTGAAACACACTGACACATACCATCGTTTCCATGTGTTTCAGACTGTGGAAACTGAATAACTGTGAAGACTTCAAGAGCGTTAAGTAGAGGTGGAAGAGTTGATCTGTTGGTTCTTTTCAGCTGAAAACTACATTCCCCTCCATCGCAAGTTCTTGGAGTCACGCTTAACATAGTAAGTATCTCTAACTTTGTAGGTTTTACAGGGTCAGAAAACATAAGTTCCCCATTCCATTCCATGTGAAATTCCCTGGTTTCATTAGCCTGCAAGTCTTGGACCTCAGCAAAGTGTCTATACACGTAATATAGGTCATCAGGTTTTTCTGAGTTACTCCACTCAACCGTCAAGGGCTCACTGGCATTAGTAGGTGTGGCGGCAGTTGCAAGTGCGGCTTTTGGTGGATCATAGTCGTTGGTGTTTCCAACATCGCTAGTGGTGGATATCTGAGTCCAGTCCTTCTGAAAGTAAGCAGTCCATTGGCGATCATAGGCATCGTCAGGGTACCTAGAGGGTGGAAACAGTAATGTTTTAGCAGTGAAATAAGCAAAAACAGAGGAAAACAGAGCAAATGTTAGGGTTAAGTTGAAAAACAGAGCCACAAAAACAGAGCAAAAAGCAAGAGATGTTGTTAAGTTGAAGTTGAGTTTACCTTAGGCTAGTCTTTGATTCGCTAAGATCTATCCGGAAGAAAAGACTCAGAGAACCAGACTGAGTTTCATAAGAATCCTTTCCCATGGGACGTATTTCCAAGGTTGAGATCAACGGTGTAGTCATCCCAGTCTTGACAAGACACACCTGCAACGTATTTGAAGTTGGGATGTGAAAGATCTCTTCTCGTGTACCGTTCACTCGTTTATGCAAATCTATAGTGGCCCATGGATTAGGTCCAAGGTACAGATCAAAGGTGGGGTTATTGTCAAGGCCATCATAGTTTCCATACAGAAACCTAGCCCTGATCAGATGATTTCTTCCCTTCTCTACGCGAAGATTGTAGCAGTTCCGTGTTCCATCTGGAAAATATCTCAGCGTTGTGTATGGCTTCAGGAGTCTACTCACCAGATTTGCTTGAATTCTACCAGGTTTTCCATTCTTGATGAATGTTGCATCCGAAGAGAAATGTAATCCAGTTGTCTCCTCTTTATAAGGAGACGGTTCATTTGCGGGTAGCCCGCAATCCAAACTGATGAACCCTGTTAAGCGACATGGAACAAAATTCATCGTTGAAAAGAGAGAACGGATAAGAACCAAAATGGTTAAGAGGAAAGAAAGAATACACCTATGTAAATATGACAGTTAAAGTGTGGATACCTTGTTGGCTCTGAGCTTGAACAATATGAATGATGGCAAAAGTTGCGATGAGCAGCAACAAAAGTCCAAGAGACCTATCCATCTTCTCTTACCTACAAACGAATAATCAAGAAAACGTTTACCCAAGCTGTGGAAGATAACAGGGGAATATATAAGCAAATTCAAAATGGAAACTAAAAGCAAAGACTTTTTTTCAAGTCAATGAAAAGAAAGAGTAAATGTGTTTTCTAGTGAAACTTTACCATGGGAAGAAGAAGAAGAAGGATAAGAATGTTCCAAATAACATCACTTTTATGAACTTGATTGGGGTCATTTGTGGAATGGGACATCGGTAAAGTTTCTTGGTCAGACAATAAAGCATTTTACCTCCAAAGAACCCGTCAATCACAGAAGAAAATATATTGGATTTAATAACCACCAGACTTGCAACAATGATGCATGAAGAAATGTTCAGAAAGAGTTGACATTCTAATGGTCGTTGACTTGTAAAAGTGGACCTGATCATTAGGCACACAATGATCTATATACTGACTAAATTACCAACAAAAGTAATTCAGCATGAAGAAACAACTTTTATATAACAATCAATTCTGAGCTTAAACAAGATGAATAACGGTTAAAAGGCTAGTGAAAAATGTCCGTGTTCTTTTCTTTTTAATGCTATATTCACCTTAAAAATGTTCCAACTTCCAACATCACAATCATGTAATCATGTATATCTCAGTCTGTAGTTGTAGTTTCCTGGTCAGAAAATGCAACTTGCTTTAGTATATTACTTCCAAAGAATGTATCAATCACGCAACAAGATATTGGCTTTAATAGTCACTAGACTCGAGCACCATGACGCACGAAAGAAACCTGCGAAATAGTAAACGGTTGTTGACTTTTGATTGGTGAAAGTCGTGAAGTTGAGAAGCAAAAGCTTGAGAGTCGGGACTCAAGCTTGAAATTAGGGTTTGTAAGGGCAATGATTACGATGATCCAAATCCGAAACGGGTTTCAAATCCAAAAAGAGTAATCAATCATCATCTCATGAAACTTCACGGCGTCACACTCACAGTCAAACCACATATTACAACGAACCAAAAAGTCAACCTTAAGAAACAGAGAAATATGACATGTCAACGCGAAATGTGACATGCAAAACCGGTTTTGGATTCTACCGGTTTTTCCACTCTGGATGAACCTTCTGTTTGAGGAGAAACGTAAACCGGTTTTGATTGATCATTATAAGGAGGATTAAGCTTGAACAAGAAGAACAGAGGAAAAGGTTTTGATTAGGACGAACAACAGTCCAACTAAGTGCCCTGAGTAGAGAAGTTTATCTCAAATTTCTCACCATCTGTTTATCATTTAAAGAAATTTCACGGCGTGGCACTCAAAGGAGTAAGAACAAATACAAAGAAACCAGAGAATGGAAAAAAAAAGTGATTTATGAAAAGTCGATGGTGAAACCAAAATGACCTGTTCGTGCTTCCCAATACACATATGAATAAAAGAGAAACATTTTCTCAGCAAAGGAGACTCAATTATCTAAGACAAAGTCCAACAAGAATGAATGTGCTTTCTTTGTTTGACTGCTCTCACTAATTCCAAAGAAATATATCAATCACACAAAAAGATATAAGAAGACACCATACATATTCGTGAATACAGCTTAGACCCATACATATTCGTTATAAGAAGAAACAATTTCAGAAGAGGAACTGTAGTCACAACTCATAAATAAAAGTTGAAATTCTAAAAAGGAACTTGGGAGCTCAGGTAACTCACAGGCAGCAAATCCGAGAGAAACCTGCTTCTTTTCATCTTTCTCCTCAGCCGGCATCGGTAAGTCGGGAAATGAAAAATCTCCGTTTTTAAAACGGCCGTCTACGGCGGCGAGACCTCCCGTCGAGAGAAAGTGAAGAGCGTTTCGCCTTCAGCAGCTCCCGGCGGTAAGACATTTTCTCTCTCGAGCAATCAAACGATTGTAGCGGTAGAAACGCAGCCGCGGAATTACTGTAATTTAGCTTTGGTTTAGTTTGTTTTAATTAACAGTTACACATAAGGTTAGATATAAATACCATTCATCAACTGCAACAAGCTCCGCTGTAGCACAAAGGTTAAAATCAAGTCATTGATGTTCCGGGTTCGAAGCCCGGCAGCGGATATTATTTTTGTTTTGCTACACACAAGACACAGTGCAACAAAATCCTGTTCGGCCATTAAGTTTAGCCCATTCTACTATTGGTTTTATGGATCGCCGCCTTCAGTTTTCTAAGTGTTTTGAGACCCAATTTTTATGTTTAGTGACAAATGTTGATATGTGTTCCTTTCATCGATCAAACTAATACATACATTTACAAGTTTAATCGATACTCTAAAAAACTATTTTACGATTAAATCATGGTTCACTCTTCAGAAAATTTCAATCATTAAAAATAGTGCAAAGCAATACTTCCATAGTTGAAGTTCCATATTATATATGTTGGTACCACAAGCACATCTTAAGCACATAAAACATAAGCGTAAGGAATGACACGGTCGTGATCGGTTGCTCCACAAACTATCTTGCCCCAGGAAACACAGAAGTGTCCAAGCTAATGTTCATCTCTTGGGTTCCCTCTTGGGTTCCCAAGCCTCCAATCTTACTTATCCTCGAGTTTTCACACGCAAGACACTCTTTTAGCTCGTGAATAACATGGGACATGGTTGGTCGGTTTGCTGAATAAGGATCCGCGCATGACATGGCCAGCTCAAGAGTTCTCCATGCAGAATTAGTGTCATAAACCTCGCAAAGGTTTAGATCCATGATCCCATTTATATCACCTCGGTTAAGCTTATAACCAACCCATTGTGTAATGTGAGACTTTTCAGAGATCACAGGTTGGTTTGTGATCATCTCCAATAACACGATCCCGAAGCTGTAGACATCACTCTTCTCACCCAACCGACCTGAATTGTAGTATCTGCATGGGGCATACGTGAGATATTTATATGATTTCCATCGTTGAAAAAGGAAGATAGATTCAACACAAATGGAGTGATGATGTGAAAGCTACTTACTCGGGATCAAGGTATCCAGGAGTACCAGCGATGACCGTTGACTCGTGAGATTCTCCACCAAATTGGAAAGATCTTGAGAGCCCAAAATCGGCGAGTTTGGCCTTGAAATTCTCGTCCAGCAATATGTTGGCAGTTTTGACATCTCTATGAACCATAGGCGGTGTGCATCCACTATGTAAGTACTCCAATCCTATGATATTTAGTCATCTAAATCAGTGGATTTTTCGTAAAGCCAATTGAACCAATTCTTGCTCTAAGGCGTTTTGATTTGGTACAAACCTTGCGCGGCCTCCAAGGCTATTCGTAGTCGAATACCCCAGTTAATGATGGATTTACCTCCTTTTCCTGTATATCTAATTTAGATCATTAGTTCCTTTTTCCAAGTTTCAAGAATTAGAAAACAGTCACTAGAAATATTACCTGCCAAATGTTCTTTTAAGTTTCCGTTAGGCAGAAACTCGTAGATGAGGGCCAAGTGATCTCCTTCATAACAATACCCGACGAGGCTCACCAAATTTGTATGGTGAACTCTAAGGAGAAGATCAACCTAAGGCATCGATATGAAGAAAACAAAGAAGTCAATAACTTTTGTGATGTTAAAAGCAGATCATATAGTTTAGTTCAGAAGGTTGCAGTACTAAGAATACCTCTGCTTTGAATTGTTTATAGCCCTGAGTTGAAAATTGTGAGAGTACTTTAACTGCCACCTGTTCGAAACTATTCACAGTACCGTGATACACGTAGCCGAACCCTCCTTTACCTAAAACTCTTTGGAAGTTATTTGTCATTTTGATAACCTCTGAATACGTGAACCTTCTGCTTTTCTGATCAAATGAAGGTTCAGGCGAATTAGCAAATGTGTCCATTGGCGTCCTCGGTGGCAGTTGTAGACCTGTATATAAGAGTAAGAACATTCTCATCTGTCATATCGTTTTTTTTTTTGAATCTCTTCTTTCAATGTAAAGAAGCAACAACATTCAAAAGTTTTTATAGTTTTCTTATTTGTTGCTTATCTTGCAAATACCTTCAACAGTCGTTGACTTTTTCTTTCTGAGTACAAGAGACAGAACCAATACCGCAATGAAAATGGCTGCAGAAACAACTGATGCAACAATTGGCACAAGAACTTTCTTCTTAGATGGTTTTCTACATGAACCAGAGAGACAAAGCCTTGGGTTTCCTTCAACACTACAATGAGAAAAGGGTGGCTGAAGACATCAAGTGTACAAAGGGGTTGTGGATAATACTGAGAAAACTTCAAAAGCTATGTGCAAAATTTCTTACACTAGCTCTAGTCCTTCCCTTTGAAGAGCTTGAGGAATTGAACCATTAAGATCGTTCCCGCTTAAGTTTCTGTTTCAAAATACCATGGTCTCAGGTGAGGTTTTTAAAAGCACTACAAAATTTTGTTGAGATACACGTACATGACCAACAACGATTTCATATTGTTTAGAAACTCCGGCACCCCTCCAGTCAAGTTGTTATTCGACAAGTCCCTAATGTTTACAAGAGAGAATAATAATATGAAGGTTTATCACATTTATTCGCATCCATATAATTCCCAAATTCTCTCGCGTTCAGTCAACAATAGTAATGTACTTACAGATTTTCTAATTGGGTAAGATTCTGAATGGCAGCTGCTATGGTTCCAGTTAAACCACTAGAAGACAAGTCTCTAGGGAAATGTTCAAAACCACATTCAAAGTGTTAATGATCCAATTGCTACGAAAGTAAAGATGTTAAAGAACGGGTGTGTGTACAAAGCAGTGATTCTTGGTGGCATGGACGTATCCGTGTTGCTGCAGTTTAAACCGTCCCACCTAAGCTGTTGAGGGACGCATGGATCACCTTGCCAGTTGATTCTACTCAATGCATAGGTGTCTTTGATACTCTTTATAGCAACCACTGACATAAAAAAAGGTTTTCATTCTTGAGTACACTATTGTATATATGATTTGTTTCTTTACTATGATAATAAAGCATAGACCTTATATGCATAACCTAGAAAAGTCACGTACCGTCGCTTCCATCTGTTTCGGACTGTGGAAACTGAATAACTCTGAAGACTTCAAAAGCATTAAGTAGAGGTGGGAGAGTTGATATGTTGGTTCTTATCAGCTGTAAACTGCATTTCCCTCCATCGCAAGTTTTCGGTGACTGGCTTTTGATAGTAGTTATTTTTAGCTTGTCTGGAACTAGAGGGCCATAATAAAGTTCTCCGTTGAAAAGGATATTGAATTCCCTGGTTTCATTTGCCTGCAACTCTTGGATCTCAGCAAAGTGCGTGTACAAGTAATATTGATCATCAGGATTTTCTGAACTCCATTCAATCGTCAATGGCGCTCTGGTATTCGTAGGCGTGCCAGCAGTTTTGAGTGCGGCTTTCGGTGGCTTGTAGTTGTTGGAATTGTCCACGTCGAGTGCGGTGGAAATCTCGGTCCATTCCATCTTAAAGTACGAATTCCATAGGCGATCATAGATATCGCTCGAGTACCTGTGGGGGTGGGAGCAGTGTTGTTTTAGCAATGGATTAAGTCAAGGAACAATATCATTTATACGCTATCTTGGACCGTTGTAATATGAAGAAGTTCTTTGACAAATCACAGTACAGAGGTACAAATGACAAAAGAAAAACATATATAGAAGAAAAACGGAGACGCAGAAAATAAAACAGGAAAAGCATTGTTCAGTGGAAATTGACTCACCGTAGCAGAGGTCCTGACTTGCTAAGATATCGGCCGTAGCCTTTCAGGGAGCCAGATTTAGTGATATAAGAATTATTTCCCATGGGCCGTAATTCCAAGGCAGATATTACCGGTGTAGTTTCGGTAGTCTTAACAAGACAAATCTGCAGCGAGTTTGATGTTGCGATGTGTATAATATCTGTCTGTTGACTGTTCACCTGTGTTTCAAAATCTATCGTTACCCATAGATTAGGTCCAAGATAAACATCGAACACCGGTTTAATGTCACGACCATCGTAATTTCCATATGCAAATGAAGCTCTGATCAAATATCGACGCCCCTTTGTAACATTCAGATTGTAGCAGTTCTTTATCCCATCTGGAAAATATCTCACCGTTTTGTATGGCTTCGACAATGTCTTCTCCATATTCGTTTGGATTCTACCAGTTTTTCCACTTTGGATGAATGTTGCGTCGGAATAGAAGCGCAGCCCGGTAAAAGTCTGATAATAAGGGGACTGTTCGTTTGCAGGTAGCCCGCAATCCAAACTGATGAACCCTGTTGATTGTTAACACACATGGTAAAGACTAACCATAAAAACCAGTGCACTTTTGAGAACCAAAACATAATGTTAAAACAAAATTTCAAGGAAAGAAAAAACGTTTGTAGAAGACGTAGGAAGGCTGTATATAGAAAAGATAAGATACCTTCTTGGTCTTGAGCTTGAACAATATGAATGATGGCCATAGTTGCAATGAGCACCAACAAAAGCTCAAGAGAACTCTCCATATTCTCTCAACCCCCAAGGAAAAATAGAGAAATCCAGTGGCTAAATAGTGTGTTTCCAGTATGCAACGAGAAGAAGGATAAGCTGTGGTAGATAAATAGTGAATAAATAACACACAACCCGAAAGACTTTGACAAGTCAATGTGTTTCCAGTATGCAACGAGAAGAAGGATAAGAGTAGCCAAAAATAAGAAAAACCCAACTCATACTGTAATATAAAAGACTTTGTCAAGTCAATGGGGGAAAAAGTAAGGGTTGAGAGGACAACAATGCTCCAACATCACTATTAGTGGAAAATAAGGAGCAGACCCAGATGCACGTTAGGGAATAAATTGCTACATCAAAGGAGAATAAATTATGTAACACAAGTCCATGAAGAATATCTTTTCCTTGATTACATATTCGGAACCGCAAGTAGGCAACAGTGTACTATTAAAGATAATAAATAGAGGACACACCCTGTTCATGTTAATTACTACACAAACTACAGCAACTTTTCCCCGGGAAACCATCTAAGTGGCAAGCTCATGTTCCTTCAAGAAACTCAAAATCACAAACAGTGATTATAAGCAAAACGGGTTCAGATCCAATCCAAAAGAGTCATCCCATGGAATTTCACAGCGTTGCACTCAAGATTCACGCACATATTACAAAGAATTAAAACATTACCACATAACAAAAGAATATGATCGTGACAAGTAGCCAAATCGAAAAGGACCGGTTTCTCTTACATACTTTTTACACGGCTGAGTCTGAGTAATTGGCTTGTGTACCAGCAAAACCTATCTTGCCCTGGGAAACATCCCAGTGTCAAAGCTCATGCTCACTTCAGGAGAACTGTGAGACTCCATATTTCTCCTCGAGTTTTCAGTCACAAGACACTCTTTCAGTTCATTAGCAACTTGGGACATGTTTGGTCGGTTCACCGAAGAAGGATTCGCACACGACATTGCCAGTTCAAGAGCTCTCCATACAGAACGAGACTCGTAATCCCTGTGCAGGTTTGGATCCATGATCTTAGTAATATCTCCTCGGTTAAGCTCAAACCCAACCCATTGTGTTATGTGGGACTTTCCACGGGATTGGTCGATCACTGGTTGGTTGGTGATCATCTCCAATAACACAATTCCAAAACTGTACACATCGCTCTTCTCACCCAGCCGACTTGTACGGTAATATCTGCGAGGCAAAGTACATGGTTATACTTGTACTCTTCGACCACTAAAGAAGGAAATGACAACTCATTTTCAGTACATTGTGACTAATGATACTTACTCTGGATCAAGGTATCCAGGGGTACCAGCAATCACGGTTGAAACATGGGATTCATGACCTCCAACAGGAAAAGATCTCGAAAGCCCAAAATCAGCGAGCTTGGCCTTTAACTGTTCGTCCAACAGTATGTTTGTAGTTTTGATATCTCTATGTACAATAGGCGGTGTGCATCCAGAATGTAAATATTCCAATCCTAATCAAAGGAGTAATTATTTGTTAATCCACCAGAAGAAAAGTCAATCAAAGCTACTTCTATTGTCTAAGCTTAGTTACTAACCTAGTGCAGCCTCCAAAGCTATTCGTAGCCGATTGCCCCAGTTGATAAAGGACCCACCACGTTTTCCTGAATGTTTGATTCTTTAGTTCTTTCTGAATATTGAATGTTATAAACATAGTCTAGCTAGATTATTGAATAATGAAGAAATTCAAGTTTACCAGATAGATGCTGTCTTAAGTCTCCATTTGGCAGAAACTCGTAGATAAGAGCCAAGTGATCTCCTTCATCGCAATATCCAACGAGGCTCACCAAATTTGTATGGTGAACTCTTAGAAGAAGATCGACCTTATCAGCCATGGGAAAGAAAAACAAGAGATAACATAAATTTGTGATGCTAATTCAGATGATCATATTTTTTTGGAAAGATTATGCATACCTCTGCCTTAAAATGCTTATAGCCTTGACTTGATGATTGAGAGAGTACTTTAACAGCTACCTGTTCGGAACCATTTAGAGTACCGTGACACACGACACCAAATCCACCTTCACCTACAACTCTTTGGAAATTATTCGTCATTTTCATAACTTCTGAATAAGTGAACCTTCTCTTTTTCGTCTCAATTGATGGCTCAGATGAATTAGCATATGTATCATTCACTATTGGCGTATTCGGTGAACGTTGTAAGACTATAGAGAAAAAAAAAGGTAGTTGATTCAATGTAAGAAAGAATATTCATCGAATTTTTGTAGTTGATCTTGATGAGAGATCTCCTGCAAATTACCTTCCACAGGTGACGGCTTTTTCTTTCTGAAAACAAAAATAAGAACCAGCACAACAACGATTACGACCACAGATGCAACTGATGCAACAATTACCACTGGAAATTTCTTCTTGGAGTCTTCTGTGCAAGAACCCGAGAGACAAAGCCTTGGGTTTCCATGTACTCTGCAAGAGGAAGAGTGTTGTTCAAAACATCAAATCACAAAATGGCTATGGATAATAACTTGAGGAATATTTAAAAGTACGTGGGAAGTTTCTTACAGTAACTCTAGTCCCTTTTTTTGAAGAGCTCGAGGAATGGAACCATTAAGATCGTTCCCGCTTAAGTTTCTATTAAAGAAGAGAAATCTTCATACATACAGGCACATGACACAGAAAGAAATTGAACAAGTAATAGAAAATATGCTGAACTTACATGAGCACCAACGATTTCATCTGGGCTAGAAACTCGGGCACCCCTCCAGTCAATGTGTTATTTGACAAGTCCCTTAAGTTATCTCCAAAGTAAGATAAAGGTCATTGGGTTGACTTTCCATAGAAAAAACCACTATTTTGCATTCGATCAACAATGGACATACTTACAGTTTTTGTAGCTGCGTAAGGTTTCGAATAGCAGCTGCTATGGTTCCAGTTAAACCGCTTGAAGACAAGTTTCTGGTGATACAAAGCATGATTATTAACATAAGCTGAAGATAAGTATGTATGAGTGTGTTTGATCTTACGACTTACAATGACGTTATTCTTGGAGGTGTAGAAATATCGGTGTTGCTACAGTTCAACCCGTCCCACGCATACATTTTAGGGACGCAAGGATCTCCTTGCCACCTAATTCTACTCAATCCATAGGCAGTTTCGATATTTCTGATAGCAACCACTGATGGAAAGCTCAATGACGTGAGAATTAACATATGAAATTCATCTAACAGACCTTATCTGCAGAACAGTGAAAGTAAATTTAACGTACCATCGTTTTCATTTGTTTCCGATTGTGGGAATTGGATAACCGTGTAGATCTCAAGAGCGTTAAGTAGAGGAGGAAGAGTTGATCTAGAGGTTTTTATTAGCTGGTAGATGCATTTCTCTTCTTCGCAATTCAATGGAGAAGTATTCAGGAAAGTATCTAACACTAACTTTGAAGGAACGAAAGCTTCAGTAGTAACCGCTCCATTCCATAACAAGTCAAATTCCCTGGTACCGTTGGCCTGTAAATCTTGTACCTCAGCGAAGTGGCTGTATAAGTAATACTGGTCACCAGGATTATCTGGTGTCCAACTGATTGTCAATGGCGCACTGGCATTGGAAGGCGTAGCAGCCGTTGAAAGCGTTATTTTTGGTGGAGCATAACTGTTATCATTGCTCACTTGGAGGGTGGTGGAAATTTGGGTCCAACTCGTCAGAAAAAAACTAAACCATCTCCGATCATAAACATCATCCGGGTACCTATGTGGAACAAATGTTGTATTAGCCTTTGAATATCGATTCCACCAAAAACACACAAAAAAAAAACAACAAAAAAGACAGTTGGCATTGACTTACCGTAGAAAGCCTTTTGTCTTGTTGGCGTATATTCGACCGAAAAGTTTCAGGGAACCCGACTTTGTGTTATAAGAATTATTTCCCAACGGCCGTAATTCCAAGGCTGAGATCATCGGTGTAGTTGTCCCTGTCTTAACAAGACAAATCTGCAACGAGTTTGATGTTGGGGTGTGATGGATCTCCCGCACTGTACCATTCACAAACTCTTGCAAATCTATAGTTGTCCACGGATTAGGGCCTAGATGTAGATCAAATTCCGGGTAGGAGTTAAGACCATCGTAGTTCCCATAAATGAACCCAGCCCTGATCAAATACTTCCTGTTTTTCTCAACACTCAGAGTATAGCAGTTCCGTATCCCATCCGGAAAATATCTCAGCCTCACGTACGGCTTCAGGTAATCACTCTCCAGATTCGCCTGGATTTTACCGGTTTTACCACTCCGGATGAACTTTGCATCAGACGAAAACCGTAGTCCGGTTGATTGCTCTGTATAAGGAGACGGTTCAGTCACGGGTAACCCGCAATCCAAACTGATGAACCCTGCTAAAAGACATGAAGGGTTTACTTTTAAGAAAAGAGTGAGACTCGAAAGCTTTCTCAAGTAAGAAAAACATGATTGAGACTCAAAGGATGCGTTAAGAAGAAGTAGAGATGTATGTACATAGAAACCACTAAGAAGTGGATACCTTGTTGATCCTGAGCTTGAACAACATGAATAACGGCAAAAGCTCCTAATAGCAGCAACAAATGACAATCCATAATTGCTTAGATATGAAACATTTACCAATGTCCGAGTTTGAGAGAAACTCAGCGTGTATAAAGAAGTCAAGCCAAGCCTCTGACAACATGGCAAGATGACCTGAGTCTGGAAATGAGGAAAAAAAAACTTCAAGGAAACGAAAAAGTAAATGTGTTTTCTATTGCTACGAACTTGATTAGAGACATTGGCCTGCGAGCACATCTGTTATAGTTTTCTTGGTCAAAAAATTAGCCAACTTGTTCTTTTATTTCCGAGAGAATCTGTCAATCACAGCTTTTACAGTCACCAACACACTAACAAATTGAAAATGTTCACATAGAGAAAGAGAGTTGACTTTCGAGTGCTCATTGACTTGGATTGAAGCTTATCGGATAGAATCTGTTTAATTTACAAGTACAGCTTTGAATCCAAAAAAGAGAAGTTGGTCATCAACACGAAGAAAAAATTGAAGACAAGACGCCATTATCCCATCTCTAAAATCACAACCCATAGAAAAGCTGCAAGTTCTAGTGGATTTTGTCATATCATAAATTTCAAAATTTTGTTTTTGCAAGTACAAGCGTCCATATTACCTTCCAGCCATAATCTGGGAGAATTATGGGTTCCATCTCTTTCAGATATTGTGGAGAGGACGAAGACGAAGAATCTCCGGCGGAAAATCGGCCGTATACGGCAGCGAAATGCAGAAATCTCTCGTCGTGAGAAGAAGAGTGCTGGAAACGCAGGCGCAGTAATGAGGCGTTTTAAACGCAACGCTATTATATTGTAAATAACGCAAAAACTTAGTTTGGGCCGGATTTTGGATGGCCCATTAATCCATAGCGGATTCGGATCCACTATCTCTCATCTATCACAGTAATCTGTCGTCATTTTCATCGTCTCCGCGAATCAGTCACCAGCAACCGAAGTTTAGAGCGAGAGAGAAATTTCCCCGGAAGACCCAAGGGAGAGAGAGCAGAGATGAGGTTGTTCGATCCATGGCCAGTGTTCTTCAAGAGAGAATGGAAGCGATGTTGGCCGTTTCTCACTGGATTCGCCGTAACCGGCGTCCTCATCACCAAGCTCACGGCTGGACTCACTGGTAAGTCGTTCAGATCTGACCGATCTTCTATGGAAATGATCGAACTAATCCTCAATTGTTCCGTATTCTTGGAATTAGATCTTATAGATATCTACGAGGATCTCTTCTGTATTGTGTCTCGTGGTTAGTTGTCAGATCAATGGTTGTGTAAACCCTAATTTATGGTTAAAAAACAAAATTTTTGATTCATTTGCAGAGGAAGACGCAAAGAACTCGAAGTTTGTCCAACAACACAGGCGGTAATGTCTTACTCTTTCAATCGATCATTAGTATCACATTTCAGATTTTTATAGTGTTCATTTACAATTTGGGAAATGATTTAGAAACTGAATATGATTTCTCAGCAACTGTTAATATAATCATATGTTGTCCCTTCCTCTCCCCCACTTACTTAGATTTCGTAGGATTGCTTATCATATCCTCATCAATCTTAGTTCTTGATTTGGTCTTATAGAAAAGATGTCGTATTAACTTAATATCTTAACTACCATTTATCCTAAATCATAATGCATAATGTTTGATGTCTCTCCGCATCTGTTTCTTAAGCCAATTTGGTTCTGTATATGGTATTGCTTGATGCATTGTGAGCGATACATGAGTTTTCCAACTTCATCTTCAGATTTTTAAAAGTTTGATCAGACTCATTCTCTAAATCCTATTATCACAAAAACCTCGTTTTGAATCCTTGATTGATTTAGTATTACACAGTTTTCCTAACACTAACCATTCTCTGCACTTGTTCTTGATTGTTTTGAATTTCAGGTGATCTTTTGACGTGAAATGTAGAAGCTGAGAAGGAGAAGGTCTTTATGGAAACTATTGTGATTGCTTCGTCTTTCAAACCTATTCTAATAACGTGAAAGAGAGAATTCTGGATACTGTTGATCTCTCTTTTTGTTTTTCACAACTTTTGAACAGTGCAAATTTTACTTTGTTGATTCAGTCTTTTCCCCCATAGGTTTCAAATGGATTGATTCCCTTTTGTTCCCTCTCTCATTTGTTCCCATACGCTAGTATACGTTAAATAAGCTCTACAGTTGTGAATGATTGAATCCACCAACATGCTTTTTGGTCTACACATTCTTGATTTATTCGGAATTTTTGTTTTTTTTTTTTGCCGTTTTTGGTTGAATCTCTAAAATGGATAGTTTATTCAGAAATGCAATTAATTGAAAACTGGTCTGGTTAAACAATAGATTTTCAGTTTTTAAAAAAAAAAAAAAAAAACAAACGTTGTATTCAATAGAATGTTGATCGTTTACAATCCATTAGAGACAAATCTCATTACAAGTGATAACTAAGCAACAAAAAAAACTTAAAGAACTGATCAGCCCATATGATTTCCTACTAGACTACGTCAACTAGATAGAGACAAGCTAAGATACTAAAATTTAAAGAACTGATCCCAAGATCGCTGCAATGTTGCTTATACGAGACCTACGAAAGAATTGGAAATAAGGCATGAGCTTATGCACCAAACCCCAAAACTGATGAGCCCTGTTCATCTCATTCTGCGTGACTCTCAGTGCCTTGGCCACCACGAAATTCCCAAACCTATGACTCGCAAGCCTCATCAACTTGTTTCCATTGCACCCCAAAAGCTCCATAACCACCACATCCATCGACTCCTCCTTCTCCAGTAATTTTTCCACGATGTAGCTTCCATACTTCCAATAAGAAAGATCAACGCAATGGCCTTGAAGGCTAACAGCAATGTTATTCGTGCAACGCGAGTCATTCAGTTTAAGAGCGTGCTGCACCACCAAGTTCCCTGAAATTGAAGCATGGTTGCTTAGCCACAGTGCGTTAGACGAAACTATGTCTAGCAGCTGGTTTCTGAAGAAAGGCTGGTCCGTGTAGGTTATGAATCCGTTGAGAACGTCGCAGCCATGTCCGTCACACGCAAGGTCAAGCGCGTGGAAGAGAATGTGGCCGCACATTGCGATTTTCTTCTCCTGGGTGAAAACTCGCAACCCTCGAATCGCGACGTAGGACGCGTTCTCGTCCTTCATGAGGTGCAAGAATTGGCACAAGATAGCAGCGAAGAACAACGTGTCCGCGTCGTCTGATTTCCCGAGGAGATTCCCGAAGCGTGTGGAGCCGTTGTAGTTTCTTGCGATCTCCAAGAAGTAGTGATCGGAATCTGACGTCAGCAGCGAGGCCATCTTGTGAAGATCTCTTTTGTCTAGCTTCGAGATCAGAACTTCAAACGGAGCCGCGTCGTCTTCTTCGCCGATAGTCATCAAGTTGCACAGCGTCTGCAAACACTCGTCCGTTTCTTGAGGCGTTAAGGCGGCGGAGCGAAATGAGTTGATTAAAGATTGTTCGATGGATGCTACTGCGTCGGCGAAACGGCGACTGAGAAATTCTCCGTGCTTGGAAACGTTATCGCCGTCGTTGTTTTCCATAGTATACGTTAATTCTACGGAACTGAATTCTCTCTGGAAATTATAGAGTGTAAAAGAATGAGAGAAACTGTTGAGATTTGGAGTGACGATGCCTATTTATAGAAAATTAAGTATATATATATATATATATGTGGCGATTATTAGGTTAGTTTTTTTATAAGGTTTGGTGGTTATGTATGTATTGCTTGGAAATATTTCACTTATATTAATTTCCCTATATAGTTCACGTTATGAATTAAGAGACATGCAGATGCACTATATATTACTGAGTTTCCTTAATCTAATTAATTAATTTGTCTACTAGATGGATTATTAAAAAAAAATGTAACATGTTTTCACTTAAAATTATAATTCCTTACTAATATGATCTTTTGGCAAAGTTTCTTTAATCTAATTAAGTAATACTCCCTCTAAGCCGGCTGTATATGACTATCAGGAGGATGATTTATAATATTGGTTAGCGAACACTCGCTCTTGCTTAAGTATAAATCATCAAAAATCATCAATATATAAATCAAGATTGCTGTATATTGATGATTTATATTATTGCTTAAGAGCTCTCAACGCGTCCTACGTTGTAAATCATTAATATAAATCAAAAATCGCTCTTGATTTAAAATATTTCTTTCCAAAAAGTATTGATGATTTTATAATATTGGTTAAGCTCTCAGCTCTTATATGACTATCTGGGCTGAAAATCTGGGATGATTACTTGATATTTGATATAACCCAGATATTCATATAAGAGCTGAGAGAAAAATCGTTTCCTTTATCAAAGTATTAATTTTGAAAGAAAAAAATAATAAACAAAGCCACATAGGACAAAGGTAAGAGTAGAGTAGTAAGGAAAAATCGTTTGTCTATATAAGACTGCTTCAAGGCAAACGTGAAAAGAAAACAAACAAAACCCTAATATCCAGCCACCGAGTTTCTTCCTTGGAAGATCACAATAATAATGTCCGATTTGTCGCTGGATTTGGTAGAAGAAATACTATCTAGGGTTCCAACCGCATCTCTAACAAGATTACGGGCTACTTGCAAAAGATGGAACGCTTTATTCAAAGACAGGAGATTCATTGAGAAGCACTCTCGTAAAGCTGCAAAGCAGCCCATGGCTTTCATGTTGAAGAACTCTACAATTTTTTTAGTGAGCATCAGTCCCAACGTTGCTGATCCATCTAGAGAGTTTAATGTTCGGCTTGGCCTAAAAGATTCTCATTCTGATTTAGAACAAGTATGCCTATACGGAGGTTTTCACTGTGGCGGTTTGTTGTTATGCAATACCAACTACGATGGACTTTTGATTTGGAATCCGTGTTTGGGGGAAACCAGATGGATCCAACCCAAAATTAATCGCAAGAGATGGTCTAGATTTTCTCTAGGTTACGACAACAACGAAGTTTGGAATAGCTACAAAATTTTAAGGTCTTATGAACAAGATTACAAAGTTGTTGGGTCTGAAATTTATGAATTTAGCTCTGATTCATGGAGGGCCCTTGATGTCGTTGCTCCTGACTGCTATATAGAATCACCAAAGGGTGTGTCTTTGAAGGGAAATACTTACTGGCTTGCTTTTAATTCAAAATACAAATTCATACTAAGTTTTGATTTTACAAGAGAGAGATTTAGACGTTTTTGTCTTCCAACGTTTCAGAATCTTGGTGGGATGGCTCTATCAGTTGTTAGAGAAGAAAAACTCTCACTGTTACATCGGAGCTTTGATCCATCATCAAAGATGGACATGTGGGTGACTAATAATAATATTGATACTGAAACTGTGTTGTGGAGCAAATCCTTTACGGTGGATATATCTACTACTGATGGATATTTTCACATTCCCAAGAGCTTTTTGATCGACGAGGAGAAGAAAGTGGTTATGTGCTGTAATGCAAGTTTTGAGCCAAATAGCGGGAAGACGGAATACGCTATTCATAAATATCACACAGAATCCCTTTTTGTAGAAACTACACACGTATCAGAATTCCCTTTTAATTTCAGTTATGTTCCAAGTTTGGTCCAAATCCAGTGAGTAGAGGAAAAATAGAAAGAAAGAAACTAGTTTATAAAATAAGAAAGTGATTTGTTACAGCTGCTTTTTCTTTCTTTGTTTCTGTATTTGACCTTTTTTTTTAATTGGTAGACATTGTCGTTTGATCTATTATGATTCCTCTCTTCTTTTTATTGCATTCAAGTTGATAACATCCAGCTTGATCTGTGTATTTTCTTCATCTTTGTTTGTGTCTTTTGTGTTTTGAGTAGAAAATCAAAGACAAAATGAACAAAACTGAGAAAGATAAATAGAGATCAATTCTTGGCATGTAAGAAGAAGAATGGTTCAAGTCGGTTATGATTTCGTTTACTTTGGATTGGAGCCTATCGGATAAATCTCTTTTTAAATTTACAAGTACAGCTTTGAATCCAAAACAGAGAAGTGGGTCATCAACATATATATACTATCCTTCCAAACTAGCTTCTAAATGCATCGAGACACCAATTAAGCCATTCCACTTGAATCTTGATGATGTGAAACCTTCAAGAAGTCCTAGAGATCTTATACCTTTGAAGTTTGATCCCTAGCTTTCCTACATAGAGTTTTACCGTTAGCTTCTGTTTCAAGCAACTCAAAGTCTATGAACCCTTTGGTGTCTTGGTCAAGATATTCTTAGTCTGTTTACTGAACCAACATTGTTATGGCTGATTTAGTACTACGTTTGGTGATGTGTGTTTATGGGCAATTGAGTTTCAGAGCCACTGTCTTTCTGGAGTACAAAAAAAAAAAAAGATAAGAAAGGGAGAACTCACACGCATATGTCAAAACTGATTGCCAACTATTTGATGAAATTATCGAGTACTTAATTATTGGCAACTATTAATGAAAACTTGAGAAACAATGAAGATCTTTCTTCAGTAGTGTTCATGACTTTGCATAACAAAAACTTGAAAAATAAAAAAGCTTTCGGTGGAGTAGAGAAAAAGTTAACTAGGGTTGAGCTAAAGGTTGCTTTCTCATCAATATTATCTTCTATACTGTTCTTCGTGGTATATTATTATTATTAAAGCAAATCTTTCTCCATTTTTGCTTGATCCCTCATTGTCTTCATCGCTTATGCTAAGCTCTTTCTCAAGAAACTCCACAAAATCTTCCCCAATTTCAAGTGAAGGAGGAGGAGGAACCGCATGATGATTCTCTTGTTCCATGGATGCTCTTGCGGCGGCGAAACGACGACTGTGATCTTCTCCGAGCTTGTAAACGTTATCGCCGTCGTTTTCTATATATAGGGCCGGCCCAAGCTCATATGATGCTTAAAGAGTAAGGGCTGGCCCAAAATCAAATGATGCCATCATCAGACCAAAGATCTATTTATAATACAGTTTTTTTTTTAAATTATGCTAGTTTTTCGATGTGGGACAAACTAAAGCCTTAATATTTTTAAAAAATGTCGATAGACTTTAGTTAAATATGAATTAAAATTAAAAATTAAGTCATATTTTGTTGCCCCAAAATTTTTGATATAATGGACTGCCTTGAAGCCTTTACTTCATGGGCGGAACTGAATTCCGAAATTATAGAGAGTTTAAGAGAATGAAAGGAATTGTTGAGATCCGATGCCTATTTATAGGAAATTAAATACACATATATATAGTTCACGTTAAGAGACATGCAGATGCACTATATATATATATATATATATATATATAACTGAGTTTCCTTAATCTAATTAATTAATTCGTCTGCTAGATGGATTCTTAAAAAAAAAAAATGTAACATGTTAAATTATAATTCCTTACTAAAATGATTTTTTTTTTGGAAAAGTTTCTTTAATCTAATTAATTAATATTCCCTTTAAGCCGACACTGTATATGACTGTCAGGAGGATGAGTTCTAATATTGCTTTGCAAACACTCGCTCTTGCTTAAGTATACCATCATCAAAAATCATCAATATATATAAATATATAAATCAAGATCGCTGTATATTGATGATCTCCTTTATATAAAATAGCTGGATTCTGGGCTTTTCAGTTATGCCATGTAGTGCATAAATATTCAGAAGATATAAATTTACTGTTTTAATGAACTGTACTCATTTTCTATATTTTTGTTTTTGTCGTATATGCATAGTGTTAAAGTGTGTATTGTTACAAATAATGAATTTCATATCTTTTTTGACCTAAAAAAACTTTTCAAATTTACTGACTAGAAACTAACATCACCTATAACATCAATATATAATAGAAATTTTGAAAATTACAAATTAAAATTTAACATCTTCAATTAGAACGTAATATTGTAATTTAAAAAACATATTCACTTTTTTTTCATTCCTAGAAGTAATTACACACACACACCAGCGGATATATGTAGAAGTAAAAACATATCCACGTATTTTTGGATTCTTATTAATTACGTTTTTTTAATGTAATATTATATTATGTTCCCACCATCTTTTACATTCACTTCACGTTGGGAATTTGAAATAGTTAATCTTTTTTTTTCGTTTCTTTATCATCTCATCATGGTAAATACCATAATCCATTCTTTGAATTGAGACCCAACCGACCATTATCTCCAAAAATAATCAAATTTTGATCGATCTTATCCAATAATAAGATTATCCGACATGGTTCTCCACTGTTAGAGAACTCATTTGTGCTCTAAGTCGAGAAATTGATTTGGGAAGACGATGATTGTCTTATTCATCGAGGTTCAGAGTAATTATGTATATCAATGGCTACGGTGATAAAGCAATAAAGTAGTGCCTAGAACAGTGGAGGGAGGATTTAGTATTAGGGCATCTCCAACGCAGGGTTCAAAAGGGGTTCATAAGGATTTTTAAAATTAAAAATAAATCAAAAATGAAATAAAAGTAAAGAACAGGTTCATTGGGAAGGATTTGAAGAGTCGATTTTAGAGGGGTTCGTCGGCCATGTGGCATTATGCTATTGGCTTTGATTAAAAACAATTTTATTAATTTTTTTTCTTCTCGTTTTTTTCTTTCTCTCTCCACTTAAATGGATTTGGAAACTGAAATCAGAGTTATAATCATTTCTTCTTTTCACTTTTTGTTTAATAAAAATTAATAAAATAATCTAAAAAACTCTATTATAGAGTTCAGGGTTGGAGATGACCTTATTACTTGAAAGTGAAGCAACTGCTTTTAGGGTTATGTTCTTCCTTATCAGTGTATTATCCAATTCCATCTTTTTTTTTTTTTTTAATAATCTCATACCCAATATAATTTTTATTTAACCCTAATAGCAAATTAACAATATTAGAAGCATCGAGACACCAATTAAGCAATTCCACTTGAATCTTGATGATGTGAAATCTTCGAGGTCTTAGACCATCGAGAGTTCTTATAAGAATTTTTTAAGACTTTTTATTTTAAAAATAATGTTTAAAGGCCCAAAAACAAAAGAAACGCTTATTTGGGATCTTTAAGGATCGGTTTTTCGCAGACAGGTGTCACAAGCATATTGGGCAATAAAACCTCGGCCATTTCTTCTTTCTGCGACCAAATTTTGGTCGACCAAATTTTTTCTCGCATCGGCCATTTTCCTCGACCATTCTTCTTCTTTCGACAAAACCGAGAAAATTTCTACTCGTCAACGAAGCCCCGTTCTCTCCGACCCCATCCGTCGTGATGGTCGTCTTCTCCAGTCTGAATCGTCGGTTCCTCTTGGTGAAATCGAGGCATCGGAGATTTTTGATCTCTCCATCGATTTCACAGATAAGGATGTCCCTTATTTGCTACCTCGATTTCTCAATTTCTATTGATTTTATTTTTAGGTTGAGCAGCAGAAGTACATTGGGATGGTCGAAAATTGTTGTTGTGATTACGAGACGGTGAATTTGCTGAACATGGAAGTGTTGCATCCGTGACTGGAAGACCTTGTTAAGACTTAAGACACCATTTTATCGATATTTCAAGGTTTGTTCTCCTTTCTTGAAACAAGTGATGATCTTTGTCAGTGAATGTCCTGAGAGTGAGTTCCCTGAACCATTTAAGAAGCCGTTAAGCCAAGACAATCCTGTTTGCCAAGAAGGGAAACCACGAGCATGATGATGAATGGAACAGAGGCCGATCATCCAGAGGACACAGCAAATCAAGGTTGTCTCGGGAGGATAACCATCGCTCAAGATCAAGGGATGCTGATTATGGGAAAAGAAGGCGGCTTACTACTGAATAAAAATATCAGATAAAAGTAAGTAGTTGAATCTAATGGTATCTTTCATCCCTCATGTATCTTAAATCGTACCATTCTTTTTCATGGTTCGTTTTCTGACTAAAAGTTATCCGTTTACAAGGTCATGTTATTGTCTCATTGTCTAAAACTGAGCTCTCTTAGAACAACGATTTTTCAAGCTGATAGTTATCATTGTGGAGAACATTTGGTTTTACTTTTGATCTCTCTACCTTTGGTTTTTCTGAATTTTAATTGATCGAATCATGTTTAATAAGGAGAATCATATATATGATTTTAAGTGAACTCTCTCCATTCTGCTGCCACATCAGCATTTGAATGGAGTACACATGTACTTTCATCCAATTAATAAATCATAAATTAAAAAAAAAATAAATTTAAAACTAATTAATACCACCACTTTTAACTTAATTTCTCTATTTAATGTTTATTTCATATGTATTTATGTTCATAACTATTAAGTTACATTAAAATTAAGGTTTTTTACATTTCTAACAAAAATAAATAAACAACATTTCTAATCTTTTGATATTCATCTAAAAACTTTTAATATTTTTTTGTACTAACTTGATACTTTTTCTTCCGGCTTATCCTCATAATGAACACCTTTTTCGAAGCTTGTTGTATGAAAGAAAGTAAAGATGTAGCATTCTCTACATTCAAAGATTTAGCAGTTTTTATGGGTCAAATATCATATTATTATAGCTGCATTTTATTGTGAAACATGACGTATGAGGTGGTTCTTGCAGAATCATAGCAATTATACATGTCATAAATATGAGAACATTAAAAATCAGAGGTAATAATATCTTTTCAAGCAATTCAACCCAAAAATATGGCTTTTATCTACGTCTTTTTTACTCATATCATGTTTATGATTTCTAGAATAGTAGAATAATTTTTCTACTTATACTACTTCCAATTCTAAAAAAAAAGTTATTTGTTTTACAAAGATTTTATTTAAAAAAAAAACCTTAATACTAAACAATTAAACAAATTATCATATTCTTATAATTATATATATATATCAACACAAACATATTTTTTAAAATAAACAAAACCCGCGCCTATGCGCGGGTACAAGTCTAGTCATGTTTAATAAAGAGAAAGACTTTAGTTGTTTTTGAAAAACCTATTTAGAGTTTCTCCCAATAAACCATTAAAAACAGTAGGTTTCTTAACAAGGGTTTTTAACCTATAATTTATAATAAAAAATTGTTAAGAAATCCATTAGAGGTTTTAGGGATAATGATGCTCTTATACCTTTGAAGTTTGATGTCATAGCTTTCCTATATAGAGTGTACCATTAGCTTCTGTTTCAAGCAACTCAAAGTCCATGAACTCTTAGAGCATCCGCAACGCCGTATTTGATACCGTTTTTTTCAATTATTTATATTAAAAATAATCAAAAGAGGAGACTCAAGCTTAAAAACGTCTCTTATTTGATAACAGGAAGAAACGTTTTTTCCTTCTTCTCCCTGCCATGTGTAACATCTCAATTGATTAGGCGAAATTGGGACAAAATTAAAGAAGACAAATTTTTTTTGGAAGAAACCCTATACAATTTTTTCCATTGGACCATGTAAAATTAGTGGGTCTCTTTAATAAATTTCTTCCATACTTTAAATATTAAAAAAATAAATAAGAGATCAAAATGAATCTCTGCATTGCGGATGCTCTTAGGTGTTCTGCTGGTCAAGCTTTTAAGAAAATAAATATATAGATAGTTAAATAGTAAAAAGTAAACCTAATTCAAATATGAATAGAAAACCTTAAATATTTTAAATATGTTATAAAATTAATTAAAATTGAGAAAATCAAATAAATAATAAGATGGGTTATATATTTGAAAATCTGGTGGGATGATTAGATTAATTGATAGTCAAATCTCCTTTTTTCCCTTTTTTATTTTTTTTTATGTAGACCGTATATATGCTTAGTTTCCTTTATCAAAGTAAACTTGGAGAAATCGTTTCTTTTTTTCCCTATATAAGATGGGTTCAAGGCAAACCTGAAATAAAAATCCAAAACCCTAATCTCCACTTACATAGCCCCTGAGTCGTTTAATTTTTCCTTGGAAGATTAGATCATAATGATAATGTCCAATCTTTCGCCGGATTTGATAGAAGAAATACTCTCTAGAGTTCCAGCCACATCTCTAACAAGATTACGATCTACTTGTAAACGATGGAATACCTTTGAATTATTCAGAGACAGAAGATTCACTGAGAAGCACTCTCGTAAAGCTCCAAAGCAGTCCATGGTTCTCATGTTGAAGGAATATAGAATTTTTGTAATGAGCATTAGTCTCAACGTCGCTGATCCATCTAGAGAGTTTAAGGTTCCGCTTGGCCTAAAGGATTCTCATTCTAATCTAGAAAAAGTATATATATACGAAGCTTTTCACTGTGGCGGTTTGTTGTTATGCAAAACCAACCACGATGGACTTTTGGTTTGGAATCCGGGGGAATCCAGATGGATCCAACCCAAAAGTGATGAAGAGAGCTATCGATGGTCTTTATATTGTCTAGGTTACGAAAACAACAACTTTTGCCATAGCTACAAGATTTTAAGGTGTTTGCATAAACTTATAAAGTTCGAAATTTATGAATTTAGTTCTGATTCATGGAGGGTTCTTGATGTCGCTGCTCTTGTCTTCAGAATAGAGTCACGAGAGGGTGTGTCTTTGAAGGGAAATACTTACTGGCTTGCTTTTGATACAGTAGACAAATTCATACTAAGTTTTGATTTTACAAGAGAGAGATTTAGACGTTTTTGTCTTCCAGTGTTTCAGAATCTTGATGCGATGGCTCTATCAGTTGTTAGAGAAGATAAACTTTTACTGTTACATAGGAGCTTTGATACAATTTCAAAGATGGACATGTGGGTGACTTATATTAATATTGATACTGAAGCTGTGTTGTGGAGCAAATCCTTTACGTTAGATATACCTATTAGTAGTACTGATGGATATATTCCCAATAACTTTTTGGTCGACGAGGAGAAGAAAGTGGTTATGTGTTGTAATCGAAGTTTGAAGCCAAATAGCCGGAAGAGGGAATACGTTATTCATAAATATCACACAGAGTCCCCTTCTGTAGACACTACACACGCATCAGATTTCTCTTTTATTTTCAGTTATGTTCCAAGTTTGGTTCAAATCCAGCGAGTAGAGGAAAAGACTAGTCGATAAAATAAGAAAGTGATTTGTTGCAGCTGCTCTTTCTTTCTTCATTTCTGTATTTGAATCTTTTTTTTTTTTTTTGCTAGACATTGTCGTTTGATTACTTTAATGAATTTATCCATTATGGTTCATTTCTTCTTTGTATTACATTCAAGTTGATAACCAAAACAACAGCCAGCTTGTTTTGTGTATTGTCTTCATCTTTGTTTGTGTCTTTTATGTTTTGAGTAGAAAATCAAAGAAAAAAATGAACAAGACTAAGAAAGAGAAATAGAGATCAATTCTTGGCATGTAAGAAGAAGAATGGTTCAAGTCGGTTATGATTTCGTTTACTTGGATTGAAGCTTGTCGGATAAATCTCTATAATTTTCAAGTACAGCTTTGAATCCAAAAAAAAAGAGAATTGGGTCATCAACATATACACTCTCCTTCCAAACTAGCTTCTAGATGCATCGAGAGACCAATTAAGCCATTCCACTTGAATCTTGATGATGTAAAACCTTCAAGAAGTCTTAGAGATCTTATCCCATTGAAGTTTGATCTCATAGCTTTCCTATATAGAGTGTTACCGTTAGCTTCTGTTTCAAGCAACTCAAATTCTATGAACCAACATTGTTATGTCTTATTTAATACTACGTTAGCTGATTTGTGTTTATGGGCAATTGAGTTTCAGAGCCACTTTCTTTCAGGAGTACTCGAGCAAAAAAAATGTTAAAAAAAAAAGGATAAGAAAGTATGAAGAACTCACACGCATATGTCAAAACTGATTGCCAATTACTTGATGACATTATTGAGTACTTAATTATTGGCAACTATTAACGAAAAGTTGAAAAACAATGAAAATGTTTTTTCAGTGGTGTTGATGACTTCGCCTAACGAAAACTTGAAAAACAATAAAGCTTTTGGTGGAGTAGAGAAATAGTGAACTAATCTTGATACTGATCTCATCTGCATACAAACATAATTGCTTACATGAAATAATATTCTTTAAGAAATATAGTTTCTCAACACAGATCCTGCAACTTTTCCTTGCAAATATACATGGGTTGAAAAGAAAGAAACATCAGAATATCAAAACCAACTACGAAAGAACATTTTCCTGCAACTTTTGGGATTATTGCAAACCAAGATCTTTTTTCAACTGAGCTAGGGTTGCTTCGATCTCATCAATATTATCTTCTATACTGTTCTTCGTGCTATTATTATTATTCCCTGGCGATTTTGAAGAGATTTCGTCAAAATCAGATCTTTCTCCATTTTTGCTTGATCCCTCATTGTCTTCATCGCTTATGTTAAGCTCTTTCTCAAGAAACTCCACAAATTCTTCCCCAATTTCCTGAGTAAAAAAAAAATGATAAGAAACATGAGAATCAATAGAAGCCAATGCCGGTTTTAGTCTACATTCATCTGAACAAAGTCCCCAGGAAAAAACAAAACGATCTCAGTATAGGCATTACCATATTAAAAGAACTAAATCAGATCAGAGGAAACTGGTTACTATACTATAAGTCTATACCAACAATGAGAGATAAGCTTTTGACCTGTAGTCTTGAAATCGGTTTTTAGTTACAAGGTTTATCAAAGAAACTAAAACCCTTAAACAGAGGAAAGATCCAAGCTTTGATAGCCACTAAATTTCAAGTTCAAATTCATATTTGACACGCATTGGGGACTCTGGGTTATCAGTAGTTTAAATTTATATTCTTAAGCTTACCGCTAGTTCCTCCCAAAGACTTTTCGGTTTTCCTTGTGAGGACGCACTAGCTTCCCAGTTCTTGAACTCTTCTTGAAGATCTTTGAAGAAATCCCCTGTTCATACCACAGAAAGTGAGCCTATAAATGAACAATTAACTACAATTATACAATGTCCTGTCCATAAAATATCTAAACGTGCAAAGAAACCAATCTAACGACAGAAAAAAAGATAGATTTCACAGGTTGCGTCTACCGATTGTTAATTGAACATCCCTCACGAATTCACCTGCATAATAAAGTGTGCTGTGCATAAGATAACACTGACCTCAAACAACCTAATTCCCCCCAAAAGATGAAAACACATAAGAGAGAACACCGCAAGGCACTTCTACCACAGCAATTAACGGCATCAAATAATGCCTAGCATGCACACTAAGTTTTCAAACACCATGAACATTTTCACAAACCAAATTTAGCATTGATGTCTGAAACCTTGTGTAAATACTTGTACACCATTGCAAAGTGAGGGTTGTGCTTCATAGAAAAAGTTTCCACTTTACAAAGCAGGGTCCTTGACCACATTTTATCTTTATGGTGTAATCAGGGGTTAGTGTTTTACCAAGTCCATAAAAATCTTCCTCGACTTGACTGTCCCTCTTTCGGCTTGTTTGACCCGTAGAGTATGAATAACCAGACGCACGACTCTCTGAACCATACTTGCGCCGTGACTCAGAGTTTATTAAAGTGGTGTAGGCATGTTTTATCTTCAGAAACTTCTCCTGCGCATTTGCCTGGACACCAAAAACAGTCAGGCATTAATCATACTTTCTTTCATAAAGATACAGATTAACTACAAGTAGGTACAGAGATACACACATGAAAACACCATACAAACTCACAATTCTATGACTTTGAATGTATATGGAAAATATGTAAGCATATATATGGTACCAATCCATTCATATTATAGTTCCAATTCCATGAAACTGTATGTTTCTACAAACGTATAAGCATCCATACATAGTTTCAATTCAGCTGATTTCACAAAGCATAAACCTAGATGAATTCGACTCCATTGAAATAGAAACCATAAAAAATTACCTCTTTATTAACATCTGGGTGATACTTGAGAGCAAGTTTACGGTAAGCCCTCTTTATATCTTGAGCAGTCGCCGACGGAGACACACCAAGAATCTCGTAAGGAGAGACTCTAGCTCTCGGTACTATGATTCGATTTCTCCGTCTTTGATCACAACTCCGTCGCTTATAGAACGAAGCGCGTCCGAAGTCGCCGCCATAGCAGCAATTTGTTACAGGAAAACCCAGAAAACTTATCCGATAAAGTAACGAAATTGGAGGAAGATGAGGCGAAAGGAAGTAAATTTGTGGTGTTGGAGACAGAATCGAAGATGTTGCATACATAACTTTCTCTGCCTCATTGGATCGAAATTTCCTCCTTTCTGGATAATCGATGCGGCTTTTTTGCTTAACCGCTCATCCGGTTTCCGGTTTACTCTTAAATGTAGCATTTTATTCCGGTTAGTATCGTTCTTCTTCTTTCTTCCTTCTTTGTCCCAAAATATAAGTTGGAACTTTTACAAAACTGAAAATGTTCTTCTCCCGCGCTCGAATCTACCATCATAATGCGGCTTTTGATTAATTTCGAAGCTTTGATCCTCAGCCATGAACAAAATTTCCATCGTTCCTTGTTCTTTTCGGTTGTTGTCAGTCGGTTATTATGCTGAACTCATCGAAACCAACGGTCGAGATCGACTTCTGTGCCAAGGAAGAAAGCTTCATGCTCATCTGGTGACATCTGGGATTGCTCGATTGACGAGAATTGCAGCTAAGCTTGTGGGATTTTACGTGGAATGTGGGAAAGTTACTGATGCCAAGAAGGCGTTCGATGGAATGCCCAAGAGAGACATCAGTGGATGTGTTGTAATGATTGGGGCTTGTGCTCGAAATGGATACTACCAGGAGTCTTTGGGTTTCTTCGGAGAAATGAATAAAGAAGGTTTAAAACTTGACGCTTTCATGATTCCTAGTCTTCTTAAAGCAAGTCGCAATCTGCTTGACCAAGAGTTTGGGAGGATGATACATTGTATGGTGCTCAAGTGTTCATTTGAGTCTGATGCTTTTGTAGTTAGCTCACTTATTGATATGTACTCGAAGTTTGGGGAAGTCGAGAATGCGAGGAAGGTGTTCAATGATTTGGCTGAGCAAGATTTGGCCGTGTTCAACGCTATGATCTCTGGTTACGCTAACAACAGCCAATCAGATGAAGCACTGAACTTGGTGCAAGATATGAAATTACTGGGAATAAAACCTGATATTATCACTTGGAATGCTCTGATTGCAGGATTCTCGCATATGGGAAATGAAGAAAAAGTATCTGAGATTCTTGAGATTATGTGCTTGGATGGTCACAAGCCTGATGTTGTGTCCTGGACTTCTATTATTTCAGGCCTTGTTCATAACTTTCAGAATGAAAAAGCTTTAGATGGTTTTAAACAGATGTTAGCTCATGGGTTGTATCCAAATTCAGCTACTATCACTACCCTTTTGCCTGCTTGTACAACACTCGCGAATGTGAAGCACGGGAAGGAGATTCACAGCTACTCGGTAGTCACTGGTCTAGAAGATCACGGTTTCGTTAGAAGTGCTTTGCTCGATATGTACGGGAAATGTGGATTCATATCAGAAGCAATGATCTTGTTCCGTATGACGCCCAAGAAGACGACGGTTACTTTCAACTCGATGATCTTCTGTTACGCAAATCACGGGCTCTCAGACAAAGCAGTTGAGCTATTCAATCAGATGGAAGCCAAGGGAGAGAAACTTGACCACTTAACATTTACGGCTATCCTGACAGCTTGCAGCCACGGCGGGTTAACTGATCTCGGACAAAAGCTGTTCCTTTTGATGCAAAACAAGTACAGAATCGACCCGAGATTGGAGCATTATGCTTGTATGGTGGATCTTCTCGGCCGAGCAGGGAAGCTTGTTGAGGCCTATGAGATGATCAAGGCTATGCCAATGGAGCCGGATTTGTTTGCGTGGGGTGCTTTATTAGGTGCATGTAGGAACCACGGGAACATGGAGCTTGCAAAGATAGCAGCAGAGCGATTGGCAGAGCTCGAACCAGAGAATTCAGGGAATGGGTTGCTTCTGTCCAGTTTGTATGCCAATGCTGGTAGTTGGGAAAGTGTTGTGAGATTGAAGAAGATGATAAAGAAGAAGAAGCTGAGAAGGTTTCCAGGCAGTAGCTGGGTAGATGATAAAGTGTCTTGAACTTGATGGAGAGTTTTGTGGAAAGCATGACCGGTGAAACATTCAGGACAAGACAGAAAGGTTTCAGCTGTGATCTCATTTTCCAATTTTTTTTTCTGAAGGACCAGACCCACCTTTTTCATTAAATTTACATATTTCTCACTAGAATTTTAGATTCATTAGGAGTTTTTGTGCCTGCAAGCATCTAACACTGAGCTATTCTGATGATTGAATTTGCGATATCAAGAAGCGATACAGAGAGTCTTTGAGAAATAATCAAATCACACAAGAAAAGAGAGGAATGTATTGAAGAATGAGCAGAGAACTGAAGCAAAGTAGAACAAACAAAGAGATGAGACACTTGAGATTTTTTTACGAACTTTGAAACCTTCGATCCGAGTAACAGCTTTTACTTCTCAGCAATGATTCCCATCAATTTAGTATCTTTGGCACCATTATCAGGGTTCTCTTAGAAAGAAGATACAATTGCAATATCTGCAACTCATTAACCAAACCGAACTGCTTCACAAATCATACAATTATACAAAGAAACTCAGTTTTTCTATAGAAAGAATTTGACTATCTCGTAACTGTTATGCAAAGAATTGAGATTTCGTAATTGTTTATTGGTATTTGAGATTCTATCATAAACTAAAAAATAAAAAAGTTTGTGATTGATTTATTAGAATCAAAACAGATCGTTCGTACAAAAATCAATTCAACTACTTATTTTTTCCTACTAGACTAGACTACGTCAACTAGATTGAGACAAGCTAAGATACTAAAATTTGAAGAACTGATTCCAAGATCGCTGCAATGTTGCTTCCACGAGACCTACGAAAGAATTGGAGAAAAGGCACGAGCTTATTCACCAAACCCCTAAACTGATGAGCCCTGATCATCTCCTTCTGCGTAACTCTCAGTGCCTTGCCCACCACGAAATTCCCAAATTCATGCCTAGCCAGCCTCATCAACCTGTCTCCATCGCACTTCAAAAGCTCCAAAACCACCACTTCCATCGACTCATCCTTCTCCAGAAGCTTTTCCACGATGTAGCTTCCATACTTTTTGAAAGAAAGATCAACACAGTGGCCATATAGATTAATCGCGATGTTTTTCGTGCACCGCAAGTTATTCTGTTTAAGCAAGTGTTGCACCACAAAGTTCCCTGAAGCATCGTTGCTTAGCCACAGTGCGTTTTGCGCGAGTAATTCTAGCAGTTGCTCTCTGTAGTAAGGATGGTCCAAGTCGGTTATGATATTGTTAAGCGAGATGCAGCCGTATCGGTGACTCGCAAGCCGAAGCGCGTGGTGGAGAATTTGCTCGTAGTATGACTCTTTGTTCTCCTCGTTGAAAACTCTTAATCCACGAATCGCCACGTAGAGGGCGTTCTTGTCGGTCATGACGTGGAGGAAGCGGCGCAAGATAGCGGCGGAGATGAAGGCGTCCACGTCATCTGATTTCCCGAGGAGTATCTGCAGGCGGTTAGAGCCGTTATTATTTCTTGCGATCTCCAAGAAGTAGTCGGAGTCTGACGTCAGCAGAGACGCCATACCCTGAAGCTCTCTTCTGTCTAGCTTCGAGATCATCTCTTTAAACGGAGGCGCATTATCATCGTCTTCTTCGTTGTTAGTCATCAAGTTGAACATCCATTGCAAACGCATCTCCAGTTCTTGAAGAGTTCCGCAAGGTTGGGTGAATCCCGGAGGAGGAATGGCTATGGGGATGCCACGTGGTGGTGGAGGAGGAGGAGCAACCGTCGGATTCGTAGGCTCTGTTGCGGTGGAAAGACGGAGCTGTTGTTGTAAAGAATTGAGCATTGTCGACATTGAGAAGGGATCGCTGTTCGCCATTATTGTACAATGATTCTTCAGAAAGATAATTGTTGAGATTTGTGGAATAATGATGCGTATTTATAGGGTTTTTAATTTGTTTTCCTAGCTACAACACAATTTGGTCAGATTAATACTTTTCCGAAAAGGAAATGTATTTGGCGACGTGGCTGGATTTTCCTTTTTTCGTTTTCAACCATTTAAGAGTTTCCTTATTCCGATTTCTTTTTTTTTTATAACAGTATACACAAATAACTTCTTTTCTTTTATCTGATCCATATCTCGAAGACTACCAAACTTCCAAATCTGCCTTATGAAATATTAATCCTAATATTTTCATATCTTTTATATATTTTTTAAAAAATATCTTCATGACTCCCTTCTTCTTCACATTTATCCTATTAAAACGTGTACAAACTTTCCAAGAGCTAATAATAAGGTATTAAGGATCAACCTTAGATCATGTTCCAGAACATACGGAGTGTGCATTCGTTTATTGATTGAGTTATTTTGATGTCGAAGCTTAAGCTAAGATCTCCACAGATAGAGAACTCATTTCGTTCTCAGACGAGGAATTTATTTGGGAAAACGATGATTGTCTTATCAATGGCTACGATTAGATAAGGACGGTCGATAGTAGTGCCTAAAACAAGAGAGTGAGGATTTAGGGTTATTACTTGAAAGAGAAGCAATTACTTTTAGGGTTATATCCTTCCTCATGCAAATATTCAGTTCTTCTTTTACATCTTCAGACAAGTATAATTTTAATGTAAATATTAAAATATTGTTAACCCTAATGGCGATACTAGTAACAGAGACGTTTAGCAAAAAGAAGAAGAAAAATAAACAGTAAAGTAAACAGAGGAGTACTGAAAAGCAAAGACTTTGATTATGTTTTTCCTTTATCAAGTTTCGATTATGGCTTCTTTTATTTGATAGAGGTTTCAATAGTTCTCGAATGTTATACAAATATTAGTAACGGAACTGCAAAATAGAGACATCCACTAATGATTTAAGACAGAATTTCGAAGCAGACAGTAGTCTCCTTCCAATATTTCTGCTCCAAGCAACTCATCAAAGTCTATAAACCCTTAGGTAGCTTGCTCATATTCTTACTCTGTTTTCTGATTCTTGTTTGTGGGCAAATTAAGTTACAGAATACTTTCTTCCAGGACCAGGGTCAAAAAAAGTACAACGTTCTCTCTTAATCATGGTGTTATGGAGGGAAAAAAGGTAAAATAAATAAATAAATAGGAAGAAATCAAACACATACTGTAAAAACTCTATAAATTAATACTTAGTAAATTAATAAACACTATAAATTAATAATTTTTCATAATCCCGAATTAGACTAGTTCAAAATATGACACAATTCGATAAGATAATAAGATAATAACTTTAATAAAACTTTTATGTAAATTTATGGTCTCATTGTTATCATAAATTAATAATTACCATAAACAAAATCTGATTTAAACATATACATGAGATAATCTACTAAAATACGAGTATAATGATGCATTTTATTTATTTTAAATTAAATCTTTTTTCAAACGCATTTTAAATTTTAGAAAGAAATTTTTAAAAATTATATAATTTTTTTTTTAAATTAATAAAAAATAAAAAAAAATATTTTTTTTTTTGAAATCTATAAATTAATAACTCTATAAATTAATAAAATATTAAAGTCCCAACATTATTAATTTATAGAGTTTTTACTGTATAAGAAAACTGACTAGGAAATTATTTGATATAAGAAAATGAGTACAAAATTCTGTTCAAAAAAAAAATGAGTACGTAATTGCCAGAGCTATTAAAGATAACTTTTAATTGAGCAGGATTAACTAAAAAGATCTTACTACAATAGACCTCATGTTTCTTTCTTTCATTCTTCAGTTTCTCTATCAAGATTTAGAAGTTGATCTATATCCATCCCTACAATGTTATATAGGGTCGCCTGGTATCAAATCAACGCTTCCGAATCTTCTAATACCTTGCTTCTATCTTCGTCCACGAGATCAAGCCAACATCCAATCTTCTATTGTTGGTTGTTTCATCACATAAAAAAACCAATCCTCTGTAAACTTGCTTGTGGCTCCAGCTTGTGCATCCTTCTCTAATGGTCTCTCTGGAACCGTCCCGGTCGTTGCGTGTGCATCAACTTGATGAGCCATGTTTCCTTCTTCACTCGGCTCATGATGATCGTCCATATTCTCGAACTTGTTTATCATGTGAATCTTGCACAGAACCAGTTGTTGAAACTTGTTTTTATCTTCGGGAAGCATATACTCTGTCATAATCCAGCTGCTGTCGCTGCCTGGAACAATAGCACAAGAAGTACCGTCTCCTGTCTTTTGCTTTTTCTTCTTGTTCTTGCTTTTAGTAAAAGTTAGGGTTTTCTTTGTCCCGATAATCTTCCTTGTTTCTTTGTCGATGATATTTTCTGTCGCGTTTGGCTTCCAACTCCCACCTCCATCATTGTCTCCGGTGATCCTCCGCTTCGAGTTCTTACCACAACCGATCTTCTTCTCGGAGATTTGAGTTCTTGTCGTGAAGTAGTACCACACGTTCGTCATGAAAAGAGGATTGTTGTTGTGATCTAGCAACCATGGTTCCTTGGCGTAAACGTCCTTGTCCACTATGATGTCTTTTTCATGCGTTTTACTTTTACCTTTCAACTTGCGCTTTAGATAGTGTTCTAGGAGTTCTTTGTCACTCGGATCGAAGAAAACCCCCCCGTCTCCTTCTTCTCTCGGCCTATGACGATCGTCCTTCTTCTTGGACCTGTTTATCTTGGGAATCTTGTGAATCTTGCACAGGACCAGTTCTTGAAACTTGTTAGCTTCCTCGGGAAGCATATACTCTGTCATAATCCAGCTGCTGTCGCTTCCCGGAACAATAGCACAAGAAGTACCCTCTCCTGTCTTTTGCTGCTTCTTAGTTTTCTTGCTTTTAGTAAAAGTTAGGGTTTTCTTTGTCCCAATGATCTTCCTTGTTTCTTTGTCGATGATATCTTCTGTCGTGTTTGGCTTCCAACTCCCACAGCCATCGTTGTCTCCGCCGGTGATCCTCCGCTTCGAGTTCTTACCACGACCGATCTTCTTCTCGGAGATTTGAGTTCTTGTCGTGAAGTAGTACCACACGTCCGTCATGAAAAGAGGATGGTTGTTATGGTCTAGCAACCATGGTGCCTTGGCGTAAACGTCCTTGTCCACTATGATGTCGTTTGCACCCTTTATACCTTTCAACTTGTGATCTAGATAATGTTCTATGAGTTCTTTATCACTCGGATTGAAGAAAATCCCCCCGTCTTCTTTGCGGTTACCTGACATCGATCTTGTTGTTCTGATTTAGGGTTTGATAACGTTGATTCTATTACGTATGTTGATTCTATGGAATACTGAAACTGTGGAGGATGAATGAGTGTTGAGATCTGTGGAGCAATATGATGCGTATTTATATAGTCACATTCTCATATTTCGAAAAAGGAAATTTTGCAAAACTGAAAAGGGAAAAAAGGAAATTTTCCATTTTCTCATTTTCAATCATATTTTTGTTTGGCGTTTAGAATCTAGATATATTCAGCATTTGTTGGAAAATCCAGTTTTTATAAAACAAAAAGTCAGGTTATTCTATATATCTACCAACATTGCCACAGTCTCCTTTTTATCCCCATTCACTACAAAAAAAACAGCAGGTATTCCTACAAAAAATATCATCAAAAAATGGTAAGAAACAGGCATTTCCTACCAATTTCCGACGAAAATTTTCGGTAGGTTCTATGCCGTCAGAAATTATAAATGGTCAGAAAATGGTAGGAAATTTCCTACGAAACTTTTGGTCGGAAAATTTCATCGGAAAAACTGGTCAGAATATAAGATATTTGCTATTACTTTTCTTCCATTTTCCTACGAAAAAATTCAATTGTTTTCCTACAAACATTTTCCTACCATATTCCTATACCAATTTTTTACTAGATATATAAAAACAGTTTTAATTCAATTAATTCTAAAATTAAATAATTTCAATTATTAAATAAATTATAAAAACTAAATCTAAATTAATCAGCCCAATTAAAAACTAATTAGAAATTAATTTTAACTAAATATGAAACTTCTAAATGCTAAATTATATTAATTCACTTAGTATTTTTTTCTAGTTAAGATATGTCACTATTTATAGAGCCGATTGAGTGTGTCTTCCACTTTGGTTTGTCGATGTGGGAATTTTCCCATCTCTTATTTTGACTGATTTTGGTAGGAAATTGATAGGATATTTAAATAATAAAATATTTGCTTAGTAAGAAATTGATAGGTAGTTTCTACATATAAAGTGGTCAGAAATTTTCGACGAATTTCCTACCATTATCACAGTAAAATTTTTTTATCGATTTCCTACCATTTTCTGATCAGATTTCCTACGAATATTTTTTTGTTGGATATTGGTAAGAAAATTTTGACCGTTTTTCGACTATTTCTATCATAGGAAATTTTTTATCAATTTCCTACCATTTCTAATTTTTGTCATAAATTTGTAGAAAAATGGTAAAAAACATTTCCTACCAAAATTTTCGTAGGAAAATTCATAGGAATTCAGCATGTTTTCTTGTAGTGATTTATAGTCTATAGAAGTTAATTTGTTTATATTAATGATCTTTAAAAAATGGTATATTCTATAAGAAATAGTCTATAGAAGTTAATTTGTTTATATCAACACATCTAGAAGTCTAGAACAAACATCTTTCATGGGTCGAAAGAAACACCAGAATGGCCACAAAGCCGGAAAATAATAAGTCAATTGACAATACCTGATTATGATACAACAATACATATTGAAGGGGAAAAAGAGTCGTTTCTCATAAAAAAAATATATAAATTGGAATGCATGGGGTGAATATAATAACCGAAAACTTATATGTGAAGCTACAACGGGCATAGAAATTGTAAAAGCCTGTTTGGAATTAATTTTCCATTAACACTTTTGGTAGTTTGGTTTGTGAGTTGTACAATGGTTGTGCTGATTGTGTAGGTTCTAGAGGAAAGTGGAATAAATTAAAATTAAAAATATGAACCTTGAATATTTGAATTTTGTGGGCTTGATGATGTTCAAAACTTCAAGAAGTCTTTGTGGTTTCTATGTGGCAACTAATCACAGACCAGGAGGTATTCACCTTTTTTCTAATGCACCATCCTAAGAGCTGCACCAGTTTCTTATGTCTTGAACCTGATTGCTTTCCTATATAGAGTGCACCGTTAGCTTCTGTTCCAAGCAACTCGAAGTCTATGAATCCCTTTGGCATCTTTGGTCAATATACCTGGACCAACACTGTTATGGCTGAGTTGTGTGTTCCGGGTTTTTTTTTCTTTTTTTTTTGAATCTAATATTAAATTGTATTCAAAAGAAGGAAGTAACCTTTCTTACAACTTTTCTGATTGTTTTTAAACGTTTAAATAAAGAAAAAAAAAGTTTTTAACTGTGCGCATAATTGAGTTTCATACATACCACTTTCTTTCAAGACACAGCAAAAAATGCAAAAAAAAAATTAACAAAGGAGTGCAAAAATGTCTTTCAGATCGAACCTTCAACCCTTTGTTAATGATCCATTTGTGTTATTTAATCTTTGGAAACCCGAAAATTAGAAATTTAGCTAAACACAAACCGACCATTTATTTTTAGAAAGAGAAAGAAAGAAAAAAAGGAAAGGATAAGATGAACTTATAAGAAAAAGACAAAGTAAGCCTTTAATATATATTGCCTATCTAAAATCAGAATCTTACTCTGTTATCATCGAAGTTCACCCAGCGTTTCCCCCCACGTGCCACGTAATTGTGCTGGTCCTTCCACACAATTAAGAGAGTTCAAATCTTGAGACCAAAGAAGTTTAAATGATATGAATCTCACATAATCACGTGTCTATAATATATCAGATTAAGACCAGATCTAGGTGAAAGTATCCCCCATCTATCTTCTTGAGCTTCTTCCATTTCTACATTGAGAGATAAGAAAGAGAGATTAGCAATGGAGGAAAAGCGAGCGAAGAGAAGGATAGTGTTAGTTCCAGTACCAGCACAAGGGCATGTAACTCCTATCATGCAACTCGGGAAAGCTCTTCACTCCAAGGGATTCTCCATCACTGTTGTTCTGACTCAGTATAACCGTGTTAGCTCTTCCAAAGACTTCTCTGAGTTTCACTTTATCACCATCCCAGGTAGTTTAACTGAGTCTGATCTAAAAAACCTCGGACCACTCCAGTTTATGACGAAGCTCAATCAAATCTGTGAGGCAAGCTTTAAGCACTGCTTAGGTCAAATATTGCAAGAACAGGGTAACCAAGATGATATTGCTTGTGTTGTCTACGATGAGTACATGTACTTCTCAAAAACTGCAGCTAAGGAGTTTCAACTTCCTAGTGTTGTCTTCAGTACTACAAATGCTACTGCCTTTGTCTGCCGCTCTGTTTTGGCCAAAGTCAATGAAGAAAGGTTCTTGATCGACATGAAAGGTACTCAAGATTTTAATTAAGCTTTTCACCTCTCAGTTTCAAATGCCCATTTAAGTCTAACCAATCTAAAAACGCCGCTCGGTTTTTCTACTATGCAGATCCTGAAATGAGAGACAAAGTGTTTCCAGAGTTGCATCCTCTAAGGTACAAGGACCTACCAACTTCAGCATTTGGACCAATAGAGGGTATGCTCAAGATTTACAGTGAGAGTGTTAACATTGGAACAGCATCCGCTGTTATCATCAACTCAGCGAGCTGTCTAGAGAGCTCGTCTTTGGCAAGGCTGCATGAAGATCTGAAAGTTCCGGTGTATCCTATAGGCCCGCTTCACATTGCAGCTTCTGCACCTTCTAGTTTACTTGAAGAGGACAGGAGCTGCATTGAGTGGTTGGACAAGCAGAAACCAAGCTCAGTGATATACATAAGTTTAGGAAGCTTAGCATTAATGGAAACCAAAGACGTGTTGGAGATGGCTTGGGGGTTAAGTAATAGCAACCAACCTTTCTTATGGGTGATCCGGCCAGGGTCTATTCCCGCCTCGGAATGGACAGAGTCTTTACCAGAGGAATTCAGTAATTTAGTTTCAGAGAGAGGTTACATTGTGAAATGGTCTCCGCAGATGGAAGTTCTAAGACATCCTGCAGTAGGAGGGTTTTGGAGTCACTGTGGATGGAACTCGACGCTAGAGAGCGTCGGAGAAGGAGTTCCTATGATCTGTAGGCCTTTTACCGGTGATCAGAAAGTCAATGCGAGGTACATAGAGAGTGTTTGGAGAGTTGGAGTTCAATTGGAAGGAGAGCTGGAGAAAGGAACAGTGGAGAGAGCTGTGAAGAGGTTGATTGTGGATGAAGAAGGAGAAGAAATGAGAAAGAGAGCAATCGGTCTTAAAGAGAAGCTTGAAGCCTCTGTCAGAGGTGGAGGTTCCTCATTTACCTCACTAGACGATTTTGTCAATTCCTTGAAAACGAAGGATTCCATGTAGAGTAAGATAGTTTTTGTTCATAAAGCAAAAGTATATCAGAAGAGATTCATTCAGTATTGTGAATCAAATGGCATAAAATGACATTTATTCTATATTAATTGTATATTGTTGTAGTTGTATCCGACTAAAAGAGTTTGCATTTGGAGACGAGACTGAGTTTCTCTTAAATAGGATAAGAGATGAAGGGCTTGATCTTTGAAACCAAGTTCAATCGTTTGAATCCTTTAGGTTCCTTCACTTTGGCACCAAACTAAACAATTAGATGCATCGGATAAAGAAAGACTGTCAGGGGAAAGGTCTGTTACGTGTCATCTACCAGAAAGATCATGTTCTCTGCTAAAGCTGCTATGAGCTTGCTTATGGTGGAAGATAGAGAGTATGAAGAGAAGATCATGTCCTCTCAGCTTCATGCCTCTGTCAAAATTGGAGGATCTTCATACCACTTGCTTGTGTAAACTTCCATTGGGACATTGTGACGATCATAAATTTTCACATAGAAAAGTAACTTATCCCTAGCAATTTCACCACATTTATCTATTACTCAAAACAGATATTTCAGACGCAGCAGTTGATGACTGAATTTATGTAACAACGTGGTTTTATGGGCAAAGAAAAATCAAAAGAAGGTTTTGATTATTGTTGTTGGAATGTCACTTTCTTCCTCTAGTTGGGAGTTGATTGGTGAGTGACCCTCTCAACACAATAAAAGGAGAGTAAAGTCCCAATAAAAGACTAATTAAGTCTAACAAAACGGCCACCATTACAATATTAGATTGACTGTTTAAAAGAAATGAAAAAAAATTAATCAAAGTCAAGAAGCATGAGAGTCTATCTGATACTGTTTTCATTATCCAAAGAAAGAAACGATTACCAAGTCATAGGTGCATTTTGTGCAAGAATGTTGTCAACGTAGAGGAGTAAAATCTGTTTTATGGGCCGTACCTAGGCTCATTTTATTTCCCTAGCAGCCCAACCTCGCGTACAACTTGCTTCCCCTGTATCACTGGGCGACTCGGTAGCACTAAACTCAACTCCATTGCATCACAGAGTCAACTCCGTCGCCTCATATTCCAAGTGTCAGCATTATCTTCTTCTTCTTCTTCTTCTTCTTCTGTATCGGAAGCTTTCTTCGATCTTCCTCTTGCGGTTTCGTTTCTAATCGTAGATTTTTTTTTCTGTTCCTTTTCGAAGGTTTTTGTCGATTCAAAGTAGATAGATCGGAATTAGGCAAAATAGATTTGATAAATCTAGTTGCTGTTGTGGAAGATTCGCTTAGATTTTAAGTTTCCGAATCGAGATTTTGTTGTGCTGTTCAGGTAGCGGAACCAGTTATGTTAGGAATCGTCGCATAGAGTATAAACCCTAATTTTGGAGGCCCTGTGTGTAGTGGTGCAATTGAGTAATTAGATATGGAAACCCAATTTTTTATGGAAGCAAATGTTGAAAAATCAAGTAGTGATGGTGAGTGGACAGTGGTTTTGCCTAGTAAAGGAAGAAGACAGGGGAGAAGAAAACCGAAACCTAAAGTGCAAGAAGAAGAAGAAGAAGAAGAAGAAGAAGAGCAACCATGGCAATCGGATGATCTTGAAGTTGATCCAGAGAGGCAATCAAGACTAAAGCAGAAGATGGAAATCTCTATGAAGAAAATCGAAAGCTCAAAGTTTTACACAACATTCTTGGAGCAGCTCAAGTCTGCAGAGGTTTCAGACCAGTTTCGTCTCGTGTTAGGCACTGAAACACGGCTCCAGGTGGTGATGTATGGTATAGGAAGCATCGAGTCTTATGAATCTCCAAGGTTTCAGCTGAGCATTGCAATCTTGATGAAGAAAGAGTTTGATTGGATAGGTAACATAGAAGTGTTCGATCCAGTCCTGTCGGCGACTGAATCTAGTGTTCTACAATCTCTAGGATGCACTGTTCTATCTATGAACGAGCAAGCTCGCAGGGAAGCCTTAAAGCCTACTCTTTTCTTCATGCCACACTGTGAGGCCAATCTGTACAACAACCTATTGCAAGCAAATTGGAGAGTGGATCGATTGTCCAGAATCGCATTGTTTGGGAACAGCTTTCAGATGTATGAGGAGCAAGTGACGTTAGACCCGGAAGTCATCCGTGCCACCAAACGGATCATAGCTGCACGAAGTATCACGAGCGAGTTTGCTATTGAGACGGTATCTGATGATTATTTTGCAGCTTTCCATGATTCAAGCTGGCATTTTTTCAGCCCTGGTATTGATTCAGAGCTGCCATTGTTGGTTTCAGAGGGATTTTAGATCATTGTATCAAATGCTATTCGTTTCTGCAATGCTAATCTTTATTTTTGTTTTTTTTTTTGTCTGTTGTTTCCTGCATAATCTTTTAGAGGGTACAAACCCAATTGAACTATTGAAGTGATCATTTTGCAGTCAATAAAGTTTAGTGCTTGTGAAGTTATAGTAACTAAAGAAAGCCTCCCGTTTATTTCTATAACACAATCAATTCAAGTTGGTTCATTCCATGTAAAAAATGAATAGGTTAAACTTTTCACTCTATTGTTATGCGTGGCAAACAGTTTGAGTGAAAACTAACTGTAGCAAATAGTTAATTTACACAATTACACAACTAAGTTGATATTAACGGTGTACATTGTACTTGTTGTCTCAAAGTTGTGTGGTAATCAGTTGCTATAATTGAGATTCGTCTATTTCATTAGTTGCTTACACGGATCAAAGTTTGTTGAGCGACTTTTCTTTTATCAATTTGGCACGAATAAATAATTCATTGCATCAACGTGTAAGAAATGGTAACTATATTTTCTAAAGATTCCAACCTCCACCTCATATCATTGCTAAACATAAATAACAATTTTTTTTGTCGACTGCTAAACATAATAATAACATATGTCAAAATGATTAAAAATGTAACAACAAAAAAAAATTAAAAAGATAAATAATTTAGCAGTCAGCATACTCAGCATACTTTTGCTCCTGGCTTGATTTTACAGGTTGAAATGATGTCGTTTAGTGACTTTCCCAGAAAAAAACGGAGATCAGATGGGTCCAACGTAGGCCCCGTAACCAGCAGACACGGCGCCTCTTTTGAATTTTCTTTTAGAAACTCGGCGTTTCCACTATCCGCGTTGGTCAACAGACGCCTCGAACGCTTCTCTATACATAAACGACCGTTAACACTTCTGCTATCTTCTACCCAGCCAAACACTTACACGTGTCTATTTACCGTCTAATCCGACGCTGTTAATTCCGCCTTAAAAACCACGTTTCCAATTTCTCATCTCAATCTCTCTCTCATTAACTGTGGTCAGCGATTCCTCTGCTTCTTCTTCTTCTTTCACATCAATCTCACCGAATCAGAAGAGGTCCATAGATGACAACTACAACTCCGATTACGGCGTCTTATTGGTGTTATAGCTGCACGCGATTCGTAAGCGGCTGGGCTGAACAAGGTTCCACCTCCGGCGTCACTTGTCCGTACTGCGACGGCGGATTCATCGAAGAGATTAACGATTCCTCCTCCGCAGCTGCCGAGTTAGTGAACCCAGCTTCCACTGAAGTTAGATCGATCAACAATAGCCGTAGATCCGTGATTAGACGCCGGAGATCCGGTCGTCGTCCGTCGTTTAACCCGGTCATCGTCCTCCAGGGAGGCGCCGGCGAGAGAGATGAGGGAGAAGAAGCAGACGGAGCAAGGGATCGACGTGCTTTCGAGTTTTACTACGACGATGGATCTGGATCGGGTCTAAGGCCGCTTCCGGATTCTGTATCTGAGATCATGATGGGATCGGGATTTGACCGGTTGCTCGAGCAGCTGAGTCAGATCGAGGCTTCGGGAACCGGAATCGGTAGATCTGGAAACCCTCCGGCGTCGAAATCGGCGATTGAGTCTTTGCCGAGAGTCGAAATCTCGGATTGCCACGTAGTTGCGGAGGCGAATTGCGCAGTCTGTATGGAGGTTTTCGAGGCGGAGACGGAGGCGCGTGAGATGCCGTGTAAGCACATTTTCCACGAGGATTGCATCGTGCCGTGGCTCTCGATCCGGAACTCGTGCCCGGTCTGCAGATTCGAGCTGCCTTCAGAGCCTAACCGACGAAGCAGCAACAACGAGGAGGAGAACGCAGTGGGGATGACGATATGGAGACTTCCCGGAGGCGGAATCGCCGTCGGGAGGTTTAACGCCGCAATGAGAGACGGTGAGAGAGTTTTGCCTGTGGTGTTGACAGAAGTTGACGGTGGTGGGATTGGTAATAGCGACGGTCCTAGACGGATATCGTGGGTTAGAGCACACGGGACACTTGAATCAGATGTTGCTGCTGGCTCCGGCTCAGGAGGCAGATTGAGAAGGATGGTTCGTGGAATGGTGTCGTTAATGAGGAGAGTTAGGCCAAATCGTGGCTCTTCTTCTTCTGCTGATATTTCATCTTCTTCTAATCAGTTGGATTTGAACATTGAAGTAGAATCTAGGGTTTTGGATCGGTCGAATTCAGTGTTGAGAAGATACTTCGGGCGAAACAGAAGTAACAGAGATTCTTCAGTTCTGCATTGAGAATACATATATTTTATTGGTTTGTTTGTTCATTCAACAGTGTAAATGTAAGAATTCAAAAGAAAGATTGGAAGTCCATTTTGACATTTCATTCGATTGATTTCTTCGTATGTTACATTACATCAAATTTCTAACATGTTCATTCAAGTTTATTTCATCATTTTGTTAGCTTGTGTTTTGGACCTCGAAACTTTTCCCGAGATTTTTGGCTGTTTGGTTTCCGAGAAAGTAAAAGAATGCTTTCCCTTTAAGCCTTTTTTTCCTCGGTTGCTGAGAGTAGGCCTAAGCTGAAAGATGCACAGAAAAAGAAAAAGAATTGATGGTTAAATTGAATTCAAATTTCAACTGCAAGTCTTTTTAATTCATACCTGGACGGTACCGTTATGGTTCGGAATGGTTGACCAAGTCAAAACTGTCCACTTAAAGTACTGAACGATGCAAGTAGTCTTAAAAAAAAACACTCAAAATGATCTCCTGAATTATTCCAGCAACCAAATTTCGGTAAATAAAGTTGGATCTAGCCCTGTCTATATGCATAATTAAGTAATTAGACCTTAACATAAAGCAAAAGTGAACAAGAACAAAAAAAAACTGGACAAGAAAAAATCAACTACGACAGGTCACTAGGTCAGTGTGTGTCTCTCTGTGTGAGAGAGAGAGAAGGACTACTACATTCATAAAATCATGAGATACAGTCAGAAATCCACAAAAATGGACATGTTCGGTCCCACACACTCATGACCAAATGCCAACCGTCGGTTCTCGTTTTGTTTTTTATCCACATTTTTGCTTTATCTTCTTTAAAACAGACATCTTGTAAAGAAAAGAATAACAATATAAAATGATAACCGAAAACTCGATCGAACTCGATCCTTATGTCGAGCGTAAAGCTTTCGACGAGACAAAAGAAGGAGTCAAAGGCCTCGTCGACGCTAAAATCACTGAAGTTCCTCGAATCTTCCACGTCCCTCAAGATACCTTAACCAACAAGAAACCATCTGTCTCTGCTTCAGACCTAGAAATCCCTGCCATCGACTTTGCAAGCGTCCACGTCGACACGGCGTCACGTGAAGCCGTCGTAGAGAAAGTCAAATACGCGGCGGAGAAGTGGGGATTTTTCCAGGTGGTCAATCATGGTATTCCTTTAAACGTTCTTGAAGAGATCAAAGATGGAGTTCGCAGGTTTCACGAGGAAGATCCTGAGGTCAAGAAAGGATACTTCTCGCGCGATTCCGCAAATGACAAATTTGTCTACAACGGTAACATGCTTTACATCATTTTTTTTTCTTAAATATGTCTGTGATTTGAAAAAGGTTTTAAAGAGATTGAATTTTAATCGGTTAATATTCTTATGGGGTAAGCCGGATTTGACACTCTTGTATATGCATCAAACACAAAATTGATCGTTGACTAGTACTAAATTATTATGATGAGTCTATTGAAAAGTCTAGATTTTGTTTTACTTGATAAGAGAGTGATTGATTTCTAACTATTGATTGACTCAGGGATGCTATGATCGAATACTCAAAGCATGTGCTGAGTTTAGGTGGTCTGCTCCTAGAGCTTCTCTCAGAAGCCCTAGGTTTGAATTCTAAGATCCTTAAGAGCAAGGATTGCTTAAAGTCTTTGCTCATGCTCGGGCATTATTACCCTCCGTGTCCACAACCAGACCTAACTTTAGGGGCAAATAAACACTCAGACAACTCTTTCCTCACGGTTTTGCTTCAAGATGACAACATTGGTGGTCTTCAAGTTCTTCATCAAGACTCTTGGGTTGATGTCGCTCCTCTTCCTGGAGCTCTCGTCATTAACATCGGGGATTACTTGCAGGTAAAAAATAAGAATCTGAAACAGATATGTAAATACCTTAAATCTTAATGCGTTTTGTTTATATATGTTGAATTTGAATTTGCAGCTGATGACGAACGATAAGTTTGTAAGTTTGGAGCATAGGGTGCTTGCGAATAGACAAGGACCAAGGATTTCGATAGCAATCTTTTTCACCTCAAGTAAACGTCCAAATCCCAACGTTTATGGACCAATGAAAGAGCTTGTGTCTGAAGACAACCCTCCTAAATACAGAGACATGACCATACAAGAATTACACAGAAGGATACTTTAAGAAAGGTCTCGATGGAACATCGCATCTCTTGAATTTCAGGATATAAAATTTGTGTGTTTCTTAGCATCAATTTAGTCTGTTCTTGGCTCTGCAATAACTAAACCTACGTACCAAAACTATATCTATATCTCTCATATATACAAAGAATATATAGAAAGAATAGCGTGTGAAAAAAAAAAAAAAAAGAAGAAAGAATAGCGTGTGTGCATGCGTTCATATGTATTAATGTATATGTGTTGAGCTACTCTGTATTTGGATCTCTTACAATGTTATAAATCTAAGAATTCTCTCCTCAATTTCAGCACTCAAATTAACGGTAGTTAAAGTGAAATCTAGGGCTATATGCATGATTAAGTAATTAGTCCATAATAAAACAAAAGCAGAGAAGAAAAAGTTAATTACGACAAGTCGTTAAAGTGAGAGTGAGAGAAAGAGAGAGACAACATTCATGTGATCATCAGTTACAAAGTCTACAAATTCAGTCCCACACACCAAAGACTAAAACTCCTACCGTCGATTCTTAGTCGTCCATTTTTGTCTTCACTTTGCTATTTCTTCTTCTAAGTAGAAATCTTGTGAAAAAGAAAGCATAAAGAATGGGGACCAAAATCTCGATCGAGTTCGATCCTTATATCGAACGAAAGGCTTTCGACGAGACAAAAGTAGGAGTAAAAGGACTCTGTTTTACTTGAACAGAGAGTGATTTGATTTCGAACATCATTGATCGACTCAGGGATGCTATCATGCTAATATGCTATGATCGAATGCTCAAAGCATGTGATGAGTTTAGGATGTTTGCTCTTTGAGCTTCTCTCAGAAGCACTAGGTTCGAAATCTGATATACTTAAGAGCATGGATTGCTTGAAGACTTTGGTTATGATCTGCCATAATTACCCACCGTGTCCACAATCAGACCTAACTTTGGGGATAAGTAAACACTCAGACAGCTCTTTCCTCACGGTTCTTCTTCAAGACAACATCGGTGGTCTTCAAATTCTTCATCAAGACTCTTTGGTCTGAAGAAAACTGGCTATGCAAAAAGTAAACCAATGAATCAAAAATAAGAAAGCATAGTCTATTTCTGTGTGTATGTGTTGAGCTACTCGGTGTTTGGGTCTTTTTTACTTTAGCCATACGTATCAGTCTATAAGTGAATGCTTTGAATTAATTTGATCTAAAGATTCAAAACTTTATTTAATCCATACATGGACGGTACCGTTATGGTTCGGAATGGTTGACCAAGTCCAAACTGTCGTTAAAATGTTGAACAATGAGTTGACATAAAAAAAAATCTCGTTCCACACAAAATGGTAGATGTAACTATGTAAGTAGTCTAAAAACACTCGTAATGAAATGATCTCTTCAATTCCAGTAACCAAATTTCCGGTAATTAAAGCTTAATCTTGCATAATTGAAATTTCACCAATAGTTTTATGGAGTATTTCATATTTAAAAAACCTTATGTTTCGTATCATGCAAATTAAACCACAGACGCTCTCAGGGTTGATTTTCTGATGGAGACCGAAACACACTGTGTCACTAACCTATAAACGACATGGTGCCTTCTACACATAAATCTCGAGAAAAGGCTGCAACAAAAAAAGGAAAAAAAAAAAAAACTGGTAGAAATTTCACCTAAAATATCCCAAGGAAAAAAAAGGTATTCCAAAACCCAAAATTTTAAATACACCTCATTTTTCGGGGTTTTTGGTTGAAATCTCAAACTTCCAGGTTTTTTTTCGCAAATTTTCCCACCACACACTAATGACCTAACTTCAACCGGCGGTTCTCAATCTTTCCTTTATTATCCTCATTTTGCTTTATCTTCTTCAAAGCCGAGATCTTGTAAGAAGAAAAAAAGAACAAAAAAAAAGATGACCAAAAACTCGAACGAACTCGATCCTTATATCGAGCGCAAAGCTTTCGACGAGACAAAAGGAGGAGTAAAAGGCCTCGTCGACGCTAAAATCACTGAAGTTCCTCGAATCTTCCACATACCTCAAGATACCTTAACAGACAAGAAACCATCTGCCTCTGTATTAGACCTAGAGATCCCTACCATCGACTTTGCAAGCGTTCACGTGGACACGGCATCACGTGAAGCCGTCGTAGAGAAAGTCAAATACGCGGCGGAGAAGTGGGGATTCTTCCAGGTGGTCAATCATGGTGTTCCTTTAAACGTTCTTGAAGAGATCAAAGATGGAGTTCGCAGGTTTCACGAGGAAGATCCTGAGGTCAAGAAACGATACTTCTCGCGTGATATCGCCAATAAAAATTTTGTCTACAACAGTAATTTCGATCTATACAGTCCTTCGCCGTCTGTTAACTGGAGAGATACTTTCCAGTGTTACATAGCTCCAGATCCTCCAACTCCTGAGGAACTCCCAGTGACTTGCAGGTGACGGTAACATACTTAACATCTTTTTCTTCACTTAAATATATTTGGAGGTCGCAATTCACAAACCTAATCATCAATCAGAGCTGCAAACTGCAATGGCCATATAAATTTCTTAGAGGCTAAGAAGGATATGCATAAGTTTGTAAAGTATTATCAATCGATTTGAACGTCTAAACTTTGAAAAGAGAGTGATTGATTTCTAACATCATTGATTGACTCAGGGATGCTATGTTCGAATACTCAAAGCATGTGCTGAGTTTAGGTGGTCTGCTCTTAGAGCTTCTCTCAGAAGCCCTAGGTTTGAATTCTGAGATCCTTAAGAGCATGGATTGCTTAAAGAATTTGCTCATGGTCTGCCATTATTACCCTCCGTGTCCACAACCAGACCTAACTTTGGGGATAAGTAAACACTCAGACACCTCTTTCCTCACGGTTCTTCTTCAAGACAACATCGGTGGTCTTCAAGTTCTTCATCAAGACTCTTGGGTAGATGTCGCTCCTCTTCCTGGAGCTCTCATCATCAACATCGGAGATTTCTTGCAGGTAAAGTAAGATTATGAAATAGATACTTAATACATTAATCTAAAATGTGTTTTTTATTTATATATATTCCTAATTTGATTTCGCAGCTGATAACGAACGATAAGTTTGTAAGTGTGGAGCATAGGGTGCTTGCGAATAGACAAGGACCAAGAATTTTTCAGTAGCAAGCTTTTTCAGCTCAAGTAAAGGGCCCGATTCCACAGTTTATGGACCGATGAAAGAGCTTGTGTCTGAAAACAACCCTCCAAAATATAGAGACATAACCTTGAAAGAATACACAGAAGGATTCATTGAGAAAGGTCTCGATGGAACATCGCATCTCTTGAATTTCAGGATATGAATTCTGTGTGTTTGTTAGCATCAGTCACTCTGTTCTTGGCTCTTTAATAATAAAACCAGTGTACCTAAAGAAAAATGTGCGTTTCTACGTAAATGTAATGAGCTACTCTGTATTTGGATCTTTCTACTTTAGCCAATAAGTATCCCATTACGTAGCCATAAGTGAATGCATTGCATTGATTTGATCTAAAGATTCAAAACTTTATTTTTGCTTTCTACCTCTTCAGTTCTTGTTTGAGATTGTGACAAGGATGAAGTTATTTTCGTTACCACACCAATTTTAATTGCTTATTTTATATATATGCCTATATGGAATGGAGAACTAACCAAAGAAAATGTCGACTCTTACCTGGATAGTGGATACTATCCCACATCCATATTAATTAATTTATATGGAATTTAATTTTTAGAAAGTAATGAGTTTACGCCTTACGGGTAGCTGTAAATGACATTTAAAATAATATACAGTTATATTCATTTATGCCGAGGACATTTTTATAAAACAGGGGAGTATTTTTTTTATATATATAAAATTTTAGTTATACCTATTAAAATGCATAAGTTATCTTTTTTTTTTAATTTTTTAACATCTGCCATCTTAATTAAAATTATCTTGAAAGAGTTCAACATGACCCCATTTATGATGATCAACTAGTCGAACAAATTCACCATGTACAAAGAGCAATATTGAAAGAGTTCCAGCTTTTCTTTTGTAAAAATATTAGACAACACCTCTTTTGGGGAGTAGTATTAGGTAGAACTATATGCATAATTGAGCAATTAGTCCATAATAAACCAAAATCAGAGAAGAAAAAGTTAACTACGACAAGTCGTTAAAGTGAGCGTGAGAGAAAGAGAGAGACAACGATCAGTTACAAAGTCTACAAAAACGGACATATTCGGTCCCACACACCAAAGACCAAAATTCCTACCGTCGATTCTCTTAGTCGTCCATTTTTGTCTTCACTTTGCTATATCTTCTTCTTAAGTAGAAATCTTATGAAAAAGAAAGCAAAAAGAATGAATGGTGACCTAAAACTCGATCGAGTTCGATCCTTATATCGAACGAAAGGCTTTCAGCGAGACAAAAGAAGGAGTAAAACTGTAAAAGGACTCGTCGACGCTAAAATCACCGAAGTCCCTCGAATCTTCCACGTCCCGAAAGATTCCTCAACAGACAAGAAACCATCTGTCTCTGTTTCAGACCTAGAGATCCACAAAAATGCACATGCTCGGTCCCACACACTAATGACCAAATGCTAACCGTCGGTTCTCTTTTTGTTTTTTTATCCACATTTTGCTTTATCTTCTTCAAAACAGACATCTTGTAAGAAAACAAAAAAAAAAGAAGGAAAAAGATGGTGACCGAAAACTCGATCGAATTCGATCCTTATGTCGAGCGCAAAGCTTTCGACGAGACAAAAGAAGGAGTCAAAGGCCTCGTCGACGCTAAAATCACAGAGGTCCCACGAATCTTCCACGTCCCGCAAGATTCCGCAACAGACAAGAAACCCTCTGTTTCTGTTTCCGACCTAGAGATCCCTACCATCGACTTCGCAAGCGTCCACGTGGACACGGCGTCACGTGAAGCCGTCGTAGAGAAAGTCAAATACGCGGCGGAGAAGTGGGGGTTCTTCCAGGTGATCAATCATGGTGTTCCTTTACACGTTCTTGAAGAGACCAAAGATGGAGTTCGCAGGTTTCACGAGGAAGATCCTGAGGTCAAGAAACGATATTTCTCGCGTGATTCCGCCAGTAAAAAGTTTTTCTACAACAGTAATTTCGATCTATACAGTTCTTCTCCGTCTGTTAGCTGGAGAGATACTTTCACTTGTTTCATAGCTCCAGAACCTCCTTCTCCTGAGGAACTCCCAGTGACTTGCAGGTGACGGTAACATACTTGACATATTTTTTTCTTTTTCTTAAATATGCCTGTGATTTGAAAAAGGTTGTAAAGAAATTAGTGTTTTAACCGGTTAATTTTCTTATGGTGTAAGCCGGATTGGACAGTACTCTTGTATGCATCAAGCACAAAATTAATCGTTGACTAGTACTAAATTATTATGTGAGTCCTTTAAAAGATAGTGATTTGATTTATAACATCATTGATTGACTCAGGGATGCTGTGATCGAATACTCAAAGCATGTGATGGTTTTAGGTGGTTTGCTCTTTGAGCTACTCTCAGAAGCCCTAGGTTTGAATTCTGATATACTTAAGAGCAAGGATTGCTTAAAGTCTTTGCTCATGCTCGGCCATTATTACCCACCTTGTCCACAACCTGACCTAACTTTGGGGATAAATAAACACTCAGACAACTCTTTCCTCAGTGTTCTTCTTCAAGACAACATCGGTGGTCTTCAAGTTCTTCATCAAGACTCTTGGGTTGATGTCGCTCCTCTTCCTGGAGCTCTCGTCATCAATATCGGAGATTTCTTGCAGGTGAAGCAAGATTATCAAACAGATACCTAATACATTAATCTAAATTTATTTATATATATGCCGAATTTGATTTCGCAGCTGATAACGAACGATAAGTTTGTAAGTGTGGAGCATAGGGTGCTTGCGAATAGACAAGGACCAAGGATTTCAGTAGCAAGCTTTTTCAGCTCAAGTAAACGGCACGGTTCCACAGTTTATGGACCGATGAAAGAGCTTGTGTCTGAAAACAACCCTCCAAAATACGGAGACATAACCATAAAAGAATACTCAGAAGGATACTTTAAGAAAGGTCTCGACGGAACATCGCATCTCTTGAATTTCAGGATATAAAATTTGTGTGTTTCTTAGCATCAATTACTCTGTTCTTGGCTCTGCAATATATATATATATATACATATATATTTATTTTATTTAGCAAAAACAAAATATGTAATGTATATGTGCTGAGTCTGTCATTATGCTCGGTTTCGTCATGCCATTCATATCACCACCCATATATTATTATATGTATAAGTGGAACTTTATGAAGGTCATTATTATTGGACCAATTTATAAATTCTAGTTGTTGAACGATCACCATGTAGCTATATTGAAAGAGTATCAGTTTTTATTCTGCCCAAAAATATTAGATAACACATGTTTTGGGGATTAGTAATATAGAGTAACTTCAACACAAGACTCAAAAACTTTTCAAATAAATGATCAAATCCATTATTTGGTAATCCAGAAAAATCTCCTCAGTTTGAGCACTCAAATTACGGTAACTAAAGTGGAATATTCTAGGGCTATATGCATAATTAAGTAATTAGTCCATAATAAACCAAAAGCAGAGAAGAAAAATTCAACTACGACAAGTCGTTAAAATGAGTATGAGAGAAAGAGAGAGGCAACATTCATGTGAATATGTGATCATCAGTTACAAAGTCCACAAAAACGGAGAAATTATATTCGGTCCCACACATACACCAAAGACCAAATTACTCCTACCGTCAATTCTTAGTTTTGTCTTCCCCCTTCGCTAGTTCTTCTTCTAAGCAAAAATCTTGTGAAAAAGGAAAGTAAAAAGAATGGTGACCAAAAACTCGATTGAATTTGATCCTTTTATTGAACGAAAGGCTTTTGACGAGACAAAAGTAGGAGTAAAAGGGCTCGTCGACGCTAAAATTACCGAGGTCCCACGAATCTTCCACGTCCCGAAAGATTCCTCAACAGACAAGAAACCATCTGTCTCTGTTTCCGACCTAGAGATCCCTACCATCGACTTGGCAAGCGTCCACGTGGACACAGCGTCACGTGAAGCCGTCGTAGAGAAAGTCAGATACGCGGCGGAGAAGTGGGGTTTCTTCCAGGTGGTCAATCATGGTATTCCATTAAACGTTCTTAAGGAGATTGAAGATGAAGGTCGCAGGTTTCACGAGGAAGATCCCGAGTTCAAGAAACGATACTTCTCGCGTGATTTCAACAAGAACAAGTTTGTCTACAACAGTAACTTCGATCTATACAGTTCATCTCCTTCTGTTAACTGGAGAGATGCTTTCTCTTGTTACATGGCTCCAGATCCTCCGTCTCCTGAGGATCTCCCAGTGACTTGCAGGTAACGGAAACATGTTTACTACTTTCTGTTTTTTAATTCCATGATAATTCCTGGATGTGTCAAGCACAAATTGATCGTTGACTAGTTAATTATTATGATGAGTCTATTGGAAAGTCTAGACGTTGTTTTAAAACTTGAACAGAGACTGATTTAGTTTCTAACATCATTGATTGACTCAGGGATGCTATGATTGAATATTCAAAGCATGTGATGAGTTTAGGTGGTTTGCTCTTTGAGCTTCTCTCAGAAGCCCTAGGTTTGGAATCTGATATACTTAAGAGCATGGATTGCTTGAAGACTATGCTATTGATCTGCAATTATTACCCACCTTGTCCACAACCTGACCTAACTTTGGGGATAAGTAAACACTCAGACAACAGTTTCCTCACGCTTCTTCTTCAAGACAACGTCGGTGGTCTTCAAATTCTTCATCAAGACTCTTGGGTCGATGTCTCTCCTCTTCCTGGAGCTCTCGTCATCAACATTGGAGATTTCTTGCAGGTAAAATATAAAATCGGATACATTTAAATTAACGAATCTTTGGTTTTATATATATGTGGGTTTGATTTTGCAGCTGATAACGAACAATAAGTTTGTAAGCGTGGAGCATAGAGTGCTCGTAAATAGAGAAGAGACAAGGATTTCCATTGCGAGCTTTTTCAGCTCAAGTGCACTCCCCAATTCCAGGGTTTATGGACCGCTGAAAGAGCTTGTGTCTGAAGAAAACCCTCCAAAATACAGAGACATAACCCTAACAGAGTACACAATGGGATATTTTGAGAAAGGTCTCGATGGAACATCGCATCTGTCGAATTTTAGGATATGAATTTAAACGATTGCATGATCAGCTACTCTGTTCTTGGCTATGCAATAATTAAACCAATGTATCAAAAATAAGAGAAGCATAGTCTTTCTGTGTGTATGTGTTGAGCTACTCTGTGTTTGGGTCTTTTTTACTTTAGCCATACGTATCAGACTATAAGTGATTGCTTTAATTTAGTTTGACCTAAAGATTCAAAACTTCATTTACCTCTTCAGTTCATGTGTAGACAAAAATGAAGCTCTCTTTTACCTCAGCATCAAGGGTATACCACAACATTTTTATATTTGCTATGATTTAGCTGTCATTATGCTCGAATACGTCATGCACACAATCACCAACTGAAAATATACTTGAATATTAATGTATATAATTTGATAGGTAAGATAATCAAATTGAGGACGGCACGGTCTATATATAATATATTCAATTTACAATTTCTTATGCAAGATGTTTTGGGTTTTATGGACGTTACCCTTCGACGCAAGGTTCCATAAAATTACTGTTTTAATTTGTATTTTGCTTGTGCTTTGAAACTTAGGGCTCGACTGGTTCACCCGCAGCGGTTGCAACTTCGGTTGCGGGAGTTTGCGGAAACAGGCGATTGCGGTTATTAGCGTTAATGAGCGTTTTGTACGACTGGTATAGCGGTTGAAAACTGTTGCATTTGCGGGATATTTTTGACTGGTTGACAGCGGGTGTAATAGCGGTTTTATATTAAAACAATAAAATACATACAATATATCATTTATATAAAAACCAGAAATTATATATAAAAATATGTAAAGTTAATATTTAAAGACCAAAAACTAAATCATATAATAAATAGTTAAATAAATATTTTTAAGAGTTTAAAACAATTTTCTGTATAAAAACATAATTGTATAGACAGATATATATTTAACTAATATGTATATATTGTACATTATCAAATGAAAAATAAAATATAAATTTTTAAAAGGTTTGAATTTTTTTTATAAAATATATATAGTTACATATATAAATTTTAGTTGATAAATGATATATATATTAAGAATAAGAATTAATATAAAAATTATTGATACGAGAAAATAAAAAAATTTCTTAACTTTTTCCAATTTTTATAATTTTTCTTATTTTTTATTAATTTTTAAGATAATTTATTTTATATTTTGAAAAAAAAAAAAACTGAAACCACCCGCTACCGCCTGTAACCGCAAACGCTTGCGGGAAGCAGCTTTTGATTTTGAACGGTACGTAGCGGTTCAGAGCGGTAGAAAGCCGTTATGGTGATTGTTACTAAACGCTACAACCTGCTACTACTCGCAAATGCAGCTTTTGCGGGAGATAGCGGATGAACCAATCAACACCTAAATAAATGGATGGCTCCATGATTTGCGTTAAAGAGCAAAAGCATTTGTGATAGTCCTAAATAACCACTGACCAGTGTCCACTCTAAACTAGTTAACTCATTACAACAATTGTGTAGATATTTTATATATAAGTTGTTAATTAAAAATGAAAGATCTCTATATGTGGTATTAGCCCAGATTAATTAGCATATACTTCCTCTGTTCAGAATTATTTGATGTTTAAGGTTTTTACACACAGTTTAAGGATTCATTTAATTTTTATTTTTTCTATACTAAAAATATTATTTATAATCCATTTAAATATCATTCAGCCAATAAAAAGACAATCTGCAGAATATAAAAGGTCAAAAACTATAAAAATTCATTAAATTTTGTATTGAAAAGTGAGAACATCAAATAATTCTGAACAAAAAAAACCTTCTAAAACATCAAATAATTCTGAACAGAGGGAGTATTAAATAACTTTTGCAAGTTCTGAAAGATTTGAATATATATGCAGACAGAAAAAGAGATGCACCATATATTCACTCAGCCTATTTCAAGACTCACATATATAGTCATATGGATTGAAATAAAGATATTCAATATTTTGGTATTAACGGCAAATTTATTACGATATTTTTTTTTTACATATTCTGCAGATACATAAATCCAGTTTCAGAAGTTCTATATTTGGCCAAAAAAGAAAAATCCTTTTGGGAAACTTTTCTGTCATTTTCCAAAAATATAGACTAAAGTTTGATAGCCTAATTATACCGTTAGATTGTGTATCTTTTGTTCGTCTTTGGTTCAAATTTTGGTATCTTCCCGGCCTGGAAAAAAAAATGTGAATGTAACTTACGAGATACACAAATAAACACTCATAAAAAAAACAAAAGTTATTTTAATATTACTCTTTTGTCAACGTTCTAATAATTATACAATGATTATACCCGGTATATATAGAGACTGTTTCAATCATAAAGAACCAGCTCTTTGGTCGCCGGCGATAAGTTATTGATTTATCATTATAAGTACTTTCTGTAGTACAACTTCCGAATGACTTCACCGTTGTACTAGTCACAGCAAATCTCCAAAACAAAAGTCAACACTGTACTACAAACACAACCATATGATACATACGTACATATATACACCATATATGCTCATGAACTGAACAAAAGTACAAACAGAACTAAACAACAATATAACCAAAATGGCTCTCTCTTCCAAGACCCTAAAGTCAGCTCTCTTCTTCCTCTCTATCTTCTTCCTCTGTATCTCCCTAATCCTAGCTCACGGCGGCTCAGAAGACGAAGAGGAGGAGGCTGCCGCGGCCAAACAACCACCTCCGGCCACCGGAACAGCTGTCGTGGATCTCCGGTCGAAAAGCTTGGTTCTTGTGAAGATATACTGTCTTATAATACTCTTCTTTAGCACATTTTTGGCGGGGATTTCTCCTTATTTTTACCGGTGGAACGAGTCGTTTCTCCTTCTCGGAACTCAGTTCTCCGGCGGTATATTCCTAGCGACAGCTTTGATCCATTTTCTCAGCGACGCAAACGAGACTTTTCGAGGGTTAAAACACAGAGAATATCCTTACGCCTTCATGTTAGCAGTCGGTGGATATTGCCTTACGATGCTCGCAGACGTGGCGGTTGCGTTTGTAGCGGTTGGAAGTAATAATAACCACGGCGGGGCTGGCGCCGGAGATTTGAGGGTGGAAGATGACGTGGCGGTGAAGGAAGAAGGCCGTCGTGAGATTGGAAGAGGTGTGGATGTGAATCAAGCAATCTTACGGACAAGTGGATTTGGAGACACAGCTTTGCTGATTCTTGCACTTTGTTTCCACTCTGTCTTTGAGGGAATCGCCATTGGTGTCTCAGGTACCAAATATTACAAACCCTAATTGCTTCTTTGTTGAACTGATAACCAAGTATATATGTAGCTAAGCTAGATAGATACTAGGAGACGTACATGATAGCAGATTAATATGAACTTTGACCTAATAACGGATGTATATAAATAGAAAGGGAGTGTGATACCTAAACCCTCAAATTTTTAACGTTCTCTAATGAACATATTGGCCAGATACTAAAAGTGACGCTTGGAGAAACCTATGGACAATCTCCATGCACAAGATCTTCGCGGCTGTAGCAATGGGAATAGCTCTCCTCAAGCTAATCCCTAAACGACCATTCTTCCTTACCGTAGTCTACTCCTTCGCATTTGGGATATCGAGTCCCTTAGGGGTCGGGATTGGCATTGGAATCAATGCCACCAGCCAAGGAGCTGCCGGTGATTGGACCTACGCAATCTCAATGAGCATTGCATGTGGAGTCTTCGTGTATGTTGCGGTTAACCACCTTATCGGAAAAGGGTATAAGCCTCGTGAGGAGTGTTACTTCGACAAGCCAATCTACAAGTTTCTTGCTGTCTTGCTTGGCGTTACTTTGCTCTCTATTGTTATGATTTGGGATTGATTTTGTTGACACCTTAGTTTCATTAATTTTATTCCATTTTCTTTTTGTTCTTCTTTTAAAATCAATTTTTGAGGAATTCAACAATTCAATGTAAATCTTTGACAAAGAAACTGTAAACATTTACACAATAATATGTAATGAAAAACCGCATAGGCCAGCTGGTAAATCTGCATCCTCTGATATTTTTGTGTAACATCTACATTTTTTGCTATGTATCTTTTTTTATAGATAACGATCAATAAAATAGAAATGAGCGAGATGACGCTAACTAAAGTAAATTCTTTCACAAAAAGAAAGAATTGACATCAAATTATGAAAAAAAAAAATAAACAGTAGGCTATGAACGGATTAAGTTGAATTCAGAGTGTCCAATATTCGCCACAAATGTTCACTATTCAGCAAACACAACTTGTTCGTCTTTCTCTATAACCGATGTTTACTTAATGGTTAATTACATAATTAATTCGGCCTATATATGTGAAGCCCAAACAATGCGAATTCAATTCAACTAGAAAGAAAAACAATGCGGTTTAGTTTGGCAATATTTGTTTAATACTAGATAAAACCCCGCGTGTACACGCGGTAATTTTTATATATATAATAGTTTAGTTTATCAGTAATATATATATATATATATATGCAAATTTAAATTTTCTAAATCATGATAGAATTATGTAATCGCAAATCATTTTCTATGGTTATCTCTTTAAATTATTATTAGACATATATCTGTCTGTTTATTACATATTTTCTGTTTTTTTACTAATGAAATAAAGTTAATAAATACGTATATTCATCGATACACAATAAAATACAAAATATTGTGTTTGTTTGTTTTAGCTTAGCTTTTAAATCTCATCTCAAATCCTTTGAGTTTTGCTTAGGGTAATAAATATTAAAAACAATAATTTCTTTCTAAATAATCCTTTTTTTGTTAAAAAAATATAAAGTTCGGACGTCAATAGAATAAATATGATAGAGTTTGGGCATTATATTCTCCTGATACATAAATAATTTTGTCTATGTGACAGAAAAATAATGCGCTACGTAAAAAAATTTTATAGCTAATTATTATATTGAGTTAAACATTCACTATATGTCAGTCTTATGTATCTACAAAAGATGTACGAAAACTATAAACAGAAATTAAACAGAAAACAAAATACCTCTAAAACTTCAACTTCGTTTGTTATATCATTTGCTCTAAACCTAATATTGTTAGGCACCAGAGCATTACAAATACAAAGATATCATAATTTTTCATGTATGCAATAAATAGAAACTATTTATGATTTTTTAAATGTTTTGCGAAAAAAAAAAACGTCGCATAAAACTCTATATTAATATGAAAACAAGAAATAATTATTTTAATGGTTCATAAAGTTTTTCTTATATATACATAAAATAGGAATATATATATATATATATTGTGTAATTACGCTACATACAGCTTGTTTCTAGTTCTCTTTCTATGAGGCAATGATTGTTTATCATTGTCTCCTCGTAGACACGTAGAGTGATTATATCCATGTATTTGATCGCATTTCTGATCCGAAACACCAAAAGCCACAATCACTAAAACAAAAGTAACACAAAAAATCTGTATTTTGGATATGTTATTTGAAGACCTTAATTCTTTCCCAATGTTGGTTTTGAACGTGACTGCAGTGGCGCTATATCTGATTTCTGGAGCTCTTTGAGCGTGTAAGAGAAAGCTGAAAAATAGGTGGAATGCCGCTCCATTTTATAATAACATATGATTATGGCTCTTGATTCTTCGAATTTATTTTAGTGTCGTTCAATTTTTTCGGGTGTGCTTTACGAAGTGGTAACACTACAAGTTCAATACATTTACTTTTTATTGTGAGAGAATGACTTTTCGAGATATAAACTACTTTTGTATTTGTGTCATGGCTGATGAATTAAATTTTTTTTTTGGGACTGAGAAAATTAATTTTTTCAAAAACTGATATGTCAAAATATATAGTGCTTATGTGTTAAGCTTGTGAGACTCAACTGAGTCTTTATATAATAGATGAGAAATCTTGGGGATAGTACTATATCACTTATTAAATCTGTAATGTGGACCGACATATATAAATGCAAACAGTAGAGCTGGAACACTGGTACAGTTTTGTTTATATGTATGTCTTTTAAATTCCCAAGTGTTTCAGAAGGAATCTCTCTCACTTCAATACAACTATACAACTATAAAAGAAAATGGTTGGAAAATAAGCCTGTGAAAATATAATTTTAGCATAACATTTAATTTGTATTACTGTTACATTACATCATGAGTTAGTATACCCTTTTTCGTTTCTGAAGTACGATGGTGTAACTTTTTCTCTTTACGTCCTATCGTAAAATTTAAATTTTTTAAAACACTATATTTTGTAAAAAAAATTAAGAAAAAAACATACATGTAATTTAAAACAGATGAAGTGCATCACTAATACAGAATTAAAAAGAAAAGAAAAGAAAAAAGAGAGAGAGAGAGAGAGACTAATGGATGGGTAAAAAATCGAGTAAGAAATGTAATTAATTAACCTAATCTTCTTTCTTCACAAATATTGAATCTCTCAGGCGTGTTTGTGCCAACAAACGAGCATCAAAACGCAGCGTTTCATGATGTAGAACCGGGACTTGTGCTCCTTGGCCTTAGTACGACACTTTCGGGTCACTGAAGCTCCTTTCTGAGACAAGCTCCGAGATATGGAACACTTGGAAGAAGAAGACGAAGCGTCATTTGGGCATTTCGTTGTCGTGGAACCGCTTCTTGACAGAAACGGAGATTTCGAAGGAGTTGGTTTTGCAGAGAAACTCCGTCTAAAGATGGGTTCTGATGACGAATACGAAGTGTGTTTTGTTGAGAAACTTCGTGTGAAAATGGGTTTTGAAGAGGAAGAAGAAGAAGAATTTTTTGTTGAGAAGCTTCGTGTGAAGACGACGGGTTTTGAAGAGAAATGGGCCGTTTCGAAGATGGAATCTTTCTTGGAAACTTTCCACAACTTTTGATCATCCATGTAATCAATAGTGGATGATGTTCTCAGTTCTATATATTGATCCAAATCAGTACATAGAAGCACATCAATATAGAATGTGTGTTTTGTATGTGTGTGTGTTTCTTTGATGTTTGAATTGAAGATGGAAAATTATAGAGAGCTTGGAAGTTGGAATGAAATAGGTCAAAGCTTTGAAGGCACTTCTTATAATATTTACATTTGTGTGTGTACACACATATCTAATAATAATTTTTTTAATAATAACAAAAAATTGTAGTTTTTACTCGATATTATTCTTTATAGAAGAAACAAACAACGGTAAGAAGAAAAAACTCGACAACTGATTTCGGCGCAACTACAACTTTGATCCCTTTCAAATCAATAAAAACCTGTATTTATATCGCTTATTATTTATTAACCTTTACTACATTGAGATTACACTGAGATTACATACCTTAATACATCTTCCATTTCATAAAAATGTCGTTCTTAAATTTTTTTTTCCCGTTTTATAAATAGTCTCGTTTTTAATGAGACTTTATGCATTCAATTCATGTTTAACCATTTTCAAATCTAATATAGTAACATTTTGAGTTTAACTTATTTACATTAAATTATTAATTTATTGAATATATTTGTAAATTGAATAGTTTCTTAATCTATGTTAAATGATTTTTTTTTGTTTTAAAAAAAAGAGAGTAATAACTAGCTAGAAAACTGAAAATTCTGAGTTAATTGATTTGGCTCGTAAATTTTTATATACAAAATGAAAATATTATGCGGACGCGATTGGAAACCCAAGACCCAGAAAAGCTATGATATGTACAGACTGATCATCAGATAATATCTATTCAGAAAACCTCACAAGCATGTGTGTGGACAAACCACATTAAACTACGTTCATGCACGCATAGCTTTAGTCTTTAGATGTACATATCATCATACATATATCATCATACGAGAAAACCCTTTAACAAAAAAAAAAAAAAGAATTCGACCAAAAAAAAAAAAAAAAAAGAATGCACATCATCATACCGTTCATACGTTAATCCAATGCAATTAAAAAAACGAAATACATAAGCGAGGATCTTTAGTTAGAATAAAAAAAAATATAAGCGAGGATCTGACATGTATATTTGATGATAATATATATATATATATAGGTTTTTGACTCAACGTAATTGTTTAGGATATTTTATGTTTTTCAACAATTTACACTATCAGATTCAAATTCACACTACGATAACTCATAACTGTATACTAGTATTAAATCGTTAGATACTTAGATTACATGTCTAGCTGCAAGCCTGCAAATCGTTAATAAGTCGTGAATAACTTCATAAGTCTAATAGTATGATATGAAGAGATTCGACATTCCCTAAATTCAAACATATTTTTTCCACAATTAGCAATTTAACATGGCATAAATCGAGAGATTATGGTTTATCGGGCTAGATCATCATATAAAAGTATAAATTACACAGGCGTATGTAAGTATTTGTTATCGACGTCATTACTTACTTTTATTCTTTGTCGTCGTTAATTAAACTTATTCAAAAGCTTACATATGTCAGACTAAATATATTTTTTAGGAGTTGGGACCATATAAGTGTACGATTTACCCAAAGAAAATTCATTAATTAATATGATTTAGAAATGCAAAACAAACAGCAAGTGAAAACTTGAATTTACTTTCACATTATTCCATTGCATGATCGACTGACCCACCAATTTTATGGAAGCTTTCAAAAAAACTTTGAAAATTATTTGTTACTTCAGTTTTCTGCACAAATTAATTTCTCCCGTAAGCAAAGTTTTTTTTTTAACAAGGAAAATGTGCCTCGAGAGATTCATATGATCCATGTGGAAAAATGTTTTATTTTTCTTTGTCGGGTCAAAGAAACTATATAAATACATAATAAACCTTGGGACCAAAGGCAAAGAATTGACCAAAGAACACTTATGGACCATTTTCACATGTGACCATGTGAGTTTCCACAAACCATAACCACAAGAGACTTCCCACTCCTGAGTTCTCACTATTCAAGTATTCATATTCATCTTAGAAACTTATCAAGATCCATTTATTTATATATAAATTGTCACAGTTATGTTTGGTTTTTTAAAGCATGTGTGGGATCCTTTGAAAGCTCTACACGTGAATGGTTTAGCCAATAACAACAGCAAAAAAAGAAGCACCATAAACTTAAAGATATTTCACAACATGTGCGTGATCAAGAAATAGTCAAGAGTCGGAATCAAGAAAAGAGACTTTACCTTCTGTTTTTGAGTCCTTGTAAGATCTCCAAGACATCTTTATTTTCTTCAATAGATAATGAAAAAAGTACGACAAGATCAGAGCCATGTATTTGCTGATGCAGCATCATCAAGATTCCCATTCGAAAGGAACCCTTTTTTTCAGACTGAGAGGCGAAAACAAAGGAAACCACATCGCTTGTGAATCTTAATGATACTGCATCTGCAACTACCGGCTGTTAGCAACTATCAGAGGCTAAATCTTTTGCCTTTTCATCAAGAACCCAAATACCCTTATCGGTTTGAGCTCTGAAGTTGAGAACTTTTATGGCAACCACCAAATGAACACGCAAAGAGGAAAGCAAGAGGATTCAGAAAGCAAATCCATCAGCAAAGATGAATTTGGGGAGAAGCAATCGAGAGATAGGTGCATGAATATATACACTACTATGAAGGACGCTATTTGGTCGATGTAAAATCACTTGGAAAGGGACAGAGATAGCATCAGGAGAAAACCTATCTGATAATTGACTTTTGAAAAGAGAGAGAGAGAGAAAGAGATCACATCAATATAACACAAGCCCACTTCACTGCACTAGTGTCAGGAACAGAGGCCAAAGCTAAAGAGTTTTATTCATATGAAATATCTGAAAATCTCAAGTGTTTTTATACACAAACCTCAAAACCTTTTATCTCCAAAGTACCATGAAGAAGTCATTAAAGAAACATTTCCAGGTGGAGATGGTTAATGGGTTGCAAATGCAAAGGACGATAAAATAAAATTTTATCAGGATAGAAGAATTTTATTAAACTAATCATGACTGATTAGTGTGGAACAAGTGGGATTAGGAAAATTATTAGATTAGCAATGGCCACTTTATTAAACTAATCATGATTAAGATTGTTCCCTGTGCGGTTCCTTACGTGTAAAGGCGAAAACACTCAAAAAGCAAACAACTTTATGTTTTAACTGGAGGTATACATATAATTTAAGTCAGGGAATCAGTTAAGATCAGGAGAATTAGAAAACTAGGGTAACATGTACCCCAATTGAATAGACCAAGAAAAAGAAAATGGATGCAGCAAATCACGGTTGGATTACGCAACAGCAAAATGGATCGTCATCAAAGGACAAAAGATAAGGCAATAATACTATAAAGCACTCAATCAAAATATGTGTTAGGAAATAACTTAACACTCATAAGCTACAGCTACAAGCAATCAAGATGATGTGAAAGTTTGGTTTTCATAACAGCCAATCAATTTTCAGATTCGTGCTAACCCAAAGTGTTGAACTTTAAACTAATATTAGTATATTACTAGTTGGAAACTGATGAGAAATATCTTGAATTAGAAATTAAGGGAAGCCCCAAATAGCATAAACGCATATCCTTTTCACAAGCCTAACATTCAAATACAAATGCCAGAAAAATTAACTCATCGTCATTCATACATCTTTGACTGATAGATACCAGATAATTCGACACATCACATGTTCCTCTAAAGGACTAGTAAACAAAAGGAATGAACTTGTGCCTAACCTTATCAGCATAATCCGTATAGCTTTGCCCGAAATTCTCCACCATCAATTCTTCCTCCTGCGTTGCCTTCTTGTTGTAGTAAACCAAACACACCGCCACAAGAAACAACAGACTCAAAGGCGCACGCAGGGCGGTGCAGTATGTCGCAAAAAGAAGCATCGTAGAAGCATATATCGGATGCCTGATCCATCTATAAGGACCAAATTGCACAACAGCTGTTGGAACAACGACCTTTTCGCTATATCTAGCAAGATATAGCGTTGAATCGTATTGCATAAGCATTGTAATCACAATCAGAACCCATATCCCTACATTGGCCCAACCTCCTGGTAAACGGTGAAGCTCAGGCCCTTCAAATGCCGCAAGCCAATGTCCAACCATAACGCCAACACCAAACAAAATCCGAGACCATAGAGGCGTGTTCACATCCCATTTGGGATCATGCGTACGAGCGTAATAATCTCCATAGAGCCGTTTCCTCACGCTCACATTGAAGAAGAAGAAGTAATGATAAGCCAAGAAGAACAAAAAAGGCCAGCCTTCAAGATAACCGTTGAAATAAGCAGGAGGCACAAGTGTAAGCCATGTGAAGACAGAAGTTACAATACCAAGCTGCTCAAAGGCATTGGCTTCGCCGAGCCAATGCTTACGAAAGCAGTAAATTCCGTAACCCGCAAGACCCACAGCGATAAACCAAGGCCAGAAGAGCCATGTCCAGCTGAAATACATCCAGAAGAATGGGTCGAAGACCAAATTCACTGTCTTTTTCGCAGCCACAGTCAAAATCGATAGCACAAGAGCTAATTTCACAAAATCCACGGGCTTCAATTTCAATTGACGAACTCTGTTCACCAGTGCACTAAACGAGAGGGACCGGAATTGGCTAAGGAAAGGGTTATCGGAATCGGAAACAGTCGAGCTAGAAATCGAGCATCTGGGAGGAACCCATGAACCTTTTCTCACTGAAAAAGGAGCACATCTCAAGCTATACGGACTCTTAATCGCTTCAAAGCTGCGGAGTAAAGGAGTGTTTCTGGAATCAGCACGAAGCGAGTGGCACTTAAGGTGTTTGTTCAAATGCCTAAACGAAAACTTTCTGTTGCCTTCCAACGGTGTCCCCCGAGGAACAACCTTCGAGCAGAGAAGCACAGCTTCCATGGCGAACAGAAATTCAAAACAAAATAAACGGATACAAAGACAAGATTCAGAACAAAACTTTTAGCTAATCATATTTGCTTCGTACCGAAACCGGAAAAACAGATAAACATGACACAGAGAGAAGTGAGCTGCGTTTACTTCTGTTTTCGGTAATTAAGAATTGGGCCTATGGGGCTATGATAAAATGGGCCAATGGGCTACTCTGAAAAATAGTTTAAGGTCTTTAAGAAAAAAATAATAATGGGCTCTGGAAAGTCATTTGATGTGGGGCAAAATTGTAAAATTGAGGAAGGTTCTATTTAATTGTCTCATTTAATTGTGGTGACTTAATGCCGGCGAGACTTTGCCGTTGAACACGACCGGTCGCACATGGGGCGCAGGTTCGTATAAGCCGGATGGAGAGAAGAAGTCGCTTCCAAGTGCTATTTTCCCACGAGAAAAATACCTGTATTTTTATTAAAAAGATAAAAATATAAATAAGTCAACTTTACCCAAGAAATCTCTACTATATCTTGAAATGGTACCATGTAAGCAAAATAAAAATTGAAAATTATGAAGATGCAAAATAAGAAGATAAATTTGCTCTATGTATGGTGTAAAATAATGGAGCGGAGATAAATATGGTTTGGCCAAAAACTTGAATTAAACAGGTAAATTATAAAAGGAAGTTTTTTTGTTTTTTAAATAGATAAAATGAACTTATAAAATGAAATATATAGTATATGAAAATTGTGAGTTAATTAGTTTAGTCAATTTTACAGTGGTTTGGTGATCGAAAGGTTCATCACTGTATTAGGTAAAGTACTGTTGTCCGAGTCTTCCCACTCACATAAAACCTAATATGGAATTCTCCAGTCCACTGATAAAAAGATAGTGTATAAAATGAAAACTAATCAGTTATGAGAAATAATACAATTGTTTACGCAACAATAACACAAATTATGCATTAACAAAAAAAAAGCACTATGAGCATGCATGTTTTTGTTTTGACATCTTGCTTAAAATTAAAGAATATTATATACCATTTCATAGTTGATACAATTACGTTACTATCTTTCAAAATTGTATAAAAATACTTTATCAAGAACTTTTTTTATCTAAAATAACTACTATACATTCAGAAATTTATGCTATTTATGTAAAATAAATCATTCGTAGTTGTTATAACATTTTTTCGTTAATGAATTAGTTCAAAATTTCCGTACATGAACACAGTTTATATTTTTGTTTTTCTCACGAATTATCATAGTTTAGTTTTCTCTGTGCTATTTTATGTTAAAAATCCTTCTGTGCTTGTGAGATATAAAGTCGTCTATAACTCTATAATATATATGGTCCATTATTTAAGACCAAATTAGGGTCTTTTATATATAGGGGTCCTAACTAAAAAGTAAAATATTTCGGTCTTTTTTTTTTCTAATGTGACACGGTTCGCATCAGCCTTCCTCTTATACAGAATGAAACCAAAAAAATCTTGGTCAAGAATATCTCACAAGTCTTTCTTATTTACTTTTGTCTGATTAATACAAATGGAAACGTGACATGATCAAGAGAACGATGTGTAATTATTGACGCGTGGACTTTGTAATGCTTAATGACTACGATTTATCTCATTAGTTTTTGAATTGCACATCAACAGGAATCATGAGAACCATTTCTAATATCATAAAAGTTACTCCTATTAAAAAATGGTTAGTGGATGTTGATTAATCAAAGAACATAAAGTAATTGGGGTCTATATTATTAATTAATACACTACAAAGCTGGTCATCATCACAGACTTTATTTCCACACGCGTTTAATGTTTCTTATATAAACACATATGTGTTCTCTTCTTTTCTTCATCAAATATTTTCTCTTCAATCATCGTTTCTCTCACGTCTGAAATTTTTTCTCGCTTCTTTTATTCGAGGTATATTGCTTCTTCTACACCCACCAGTTTTTTTTTTCTAACATATATCTGTCTTTTTAAATTGGGAATTTTGGAATGTTCTTTCTTTTGTTTCTATGATCGGTTTTAATGTTTACCCGAGCACATTAATTTGCAGTTTCTGAAGAAATGGAATTTGTGAACAGCTCTACACCAAGATACGATTGTCTCCTCTTTGGTAAGAAGTTCTGGCTAGTTTTAAAAAAAAAAATATATAGAAAATTGGAAGCAATTAACAAATTTTGATTGATCTATCTATCTTTATGTTTGTTTCCAATAGATTTGGATGATACTCTCTATCCTTTAAGCTCTGGTTTATCGGAAGCATGTACCAACAATATCATAGGTATAATTTCCTTGGAGAATTTTATCTTGATTAACATGTTTATTATATATTTCATATGGAGAAATAAATAAACCACGAAATTCACCAAGTTACCCTTGTGCCAGAATTCATGGTTGAGAAGCTTGGAATAGACGAAGACGGAGTCGTTGAACTAAACCAAATTCTCTATAAAAAATATGGAACATCAATGGCTGGTCTAAAGGTAATTTACCTTCATAAATATATTGACCAAACCCGGATCCTGATTATCACTAGATTCATATATAAACATATAACACTTGCGCCACCACATAATTGTTTACATGACAATGGTTTTTATATGGTTAATACAACGTTAATCAATCTGATAATTAATGCAGGCTGTAGGTTATGAATTCGACAATGATGAGTACCACAGCTTTGTTCATGGAAGATTACCTTATGAAAACCTTAAACCGGATCCGGTTCTGAGAAATCTCCTCCTTAGTCTACCTTTTCGAAAATTGGTATGTATATGTATATTACTATCTTTATTTTATTTTTTTGCTTAATTTCAGTCTATACATATAGATATTTATATATATATATTAAAAAGTATGGGTTCCGTATTCTTTTGTGAAGGTTTTCTCGAATGGAGATGAAGTTCATGTGACGAAGGCTTTAAAGAGGCTCGGCATCGAAGATTGTTTTGAGAGAATCATAAGTTTCGAGACTTTAAACCCTGAGATTAACGAGGCAGAGGTCTCTTTGGATTACAGTCCCGAGATTCCGGTTATCTGTAAACCATCCGAGATTGCTTTCGAGAAAGCCTTCGACATTGCACAGCTCAATCCTCAAACAACCGTAAGCGTCGAGAACATATAACTAAATATAAATTAGAGGGTTCTTGTTTATATTTTCTTCATTCATGGTTTTATAATTAATGTGATCATGTTTCTTGCGCAGTTGTTCTTCGACGATAGCATCCGGAACATCCAAACCGGAAAAGCCGTGGGTCTCAATACCGTCCTGGTAAGAACCGGTTTAACATTTTCAACCAAACTATTTATACCAATTTCTATAACAATTTTTTTTTTTCTCGTTGTAGCTAAGCTACCTGTATTTGTATGCTGAACCAAACTTTTTACACAATATATTTTCAATTGATTTTTAGGTTGGTAAATCAGAAAAAGTGGAAGGAAGTGATCACGCGTTAGAAAGCATTCACAACATGAAAGACGCATTCCCGGAATTGTGGACGGAATCCAACAACAAGGAATCTGAAAGAATTGGTTACGTCGCTGCACAAATCTCGATTGAAACTTCTGTTCAAGCTTAGTTCTTCATGCGTGTGTTATCTAGTTTGTGAAGATATTTACATATCTGATTAATGTTTACTAGATAAAACGGTTGTGTTGATACAACATGCATGTGTTATCTAGTTTGTCGGCATCATGCATGTGTTTACTCCATATGGATATGTTTGTTGTTGATACAACGGTTGATATATGGTTTCTATTACGTTTTATAAGTATATTGTATAACATAAGGTATGCTCTTTTGTACATATTAAAAAATGTTACAGAACATCGATGTTTTTATATACCTGGAACAATAAAAAATATGTATCTTGTTAATTAGACTAAAAACGGTTAACTTAATTGATTTAGTTCGATAGTGAATAAGAATTTTTCAGTTGATACATGAGTTAATTTTTTTAGGGTAATTAATATTAGATGCCTGAAAAAGATGTAGATATTCTGCACTGAAGTTAACAAAAAATTAGATAAAACATTTTGCTCATGTTGCCGATTGCTGATAATAAACCGGTCTGGTAGAGTTAACCGAATCGAATTTTTTCGGTTGTTTTGGTTTGGCCTAAACCGAATCGAATTAAATTGATGGAGGAATAAATTAAGGCGCACGTTACATTGTGACTTTTGAGAAAGTGTGGTTTGGTCGGCTCATAAATACGTGTGTCATTTGCTTATTCGATTAGCAAGTAAAGAAAAAGCGTAATTGCCACGTGGAGAAATCGCGGATGTCGACGTGAGTGCTTTGCTTTCTTCTCCAGATTTAACGACAACCAATGGATGAGTCATGAAAAACCATTGAGAACCATTGAGACGTTTGGCTTACATTTCCTCTTCTATTTATATAAAAAAAAAAAGTATTTCTTTTTAACATCTTCTCGATTTTTTTTTTTGTTTCATTTCCTCTCGAAGATTCATTGATCAGAAAAAAGGTTAGTCACTCGTTTTCCTCCGCCTCCATTGATTATCTGTTTGATTTCTTCTCTGCATTTTCTTGAATGTCTCGTTATCTTCACTGACAGTCTAATCTAAGTGTTTTCGATCTGGATAATTTTGCATTTTGACGTTGAGATTTATCTTTTGTTTTAAAATTTTCTCTCAGGTGTAACTTTGGAATCAAAATGGCGTACGAGGAAAACTTTCAGCAAAACTCCAAACCGAAGTATGATTGTCTTTTATTTGGTAAGGGAAATGAATACTTTTTGTTTTGAATAATATTAAGCATTTGGTGGTATTTGATGATTGAGAATTGGTTTAAAAGTTTAAACGCTTTCTCTGATTAAAATTGGACTTGGTTAAACAGACATAGATGACACTCTCTACCCTCTAAGTTCTGGTTTGGCCACACAAGTTAAAAACAACATTCAAGGTAAAGTCTGATTCGCATTCATTTGTTGTTCTTCTCTGGAACTTTGGTTGTTCATGTTAGTTATCGCTGAACCTGTCTTTGTTGTTGTTGTCATTTAGAGTATATGACTCAGAAACTTGGTATCGAAAAAGAGAAAGTCCAAGAACTTTGCCTTTCGCTTTATAAAATCTATGGAACAACTATGGCTGGTCTTAAGGTATCTTTTTCTTAACCACAATGTAACATCTATCTGTATTTTTCAATGTTGGTGATGCACATTCCCTTCGTTTTTGATGTTAATTCTTTCAGGCTGTGGGTTACGACTTCGACTACGACGATTTCCATCGGTACTTAACTTGTCTTTAATTATTGCTTATGTTTCTTTGAAATAAATGCTGTTTGGGACTTGAGATGACTCTTTTTGTTTTTACAGTTTTGTTCATGGGAGATTGCCATACTCAACACTGAAGCCTGATCCAGTTTTGAGGAATATTATTCTTAGCTTGCCTATTCGGAAAGTTGTATGTGTTTCACTCTTTGATGCTAAGCTCTTAAAATTTGGTTTACAATCAGTTTATTCTCTGATGTTCACTATGCTTTCTTATTTCTCCCCACAGGTTTTCACGAACGCTGACAAGGCTCATGCAGCCAAGATTATTGCCAGGCTAGGCCTAGAAGACTGCTTTGAAAGAATCATATCTTTCGAGACTCTGAACCCCAACACCAAAACTGAAACCCCTGCTGCTAAGGGAACCAGAGAAATCTTCGACATAAGCAGTTACATGGCAAATCCTGACCCAAGCATCGAAATCCCAAAGACTCCGGTTATATGCAAACCATCTGAAGGAGCATTCGAACAGGTTTTCAAGATGACCAACATCAATCCTCATAAGACTGTAAGAAACAACATATCAAATATTTATTTGCTTTTATTTTTCTACTTAAACCATTTCATCACCGAAGCTTATTAAGTTCCAAGTATCTTGGGTGGTGTTTTCAGTTGTTCTTTGATGACAGCATCCGCAACATTCAAACTGGGAAACGTGTGGGTCTCCACACCGTATGGGTGAGTAACCAAATCATGTGTGTAAAACAAAGCTTTTCAATTTCAAAGCTAACTTCTTTTTTTTGTATTATTAGGTTGGGACCTCGCACAAAGTGGAAGGAGTAGATATCGCTTTGGAGCATATTCACAACATTCGTGAAGCTCTTCCTGAACTTTGGGAAGCTGTTGGTGACATAGCCGAGGAGACTAGATCCAGGCAAAAGGTCGCCATTGAAACCATTGCTTAAGCTAATGTTTTCACTCACATTAGCAGCTGATAGTAACAAGATAGAGCTACTTAATTATTCACTCTTTTAAGAGAAAAATAATTGTAACTTTAACTTTTTGAGATTGCAGAATTGTGAGATGGAATTGTAATATATATATTTGTAATCCCCTATTACAAAGTTCAGAAAATGACTATCATGATATCTTTTTATCTTTCACAAGCGTTTCTTCTTTTTCTTTCGTACGATACAAGAGAATCTGGCTCATGATGATTCCATTGGTGAAGACTGCAAGAAGAATACCAAGAAGCATAGTAAACGGAGCATTCACCTGAATGCTGGTGAAAACTCTCGCCATTGATCCACCCAAGTTCATCAAACAAGTTAAGAAACTAAGCTGCCCAGTGCTCTTGTTCCTGAAATTCTTCCAAATCTGAGGGATCCTCGCAGAGAGAAATATCAAATGCTTTGAAGCATAAAGAGCTTCAAAAACCAAAGGATCAATCTGACCAGCAAACACAGTTGGTGCTAAAGCAAAGTAGAGGATCGCTCTGACCCAAGTCGTCACAGAGAGAGGCTGAGAGAAATAGTAGATACAAGCCACCAAGATCAAACCTTGGATCAAAAGAAAAGCAATTTCACCAAAAGCTGAGAAAGGAAGCTCTTTGTGTAAACAATACGCGAGAGAAATCGTGTAACCCACCACTTCTAGCTCAAATGCCGCAATACTCAAGCCTCTCACACTCTTATTGTCCACGATTTTCATTATCTACAATCAATTTACAGACTTTTTGTTAGCATATCAAATTTGGGAATTAGGGTGAGAAACCATAGTGATTGATTGATTGATTGATTGAATATAAACCTGAGGAAGCTTGACGGTCATTGAAGCAGCGACGAGGAAGTAACCGAGCAGCTTTGTGATGAGAGGAAGAAGACAATCTTTCGCCGGAAACTCGCCGTTACGGAGAGATCCAGTCGCGCAGCTCAGATCAATCCCAAGATAATCCATTTTTTTCTCCCAAGTCCTAACCGATCTCGGAAGTTGGATCCTTTGAAAACTAGTGGACGTTGCTTCGTTGTCTTTGTTGCCTTTCAAATGCCCAATAACTAAACCAATTATGATTTTGGTTACGTAATCAGTTTTCCAATTTGGTACGGTTTGAATCGGTTAGGTTTTACCATGTACCACACCTAAGGCGAAGTCAATTTTCTGTTTTTGGACGGGAACTTCAAATCGGAAATTAATTAAACCTAAAAGCAGACGAAAACAGTCGTCTTGTTCTTCCTCGCCGGTACAGGAAGTCTCGTGTTGGGGGAAAGTAAGTTGTAATTTGAGAGAAGCTATAATGGCGAAGAGAGAGATTAGTAGCACTCTGAGAAATCTAAAGGTACTTCTTTTAATTACAATTAGCTCACTAATTTGAAGTAAAATACCCAATGATTGGAAGGGTTTGGCCTTTATTTCGTGAAATTCGAGTTTGGAATTTCTTTTATCTTTTTTTTCTCTATTTAGCTGGATTTTGATTCCTTGAGGAATTAATTATCCCTTTGGAGTTGGTTTCTCATATGGGGATTGCTTTGCATCTAGAGTTTGAAAAAGATAACCTTTAGAGATATGGAACCAACGATTCTGAGCTACACCATTGGTTTGGGACTAAAAATTGCTATTTTCACTAAAAAGTTGCATTATCAATCATGTAGCTCTTAGATGATTATTAAGTTCAGTAATCTGTTTTGTGGGTGAGAGACAGGAACTTGTTATTTCTTCAATCCCATATGAGAATCAAGCTGGTTCATGAACTAATAATGATTGACGCTCTTCTGTCTATAGTTTATGCAACGGTCTGCTTCGAAGGAGGAGAAGAAGAAGATTGTTGAGGAGCCTAATGGGAATTTTCCTTCCCTTGGGACTGTTGCAAAGAAGTGGTACCGCTTCTTCTATTTAACTTGATGTTAATGTTTTACTAGCCGTACTTATTTCATCACATTACTAGAAGTGAGGACATTGTGTATGTGTTGTCTACCCTCTGTTCTTGTTCTTTTGGGCTCTTGGTTGGTTACTTTCAGTGTCTAGTCAATTTCAATGACTCTAGACTTCCCTTTGTTCATGAATCATAACAACAGTTTTGATAATTTGGTTGTTTTTCGGAATCCGGAATATTTTCTAACGCCTGATTTGAATTTCGATGCAGTGTGGTCATAACAGACTGGGATCCTCAGCCAAGACCATTGTTAGGACGCATGTCATTTCAGTCTTTCAATCCTTCTATCGAGGTTAGTGTGTGTGGTGCTAAGGTCTGAATTAGTTTGCGTTTGATGGTCTTCCCTTCCAGCTTTATGAATAAAACTCTTCTCCCCTTAGAAATTGCATGAAGAAGCAAAAACAGATGCTTCTCCCACAAGCTCTAGCAGTAATGGAGGAAGAATGTCATCTAGGTCTGTTCGTCCGCTTTTATATTCCTTTTGGTTCTTAACAATCACAAGCGAGTGTGCATTCATCAGAATATTGCTGGAGATTCATTGTCTAACCGATCATTTAAACTTTCGACAAATGAAGTCTTTATTGATAGCAATGGATTCTACCATTTGTTTCATTTCTGATTTTTTCGTCTCTTTACAATTTCAAACTGTAACTAGTCAAAATGCATGCTCTTTCAGTGAAGCGAAGGTTGAGACAACTCGGGAAACAAATGGCGACTTGAAAAGGAAACAGTCTGATGGAGTCTCTGAGGAAAAAAACCATCCAAACAAGTCCCCGAGGAACAATGACAAACCATCACCGAGCTATAAAAAAGGTTTCAAGAAACCGAAGAGCAAGAAAGTAGACTGGAGCGTTTTGAAGCCACCAAAACCTCAAACCAAAAAGGGTTTAAATTAGCCAACTGCAGCAAAACCTAAATGGCTATTTGCAATTAGTTCACGTCGGTTCATATGTGCTAGTAGATCATTCGATGCGCTGTCTGTATCATCATTCACGTGGTGCTAGTTGCAACCCCTCTGCTAAATTATAGCCAAAGTTTTGAAACTTTTCTATTTGGATGTTGTATCTTGTATGCTTGTGTTATAACTCCAGATCTATGATGAAACACTTTGTCTTTTCAATAAGGGTTGAATCCATGATTACTTTATGTACTTGCAGGAAAGAAGAGATTACATTCCATACATGCGATCAAACAGATTTTACAAAACCCATTGGCAAACAAAAATGAAGCAATCGAGAAGTAACAATTTTCAAACGATTACATTATTGTCTGTTAACTTCTATGCAGGTTTCCAGCAAGAAAAGGCATAGATGACTCTTCCTTTCCACCCCTGAAGCATCCAGTGGTTATCACTATCGATCAAAAAATCTTTATGGTAATTTTTCCTCACGATTTCCCTAGCCTCCTTCATGATCCGTTTGCTTATAGTTGCTGGCTTGAACCCGGCTCTCAAAATCCTAACTTGCCATTGCTTGTAGGTTTCAGGCCTCGCAAACCGCTCAGCGCCCTCGCTGGAAATCACGCTCATCGCGTCTCTCACAAGTAACTCTCTCTCCAACAGTGCCCTGTTCTTGTACTCATCCTCTGCTTGTATTGTGGTGTCGAACATGTCGAAGAGCGAAGAGAAATGGAAGAGCGCTTCTCGGAACCTCGTCATGAAGAAAGGAGAGTTGTACGTTCCGTTAATCTCTGCAAACACGAAGAGGTCAGGATTGATATCTCTGAACAGTTTAAGAACCGTGTCTCTCGGAGAGTTTAGCGACACAGTCTCATCTGGAGTGTATTGCAACCGATGAATGCAATTGACGACTGTTGTCTCTCCTGGATTGATTGTAATCTCATCAAGACTGATGCTTTCCCATTTTTTGGCTATGAAGTTGAACTCAAACGGGACATTGAACATATCACAGAACCTTTTCAGTCTCCGACCAGTCTCTTCGACCCTGTCTGAAGGTCGGAAACCAGACTGTGGCAGCTCGATACCAGTCACGCGAAGCATCGGTGGTCCGCCCGGTCGTTTAGACAGGGCTAGTAACAGACAAGGCCATTGAAAGCCATAGAGAACCCCGAAATCAATGATGTGAAGCTTAGTTGCTTTCAAGGCAAGCTCGTAGATTGATTTGTTTGCTGCAAAGTAATCAGCTACATAGATGGGACAAGCATGAACGAACAGCTTGTACGCTTTCAAGATGTCTACCATCGATGTCGTGCTTGAAGGAAACGCAGTAGAAACCGGCGGTGAGATGATTCCGGTGATACGTGCCTCGAGCGCCTCTGCGAAGTAAAAAGCCATCCTTTGAATTCCATCGCCGCTGCTTGAAGAGTTTGACCTTATCTCCTTGAGTTTCTCCGTAGCTCTTCTCTGGTCAAAGCTCGCTACAGCTTGTGCGCATTGCGTCAAGAGACTCCGCAGATCAACGGGGCTAGTTTTTTGCGCCTTGGATCTATTTGATGAGCCTTTGCCTCGTCCAGCTCTGTTTGGTTGACTCTGTTTCGTTGCCACTGATTTTTCTTCTTCTTGGTTCGCTTTGCATACCAACAACACATGCTCGAACTTTACTGCTAGCTCTTCCATCTCCGAGATGAAAATAGCAGGTTGTTTGTTTCTCCGACCGTTCTCAAGATCGTCTTCTTCGTCGTTTCGATGACGGTACCTTCTCTGCGATTCTCCGTTGGAAACCAACGCTGCAGAATCTGTTAAAGTCGTCGTTGTGCTGAAGGGGTCGCCGGAGTTTTGATGGGAGGAGCTTGTGTTGTGATCAGATTCAGGGGATTGTTGCTGGAGTATCTCGTAGAAGGATCTCTCGGCAGCTTGTAAGGCTAAATTGTCCTGCAAAAAACGAGATTCCTCTGCGAAATCTTCTTCGTCCATCAACATGTCATTGATGTATTTGAGAACAGGAGAGTTATCCAAACATATAGTCGGAGGAGAATCGTTCGGTGGAGAGTGGTTCTGAGGCTCTGGTTCGTTGAAATTGGGGAAGAGATTGTTATCAGAATCGAGATTGTTTCTGGGTTTGCAGCAAGACCCAGATCCAGATCCGTTCTGGAATCTGAAATCATCGACGGATACTTGAAGAAGAGCGTCCATGGTATCACGAAGGATGAGAATACTAAAAGAGTTTGAAAGTAAAGGAATCTTTTTTTTCAACGAGCAGATGAAGAAGACGAAGACGAGAAAGCGGTGCCAAAGTTATAATGTGAACACACTCGAGGGAGCTTAAATTTATATTTGAGGGATTATGTTTGAACTTAAAAAAAAAGTGGATTATGTTTTTTTTTCTTACATTTGTAGGGGAAAAAAATGGAACTTTCGAGGAAACACAGGCCGCCACAAAAAGTGGATCAAGTTATTAAACACATAATGATAAAAGGGTTAGTTGATTTGTGTCGGATCAGTCTGCAACTACTTATTTTTGTTGTTTTGCTCGTTACATTATTTATTTTTCTCTGAGCACTTCCACTTGCTTTGCTTGGTCACAAATAAAAGTCAAATACCCTTTACTTTAGTAAAGAGAATGTACTCAATTTTGTAAATAACTTGATATTAACACAATCTCACGCATTTTCTAAACAGCTTTGAACGATCATCCCGTAGATTTTCTTTTCCTATGGTGATTTTCATTGTTTAGATGTCCATACACGATCATCAAAGCAGCAATATACCAAAATTTTTGTATATACTGTATATATAGCAAAAGAGAGTAAGAATTTTTAAAACTAATCGCACTTAGAAAAGTTAGAATCCTAGGCAACCCGTCTAATAAGCGGCCTCAACACTAGATGACACTCGAACACCGATTAGTGCTTAACAATTTAATGAACGTTGGCATTTACAATCAAACTCTTTTTCTTTTTGTCTAACAATATACTCTAACATATTAAATAATCTAATAAAATAAATCTTGATCTCCAAGGAATTGGACAAATGTTTTGGGTGAAGGGAACGTGGCTGCCAAACCTATTTGTTTTTTATATTATTAGTTCGTCAGTAAGAAAATCATTTCATATCTTTGACTCTGTTTATATTTTCTTGAACAGTCAAAGTTCAAACGACGAGGCGATTGGGTTCCTTAATACGGTCGTGACATAAATAGAATTAATTTTTATTATAGAAAATGATTTATGATTAATAATTTTAGTCGGCATAAAGTCTTGTGTATACAGTAGTCATGGGGAAACAGAAAAAGGGGAAGTGAAGAAAGACGAACATTCAATATGATTGCGACTTGTTTGTCTATATTCAACTTATCTCCCAAATTATTTTTGTTTTTTAATATCATATGCTAAGGTTCTAACTAAAGTGTATATTTTCTTTTGCACACAAAAAAAACCGTACATTTCTTAATAATTTCGCTTTCCCTTTGAGAACTTCCAAGTATCCATCCGGTAAAACAAGCGATGTATGATGCATCATTGATGGTCATTTACACACATAGTTCATGGCTTATATATGTGTTTATTTTGTGGGGATTGTTTTCCTGGTTTAGTGTTAAGCTGGATCAAGGGAAGATATAATAGGTGTTGCAAAGATTTTGGTATGTGGGGCATCTAAATTGATGATTATATCCATTTATCTATGTTAAACGATGTTACAATATGGTGGCATTGGCACATATTTCAGTCAAACAAGAACCTATATGTACTTTTGGTCCTATTTAAGTTGTAATTTCATGCTATCATAGTTAATAAACTCTTTGTATTAAGAGTTACGACTTTGTAACTTCTCAAGTTTAATAAATTTTTGGATGTTTCTCTATAAGGTAGTAGTCTAGTAGATACTTATTTGCCATGAAGTATGAACACATTATTTAATCATTCGATTGGGTTGACCTGAAGACATATATATATAATATTGTACCAATCAAAAAGCTGATCTCATAGATATTTCTCCCCATCCGCAAAAATATACGCGTGTGATCGACACGAACCAATCACAACTTCGTTATTATGGCCTCGTGGGGATCTCACGGCCGAGAGAGCGTGATTTACTACTTCCTCTCACATCGTATGTTGCTTTTATTTGAAGATATCATTAATGATTAATCTACTGATACTATTGTTAATTACTGATTTTCTTCAACTTGTGTTTAGTTAACCTGATGCTGTATCGTTTAATGATTTGTTCTTTCTCTAATGTCGCTAGATTAGTTTTACACGAAAACAATTGCTTAAAAGTCGTCATGACTGACGATTGCAAATAAAATTTGGGCCTGTCAACGAGCTTGTACGGCCCAAATAGTATATGATTCTAAAACTTTTTTAAGATTTTCAATCTCTTCTCTCTCTTCAATATTGTTCCTTCAAAATCACACAAACTTTGTAATAGCTATGAGATTTAATGACAACCATCAAGATGATGACCAGAGGAGTGAAAGAGGCTTTCCACTAGTACACTCTTTGACTTGATCTAATACCACTTGTTGAATCTTCTTCTCTACTTCCTCCATGGTTTCACCAGCATCGATTATCTGCATCGTCCACAAACATTTCAAGGTTTAGATTTTTCTGTTAAATCTAAAATATAATCTGACTCTACAGAGCAACAAAAAAGGAAAGAGTCTTAATCAATTCACCTTCCACGAAGAATCACGTAGAGTTTGATAAAAGTCTGCAACTTTACTCTGAAACTCCACTCGCTCGTATCTCTCATCTCCATATCCACCTCTCTCAGCAGCTCTTTCAGGTGAAATGTCAAGGTAAAGCACAGAATCCGGAGCAAGTAAACCGATTTCCGGCGCCTTGCACCAATCAACACCTAGACCTTTAGCTGAAGAGAAAGCTACACCAGAATACGAATAACGATCAACGATAAGCGTGGTTCCTGTTTTAAGCTTTTCCTCCATCAATGACCTGCAAAATGTCAACACTTTCTCAGTCATAATATCACTAAAAGAGCATAGGATTGAAGAAAGGGAATCAATTTAGACAGCTAAAGAAATGCAAGAAACCTCTTCTCCCATCGATTGGCACTGAAAAGGAGATGAATGGTATGATCATCGAGCTGCGATTTATTAGATAGATACGCCGATATCATCTGACCGACACTAGTCTCTCTGTCGGGAAATCTCCAGAGCTCGGTCGGATGTCCTAAACCCTCCAAGAAAGAGAGAAGCTTTGCGCACTGCGTTGATTTCCCGCTCCGATCAAGACCTTCTACAACTATCAATGCGCCTCTTGGCTCTGCACCACTGAGTCCAGAAGAGAGCATGCTTTTTTTCTCCATCCGAACTGATGAAAGCTTAAGCGACTGGACAGGATAGTTCAAGGATCGTGGCTTTGCTAAAGCTCTGAAACTTCTAGAAACTAATAGACACAGGTCAGACAGAGGAATCTAAACTTGTAATCGAGTATGGGAGCAAAAATTTGTTCAGATTCACGAAATTTCGAAACTTTTTGACGATTCATTAGTCTGTTAATCAAATTTCCAAAATTGAAGAAATGTCAAAATCTTCATTCGGCATTCGTACCCTTTTCAAGTTCACTGAGCAAGAAAAATCCTCATATTCAAGAGCAAAACGCGAAATGGAAGGGAAGTGTGAGTTTACTTTACTTACAAAACTGAACACTTGAAAACGAGCAGATCCGTTTCATGCCCTTACAAGCTAAAACCTGCGTGGTGAAATCAATATTCAGATACACACAGTGAAACCCTTCTTTTAAACCGTAAATTCATGGTAAGGAAGTATACCGAATCGCGTTCCGTGGTATCGGAGAAGAAGATGTCGACGGAAAGAGTCGTCGTGAAGAAGAATCGACTTAAAAGAGTCAGATACAAGCTTAGGTTTTTCTCACCTTTTTCCAACACTCTCAGAAACCTTCAAGTCCCTCAGAGGGTTTGTTTGGTCTGAATTACGTACCAGCCGGTTAGCTGATTTTCGGTTCAGTGAAGACATTGGGTTTTTACTAGATTTTTCAATTGGCTCTCGGATCGATCGATCAGCCCGCCGGTCCGATTCAGATCAAAAATGTAAACAGTGTAACAAGTCACAAGCAACATTTTTACATTTCTGATTTCTGTAACAGGTCGATGCGTTTATTTATTTTCTCTGCGTTGTTTTTTTTCCCTCAAAAGTTTCACTGATTTTTTACAATCTTGTTATTCTAAACTCTTTTTGATTGCCAGTAAGCACACTAGATTTTATATATACATGTGGTAGCGCTTATGATTGGACGATTTAGATATTACATTCTTGTGTAAACCTATATTAATTTACACATAAAACAATAATGATAAAGAGAGAGAGAACACAGTCTATGAAAGACATATAGAGATTGAAAATGTAACAAAAGATGTTGTACAAAAAAAAAAAACTGTACAAAAAAATCATCTCCCTAAATTGGTCAAGAACAATCTTTAGTAGCAATGCAAATATATGAGAAACAGAGTCATGCTGCGCACTAGCAAATAACAGTATCATACAAACTATCTTAACCCAATGGTCCCTAAATTAAAATTTTAAAATCTACTGCCCCAAGCAAATGGTTGATGTTGATGGGGTTCTACCCAGAACTGGGTCTGACCAGTAGCCATGAGCGTTCAAGACCCGGTTTAGAAGTTCCTGAGGCACTGGCTCTCCTCTCCTCTGTTGTGGAGATATCTTAGCCGTGTGGACCAGCGTTTTCCATTTGTCCTGCACAACACCAAACGCTAGATTCAGATCTAATCATGTGGATTTGGGTTCACCGGTAGTTAAGTATGGTACGGGTTAAAAAATGCAAACCTTGAGATCAACGTAAGTGCGGTGATCTGCATCTTCGAAAGCACGAAGCTTAACATCTCGCCACCTGCGGATTTCCACCAAACTTCAATCATCTTTCTTCTACTTGAGAATCACAATATAATAATGCTATTATGATCTGTAATTTGGATTTACCTTCCAGTACCGAGTTTCTCAACTGCTTGAACAAGTGCTTCTACTTCAGCAACTGAGAAAGGTCGACGAATTCTGCGTTGTGCAGCCTGCTGCTGCCGCTGCTCACTCCTTTTAGATTTATGACAAGGCGGTCGAGGAGAAAGTTCACTGAGCGCGAGAGGAACCAGAACTTTAGAATCATCTGTCGCAGTTTTCTTGCCAAACGACTCAGCTGGGAACAGTGCTGCGTCATGGTCAGATTTAAACACTTTGTCCATGCTAGAAGTATGGCACATAGGCAGTTCCTCGCAGATATGTCCCAACGGGTTACTGGAAAACAAAACAAGAACTTAAGTCACAAATTATTTGAGTTTTTAAAACAAATGTAGCGGATGTAATTTGTGAATAAAAGTATGAACCTAGTTAACAGTTGAGGCGTGTCTGAGCTTGGTTCAAGGCTGAAATCAAGACAGTTCAAGTGGGTGTTCTCCTGAGAGATCCCAGTCTGATGAAGGGTTTTGCTATCATCTCGGACTTTCTTTCCTTGAACCATCAGACCAACTCGGTGTCCATCACTCAATAAACTGTTCACTGCTTCCATCACCATTCTCTGCAGAAGCAAAAGGACCATCAGAACATAAGAAGCGAGTTAACAGGATCGAAAAGCAGGAGAAAGTGATGAGCTGGGTAATGCCATTACCTTCAAGGAGCCAACAGTAGCAGTTTCTGGAATTTCTACGAAAAGCTCAGGTACCCTGAACGACTTGATCCGCAATCTCACTGAGATAGAAACAAATACAGCAAATACATTCTCTCGTAAGATTCTTCATTCTAATAAACAGGTAAGAGTAAAAAAAAAAGACTTTAAACGAGACTCGTTTGTTACCATGAGAGCCGCTTGACACAAAGGACGCACCTTGACCTTTCATCGAAGAAACTGTTCTGCTGCCTGCAAATAAAAATTGCAGAATCTCACTGCAACAAAAGGAAAAGCTACGAGATCCAGACAGAAGGTTTAAAACTAAAAAGAAAGTCTCTTTACCTCTCTGCATCTTACTGCGCATACGATAATCTTCAGAGATTGAATCAGAAATGTGGTCAAAGTGTCTCTTTCTCTTGATAGGATAGCTCCTCTGATGGTGCAAGTAATAATTTCTCCATGGTTTCGCATCTGCAACACCAAAAGCAATCTTCAAAACAAAACCCAAGATGTGAAAATAGACATGAACCCTTAGGCGGGCTAGTACCTGAATGTCTTGAACCTCCTTTCCAGTGTCTAGAAGCCAATATCTTCCTGATTCTTCTGTCCCCAATACGCGGCACAGACCTAGGTGACTTTTTGGTCACACGAGGGCAAATATACCCAGAAAAGTTTTCGTCATCATCTCTACTAAACAAATTTACATCATCCTGAGCGCCACGGGAAGCACAAGTCCCCATTGAAGGCACTTTGGTTCTACTACTACTACCTAAACTAACTACGACATTAGGTCTCGCGTCCAGAACTACTGCATCGCCATCTATACCCGGTTTTAAATCCTCACCAAAGTTCTCGACTTGACAAGAATCACTACCACCAGAGTTGCTAAAACCCTCTGCCTCATTCTCTACTTTGCCATTTATCACAGAGCTGAATCCGAAAGTGCTCATTGATCCATGATAAGGATTGTCCACGGGCAAAGTTACTGGGTTTAAGGGTTTTTCTTCCATCGAGATTTCCTCCTTTACACTGGTTCGTGTAACGACACGATCATCTTCGATCCCATTAACCGGTTTGTCGATAGACATGAGAGAACCTTCGTTCTCAAACAGCATGTTTTGAGCTACGGTGGCCAATAAATCAATGGCACACATTTGGTCATCTTCACTTATCTTCTTCTCGAAGCTGCGCCTCTTCTGGCCAAAAAAAAAACAAAGTGAAACGCGAGTAATCATATAATGCACTTCTTACAAAACCAAACCAAAAGAGTAAATGGTAATATGAACAATACCCGCGCTGATCTTGGTGCTCTTGCATTGGGAGGTAACTGGTAGCCTTTGTATTCAAATTCTTCTACACACTTGTGCGACACCATTTCTCAGAATGCATAACACGATAATGTGATTGCCACACGAAATAAGCTTTTGTTTCAATGGCTCCTGTAAAGTAACTCGCAAGCTGCAGATTAAAAATTGGAGAAATCATATTAAAAAGAGCCGTGGAAATCAATAAAACGATAATATATTAGCTAACCACGCTCAGGAAGATATAAAGTGAATCTAGATTAAATGAAACTTGTGTGTCATCCCAATTTGAGAAAATGAAAGTACAGAGCAACACGATTTTCTCTCTGGTATTTTTGCATGAAGGAAAAAAAAGTAAGGATTTTGAACGTCCTGGGAAATTAGCTTAAACCACCCTAAAACCCTAATCGATATGAGATCGAAAATCGAGAGTCAAACCGTAGATTCAAACGATTTACGCACAGCAAAACCCTAAACCCTGACAATAATTAAATCAAAAGTTTGACTCATGAACCAAAAACTTCGATCTCAGGATCAAAGGGCCAAGAGATCACAGGTGTGCAAAGAAACCCATTTCTAAATCTCAGATCGGATTTCACAGATCGACAAATACGATTGTCGTCATATAAAAGCCACAAAAAAAAAAAATTCGAAGAAAAACTATGCTAATTACGAAAGAGGAAGAAATCACGTTTCAAAGAAAAAAAAAGGGTTTACCCAGAAATTTTCAGGCCAAATTCCTTTGAAAACGAAAATTCACAAGAGTATTTTTGAACCTTCCAAACAAAAACGACAAAATCGAGAAGATAAATCAATGAAAAGCTCTAAATCATCTCACCTTTATAACCCCCAATCTTCAGTTTCTAGACGATTATCCCCTCAAAAGAAATAAATTACGGTAAATTTCCCGGCGAATAAACCGGTAATTGCGAGATCGGAAAGAAAAAAAACAAACGCAAAAAAGAATGGCTCACACCAAAACCTCTTCTCACAAATTTTCCTTCTTAACACATGCGTTTTCCCGAGAAAGTGACAGAAACTTTTTTTTTTACTTGTTTGAAACGCTACCCACACGATGCGATCTTCTCTCACCACAAGCAAAATCAATCTCTTTTCTCTCTCTCTCTCCGAAACGCCCAAAAACAAAAACCCTTAAGAAAGACGACCACGTTTTTTTGCTTAAACCCTTTTTAGCCTACATTGACCTTTTCCACCGGACGTACCGGTTTTATTCCTCTGTAGTAACCGGCTGTTATCGGTGGACACATTCACCTATAAACCAGGTTCCCCGCCACGCTCGACATGGCTTGTAACCCCTCTAGATCTCACCACGTGGCGAAGATGTATCATCACATGACTCTCGAAATCTAGCCAATCAGAAATATTCATGACAAAACAAAAACTACATCTATGTTTTGTCAACATTAAATAAGATGTAATTAATTAAATGAGATGCATTGAAGAGCAATACTATATTTGAAAAACATATGCAATTATTTACTTGCACATTTCTTTTGCTAATCGCATTCAGTAAAAAATTTACTAAACTTAATTATATTCCAACTCTGTATCCTAAGGAAATTTAAGGTTTCAAACGAATTAATATATTCAAAGGGCTTCGTTAGTATTAGACGAAAAGTTCAACTATAATAATGGAATACATATTATAAAAAATAATATTTAGGTTAGTGGAGATAACCTGTAAGCTGTAACTATACGACATTCGGTTCGGTCACGTGGCAGGTGGATCTACCTCTAGACTACAGAGCTTATATTCATATATTAACATAATTCTTAACAAAAACCGTCGAAATTTAACGCCGTTGGAAGGATAATCAAATTTAGAACAATTTTAGAATTTTTTAACTCCCGATATATCCACGTCGAAGTCACGGCATCGAGAGTTCGGTGTGTGACGGCGTTAAGTTCGGAGATAAGAAACTTTGGGTTGCTAGTCGGGTCCACAAACCTAACTGGTAGTCCCCGTTATATGACAGTGATAATTATCGGCTAGTGCCAAAGCATATAATATTCATAATATTATTTTAACCATCAACCATTTTTTAAAAACGATCAACCAGTTTTTAAAACGCTAATTTACTATCTAGTCAATGTTCTCTTCGAAAAAAAAATTTGAAACATCCTTTTGGTGAACGATTTGCTTCAGTTTTATACTTCAGTTTTTGGAGTATCATATAATATATATTCTTTTGCTGAATTGTGAATTTGTGATGTGTTGTACGATAAAAATCCGAAACCACCAACCCTTTATCCTTAGAAAGGATAAGATGAAATAAATTATATTTTTAATGTTTTTTGAAGTAAATAAAAGTTGAAATAATTAAGTGCTTTATCATGTTCGACGGAAATCCATTGGCCCATCTATTTAAATAACAATTGTTCTCGTGAGGATAAATGCATTTTTTAATTAATTTTGATTGGTTCTGATCTAAACCGGCATAGATCGGAAATCCAATACTAGGAATATTGTTTGGATGTGTGCTATATTATCCGAACTTTCTTGATATTTGTAGTATTTGAATCTATCTAACATTTTGGCCAAATAACGAAAAGGCAATATAAAGCTGGAAACCAAACTCGTGTGGATTACAAAAACGTATCATAAAGTTTGCATGACGTCTTGAAACTAAAGACTTGTTGAAAATACATGGGATTATCATTGTACCTAATATGAACTTGTCATTGCTACTACTTTTTGTATATATATTTTATTCATACATATGAATTTTAATTAACAGTAGATATCCTAAGTTTTGGTGGCTAAAATACAAAAATGATGTGAATTTTTTGTTTGAACAATAAAATGACGTGAATATCACACCAGTAAAAGCTGTTAGATGTAAGTAGGTAGCAACAGTAAAGCAGATCGAAACCGTTTAAAAACTGGATTAAATTTGTCTTAATTTTATTTAAGAATTGTAATTTAGCATGCGTGTGAAAATTGATATATAGTAACATTAGCTTTCACTGAAAAATGTATAAATATTATAATAAATTAAACAAAAATAATGGTTATATGTACTAAGTTATATTATGAAATTTGATTATGCTTACATGAATTTAGACTATGAAAAATTAGGATAAGTACATTTGACGCATGAAAAAAATTGAGATCGAGGGAAGAGTATAAAGGTTAGATGAAACTTTAGGAGACATGGTTGACGTAGAAGAGATGATTCTCAAATCTTCAATTCTTATTTTTTACGTGATTTGACTTATCAAAGATAGTATGCTTCACAAGGCGGCTCGTAATACTACTTTTTTCCTCCAATTAAATACACATGAGTACATGACATGACCATTGTTAATATGAAGACACGGAAAAAACTTTTTTTTTTTTGTTTTTAGATGAACACGGATCATTGTTTAATCGACTTCAATATGATTATATTCTTGTATTTTCGTCTAATACTTCATAGAATCATTGTTCATGTTTCATTTCCATCATTGCTTAAGTTAAATGAGCTCCTCAAGTTTTACATATACTATTTGTCATCTATATAAATATGAATAAGCAAAGCAACCACGGATCAGTATACAACTCTATATGTTGAAAGCTCTTAAAGTCGCACCTAAAGTGAAGGTGCTTAAATATGGCATAAAACACTATACAAACACTAGACTAAAAGCATCTCGACAATTTTTTAGAAATTATATATTAAAGAAAATTATATTTTGTTTCACATGTTTCAAAACTAGACCTCCAAAAATGAGCATCTATCAAACAATTGCATGAATTTTTATATACAACTAAAAACAAAAACCAAAACTGAGGAGATAAGTTTATCATTCCTTCTTGAAATGGAAACTAAAATGGTAAGTAAAGACCACATACATATGATATCTCTTAAAACAAAACAAACATAATTACTTCTGATCGAAATGGAACAAAGATACAATAAGACATAAACACAATCTTATGTTTCATCACTACGTAATCAGACTGAAATAAAATTAAAAACAACATGGAACTCATTTTCAAGAGCATTTTGTATGTCGAGGTCATATAATTTAAGTATGAAACGTTACCTCATTCAGTTGATATGTTACCATATTGCCAAGGATTAAACTCGATCGATTTGAGGTCCGCTTCATTGGAAGCACTGCTCGAGCTCTCTGCTGTGTCTCGGTGTTCCGTGTACTTCCCGTTGAATTGGTATATTTCAAGATCTCCCCATGGCGTAGATGTGATCTCATCCGTTAGATCGAACCATCTTGGAGTGAACTTCTGGCCCTTTGTCTCTCGGGTCCTCTTTTCGGCCCTTTGCCTCTCCTCAAGGCTGCGATAAAAAAGACAGCACGAAGAACCTCATGAGCATAACAGTGTTGCTTCATGTGATCTAACAGGTAATCATTGAGGATGTTTATTTTAGACCGATTCTCAAAAATATATTTCCTAGTTCAAAAAAACTTTCTAACAAACAAGTGAGTAAGAAAGAAAGAAAAGATGAAGAACCTGTGCTTCTCGGCACCAGCTTTAGAAAGGTCACCCTGCTCAAGGGCATATCTATCAGGACGGAGACGTGAGTCTGAAGCCAAGAGCTTAGCAGGAGCTGTGTCGAAACTGTTGATTTTGTGAGCAAAGTGGGTGTACTGAAATTTGTCATTTTTGGGGACATCAGCCACGTGCCACACCTGAAGGCAGCAAAAAAAAAAAAAAAACACAGAAAATGATAAGCAAACACTAAAGAGCAAAACACTGTTGTTCAAATTCCCAGGGTTGCAAATCATTATCACACATAACCTAGCAAAGTCCAGTAAACCTATTTGAAAGGAAAATAAACGACAGACCTCTTTAAGCTCTGTGCCTGGAAGGGGTTCTCCTTCAGTATCACAAGGTTGGTAGCTTATTTTTTCATTCCATTTTCCTGTCATCATGATTTTAGGTTCTTCGTCTGCGCTGTAGACGTATCCATCCACTTCATAGCGACCAGAACTGAGATTAAGAAAGTAAACATTTATCAATAAGCATGTCGGGATCACAGGACAAGACTAAATCCTGGAAGCAGGGAAAATAAACAGAGTATCAAAAACAGTAAAACAAAGAAATGTGTTGTCATTTACCCGAACCAACCACATGGCTGGAAATAAAGTACAACTTTGTCTCCAGTGGTTAAATTCGTCATGACCATTTCCCCGGGTGAGTCAACCCACGTTCGTCCAAATATTAGATTGTGAACCTTAGTGAGAGGCGGCACCAAATCCAGAACCACGCCATCTTTTTTTAAGGTTACACGCGTTCTGCAAGCCAATAAACAAGCTGCATGAGCTTAGATGAAAACAGAAACAGAACAGATACTAGCACAGTAGTATGTTTTTACTAGCACGTCACAATCTTTTGTGTTTCCCACGTAAAATCATAAGACATAAAAAATGGTCTGGTTCCTTCGTTTCACCTCAAACAGAAGTTAGAGAACTATTGAAAGGGAAGAGTACATGCAGCAAGAAGTTTCTTCCTTAATAAAGAGAGCTTTTAACAAAGTTCGAGAGAAGCGGATCATAAATAGGAAGAAAATTACCTTCCAACAGGGTAAACATCAACAGAGTTACCCAAAAGCTTAGTTTTCAACTTTGATGTGACGTCGTAAGTGAAGTGCTCATTCTCGGCGTGACCAGCACTCATTGGGGGATGATGGCTAACCTAAAATAAAACAAAGGAACTAATTATCAGAATGAATCACAATAGACAGCTTATTGTAAACTAGTGTTTTTATCTACGATGCGAATGACAATAAAGTGTATAGCTGCACCTGCTCAGAAAGAAACGAAATCCCACCATGGTTGGCCATCTCATATGTCTCTCCAAGAATAGGATTGAAAGGCTTCCAAGTTCGTTGGTAGGCAAAGTAAACAGATATAGCCCATGATGCTGAACAAATATTCACATTCAACCTCAGAGAAAAAGAACTCTTAAAGTCTAACAAAGTCAATACAAGTTTTCGAGTATTTACTTACAAGCATATACTAAACGCATGTACGGATCCTCGCATTCATCTGCTTGATCCAACAAGTGAGAATACTCCATTAACTGTGAAAAATGTTGCAAGATATGTTATACCGTGCAAACAAATAAACCAACAAACTTTCAAACACACAAGTATAATAAGCTATAACACTAACCTCCGCCATCTTCTGGAGCATAGTCATCGGCTCAAATATAACAACAGGAAGAGTCACCATTGACGTGATATCCGAACCTATATATTTCTGCATCATCTTCCAGTAACTATCTCGTTCCTATTAAGCACAAAAGATAAGTTTCTGCGTGTAAGTAAAAAGTTGTTATCAAGAACAAAAAAAAAACGTAAATTTAAGGAGAAGTATCAATACACCATCGTAGAACCAGGGGATTAGTTACCTCGTCCTTCCACCTTCCTCGCTGAGCTTCCTCTTCTGCATCTTCCTTGCCACCTTCTGGATTTATGACCTCAACTCCTTCATAACTTAGCAAACTGAAATGAAATGTATCGAACAGGAATTAACAAAAAGCTACATGGCTTCTCATGAATTGAGCACCCGATCAAAAGGACCTCCAGTACCATACAGCACTAATCAATTTAAGTGATTGAAAACTAGATCAAGATGATTCTGAGACAACAAAAAAATTGACAAAATATTGACTTGTGAAGAAATAATAATAGAATTATCAATTATCCACCCATGTTTCTAATATAAAACTCAACAAAATGAAACACCTGAAGAATCAAAATAGTTATAGCAGACAATAATCTTTAGCCATCACACACACACACAAAGATTCATATAACACAACATATCATGGGAAACGAGAAACACAGAGTCTCTATCACCCTGTAAACCAATCACAGCGATTCAGGACGCAAAAGCTTAACCTCGAGTGTTTTAAAGACACACACAATTACAAATAGAATTGCTATGTAAACTTATGAAACGAGATTTCTAAATGAAACTGACCCGTTGACGGATCTCGACATGGCGCTGCCGAACATGGAGAAGCCAGAAGTCATGGCGGCGAAGAAGCCCTTGTTCTCGTTCTTCTTTGGACTCCCCATCTTTTTTATTTTTTCTCAGAGCCGATCTCTGTGTGATCTCACCTCTGTAAAACCCTGATTCAGAAATCCAACGCGTTTTGAATTTTCTACAGAATTCGATCAAACGTATTCAATTTTGGAGAAGAAGCCTTGGAAGCTTTACAGGGAGGGAGACTAAAAAAAGAAGGAGAAATGGGCTCGATCTGTAAAATACGTAAATATGAGGGACTTCAACTGTAAATTCTTGGAGTCGTTAATCCCTTGGTTTAAGCCTTTTAAATTATTTAATCAAAGGAGAGAAGGATCATTATTTTAGGTTATCTGAGTCTGAGCTGACAAATCACAATGGATAAAAACATTTTTTACACAAAAACTTATTACAATAGTCATGAATTGTACTAGAATCACAAGGTTTTTTTTTTTTTTTCTTATAGACAAAATAGAAAAAGCAAGTAGACAAGAAACACAAGTACGGAGAAATTTGAATTTTCTATACAAGTGTACATATTAAAACACAATATTTTGGGGCATCAGATCCGAAATGTCTTCAAAGCTTATTCCAACATTAGTAGTTAACTAAAAATTTATGGATTTATAATTTTATATCATATTTTTTTTGTCGACATTGGATAATTTTCATTTAATGAAAAAGATTAATACGGATCACAGTTTCTCTTTTTCGATCCAAATCCAATACATGAACAGCACTCAGAGTTAAATAATCTCACAACTCGGCCACTATTTCTGCAATTGCTGGTACTGAATTTTAAGAGACCAAATTCAAATACTCGGATCATCCTCTCGACGAAGGGGGTTTTCTTCTTCCAAGGCTTCAGATTCTCGATATCCAAAGAATCGAGGATGAAAGAATCGAAATCGGCAAAGTTGAATCAGCAGCAACATCAATATAATCATCAGAACAGCGTTCACTTGTCTCCATCGAAACTGGCGAATTTGTTCGATCCCGATGCTTCTTGGGACAAGGTACTACTCACTTGTTGTCTTTTCTCCGTCGTTTTCAGCAATATCGAAGCTCCTTTGACTTTTTTCTTTTCCCTTTGCTTATGGGGATTGGAGATTTGTTGTTCCTCGAAACTGTGTGTAGTAATTGATTTGTACTCGATCTTACTGAATCAAATCCAATTTGCTCCGTTCAAGTTGTTCCCTGGAGTTGAAAAATTTGTGAATTTGCATGAGCTACTACAGGATAGGTTAGATTTCTAGAAACAGATTTTGTAATTTGTTGATGATGCAGGATCAATTGGGAGACGTGTTGCATTGGATCCGACAAGTGGTGGGATTGATCTGTGGATTGTTATGGGGCTCAATTCCACTTGTTGGAGGCATTTGGATCATCCTGTAAGCTGAAAACTTATAGCTACAATTTGTTTATTTGCTTTGTTTCCTATGTTATAATGATTTGATGGTAACGCAAACGCAAAAGAAACAGTCTTCTTCTCAAAATCCTGTTCCAGCTTTGGCTCTTGGTATTTCTAGTTTTATCTTCTTGATAAAGTAATAATGTCTTTGATTCATTTTCACCCGGCTAGAACACAATTCTGATTAGAGCAAATGAGAGAAGAAGACATATTGGGATCTTCTTTTTGACAACATTGCTTTAAAAATCTCGAGGATTAGCAAAACATAATGATGAAGATTTTTTGCAGGTTTTTGGCGATATCGTCAGGGATAGTTTATGGTTACTATGCAATGATTCTCAAGGTTGATGAAGAAGACTTCGGAGGCCACGCAGCTTTACTCCAAGAGGGTCTCTTCGCGTCAGTTACTCTCTTTTTGGTAAGTTTGTTTTCCATCTCAACTATTTAAACTCTTTCCTCCTTAACAACAGTAATTAAAATCTATTTCATATCTTGTCTTCAGCTCGCATGGATTCTTGTCTATAGTTTGGCACACTTCTGAGAAAAAGCTGAGAAACATTCTTTTTTACTCAGCAGCTAATGCCAGTTTTGCAATACCTGGGAGTCCCGGAACGAATCTCTGTTTTTCTTCTTTTCCTTTTTGTAAACTGTGGGAAGAAAAAGGCTACAAGAGACAAAACGTTACATAGTAAAACTTTTATGAATATTTTGAATGATACAAACACCTTTCTAGTTTCTAATATCCTTCTTTCTTTTAAATAAAAAGATACACAATTGAGTAGAAACCAAAAAATTCTATTTGTCTTTGTCAGAATTATGTATACTTGGAACGCCGGTTCCTCCTTGGCCGTGAAACAAGGTATATCCTGCCGTAAACCCATTTTCTACCCAATGGTGACACAGATTTCTGTAGCAGAAAGACAAAACCAAACAACATTCATTGTTGTTAGAAAGCTACAGAGGACTATCTACTGCAGTGATTTATTCAGAATTGAACCATAACAATCGGCGTTCTAAATGTAAACGCAGCATGGCGAAGATGAGCAATATAAGGGTACCTCCACTTTGGTACGGAACTCCAGGGTGCACTCACAGACATGACAGTCGGCTTTGTGAGCTGATCGGTTTGATTGATCGGATCTCACGAATGCAAAAACCTACACAAGTTCATCAAACTCAAATGTGACGAGAACTGAAAAACAAAACAATGTTCCAGCAAAAGAGTGAACAAACAAAAGATTTGACCTCTTCCCCGCAATTTGGGCAGTCTCCTTTTAGAGCCGTTAAGTCATTTCTCCATAGGCCTTCAAGTACTCTCACTGCAAACAGCATTCTTTATCTCAGTACAAGTAAATGATAGCAACTGCAAAGTTTATAGGTAGAAATAGTGTTTGCATTCGGGTATACTTGCAGAAGATGCAATCGGATATCCAAAAGCAGGTCCTAGCACGGTGAGGAGGATGCCGTTAAACTTTGACAAAAGAGGCACAGAAGATGACAATTGGCCTGTATAGACAAGCCCTGAGTCAAACGGATCTCCTCCATAGACTAAGCCGAGGCCATACATCGCGGGCAAAACGCATGCTGAGCTACCAAACAAGAGAATCAAGATCCATATGGTAGCTAACAGGAGAACTTGAGATGCATCATCCTGTCCTAAAAGGATTTTAACTCAATATCAACCCTTGACAAAAGCATTGTTCACCAGCAAAAACAATGATCATAATACTAATCTACAAAAACAGATGTCAAGTGATATGCCTTTTTCCGACTATAACAAGTGGTAAGTGGTAGAGGGACACAAATGAAAAACAAACAGATAGTGATATAAACTTGTTGATTAGAGCAAGATGAATGTGAAATCTTATATCTATGTAGCCACTACCTACCACAAGATGACCATCTCAAATTCTGAAAAGCTATGATGAAACGAATCCAAAATCTCAAGGAGTTACAAAAAGAAGTGAATTTGACTCCCAAATTGTACCTCTGCATCAGCATAAGTTGACTGTCGCAGGAGGCTGCACCGAGGGTACTTGACAACCGATTTCGAACCATACCACCGAAGCTTTAGCTGAAAGAGATAGAAATGACACAATCACAGAGAGCAGAGTTCCAGAATCAAAACCAATCTCTTGCTAGAAACTCCATCTACCTAAAGTAAATCATTAGAAGCATATACTAAGTGTTATCTTTACCTCAACTCTGTCAAACATGTCATCAACTATCAAAGGCTTGCCGTTGTAATACGCATCCCTCGCCTATACATTTTAAATCAAAATTTCGACATAGCAGACTTCAATACCCAGAAATTTTAAGCCACCGAGATCAAAATCGAAATACAAAGATATTAAATTAGGCGTTACTTGGCGGTAGAGAGCTTCTAAGGTTTCTTTCCGGGCGGAATCAATCGGACCGACGAAGATGCAAGAAGGACCTTCCTCACGTAAGGTCCGTGCCGTGAAACCACCTCCGTGGCCTCGGGTTCTGGACCTTCTGGTGGAGATCCGAACAGAGAAAGGAACTCCGGCTCGATTGATCAACCTGGAGAGCTCAGCAATCGAACAAGAGCCTAAGAGGCGAGGCCTAATCGACGTACAAGTGCCCGCCATGAACCAAAAAAGAAGAAGAAGAAGAAGAAGAAGAAGAAGAAGAAGAAGTAGTAATCGTCTTCTGATTTCTTCTCTCTCTCACTCGCCGGAACAAGAGAAGAAGGCGTGTGGTGGAGGCGGTTGGGTCCGAGAAATGGTGACCACACGATACGATTCGGCGCGTGCACGCAACATGCGTTTTAAGATTATTAAACATATATGCGGCCTGTAAGTATTATACGATGGATAAAATATCTGATTGGACGAAAATGCTCTAAACAAGACGTAATTCGGATTTGGCGGGTTATGTTAATATCTTAATGAAAATGAAAAAATAAATTTGACTCTGCCGGGAGTCGAACCGGGTCTATTGCTTGGAAGGCAATTATCCTAACCGTTGGACTACAGACGCTTTTTGCTCTCCCATTATCAATCTATTTTTTAGATTATTATTACTGGTCAAAATTCCATTTTCGAAAAAACCTCTCTCACTCAGTTACCAAGTGTTTCTTGTGCTCTAAGTTATACAAAAAAAAACAACAGATACGTTTTCTGGAGAAAAACCATAGTCCAAAGAAGAAACTTAAACTTAAACGGCAAAAACATTCACAGTTATTGCAAATTAAATTAAACCAATTTCTAAAAGGTAAAAACTCTTAATAGTTCTCTCGCCATTGTATCTTCTTTTGTTCCTTTCGAAGTAGAGACATCAACGCCTCTTTCGTTTGTTCTTCTTAGGCACAAGCTCATTCCTTATCTTCAACATCACATCCGTCACTTCCTCCATTGTTGCCTTTCGGTTTTGCTCATAGTTCCAAAGCTCTAAAATCACATAGCTACCACTTGCATTGTGATTCTCTATCTCTAGCTTTGCTCTCACCACTTCATTGTAAACTTCCTCACCATATTCATTCTTCAGCTTTAGCAGCTTCTCGTCCTTTTTATCCACCACTCTCTGCAATTTTGCATTTGAAATAAAGCTTGAGATATACTATACAAAGGAAAGATCCCATATTTGAGATTTCAAAGTAGGGAAGTCCAAACCTTTGGGGTTCCATCAGATTCATCGACTTTAAATGGATACCAATTCACATCTCCAATTTCTCTTTCCCACAATGAACACAACTCCATAGCTTTCATCTCTGCTTTTGCTTGTGAGCCTTTATGTTTCCTCTTCACTGCTGGCAAAAATGGCTCGGGGTTTAGTTGCCCCATTCTCTTCACTCTTATCTTCTCTCCTCTCACCAATTCTTCGTTCCCATTCCAGAACTTCTCATCAAAGTAATATCCCAAGTTCAAAGATGATAGACTATTCCTTAACTCAAAGAAATATAGTTTGGAACAGGCAGATTTAGATATTTTTTCTTTGTACCTGAATCATCTCTTTACGAGAGTCTTGATACTCGTCGTTGGTCACACGTTCTTTTTGTGTCAGAGCCATCATTTTATCTTGTAGATCCATTTCTCTAGCCTCGAGCTCCATCTGAGTCTTGGCCATCTTCTCTATAAACTCTGCATCTCCATCACTACCCACCATATGCTTCATAACATTGGTGTTACCTTTCAGCTTCTCTATCTCTAACTCCAGCTCTTCCAACTCCTTCTCTTGCGTTTCATTTAGTTTCGCTTCCATTTCCATTATCTTTTCATGAAGCTTCTCCTTCTCTTTCTGCAAAAGTTGTCAAGTTTCAAAGACTCAAAAGTTGAAAGAAAGCTTCAATTTTGTCTTTGTTCATGAATATACATACAGTCCAACTAAAGAACTACTTGCCTGGTGCTTTTCTGCAAGCTTCATAGCTTCCTTATTCGCTTCATTCTGCTCCCACATAGCCTTTTGATTCTACAAAACCAACAAGGTAACGGATTTTATTGTCTTATGATCGTTTTTGTTCTAATTAATTTATCAAAAGAGTGTAATCACCATTTCTCTTTCACGTCTGGATTTTTCTATCTCAGCTTCATTTCTGTCTATCTGTCTTGCACGCTCCTCCAGCTTCTCCTTCTTTTTTTCCAGGTCAGACATAGATTTTTCATGTCCTCGCAGAATCTGCTGATACAGCTCTTGCACGTTCATCTGCATCTTCTCAACCTCTTCTCATCAAGAAGACACAACCAAAGAAGTATGTCAACAAAAAAAACAAACAGATTCTGTTTTAAAACTGATTCAAGTGTAAGTTTAAAACAAGTGTCCTTTACCTTCTTTGTAAGTTTTGTTTAACTGAAAGTTATGCAATTCCAAACTCTCTAAAACACGAGAATTCTCATCGACTTTGTGTTCGAGTTGTTGTTTGCTTATCTTCTTCATCTCAATCGTTTGAGACATGTTTTCAACAAGCTGACTCATTTTCCTCTCCTCTTCTTCTTGGATCTGTGCAACACTTTTCAAATCTCTCTTCTTCTTAACCTCCTTGCCAACGATTCCACTTCGATTGTAATCCTCTTCTCTTGCAACCCATCCGTAAAGCTTATCATCCCTCAAGTGAACACCTTTCCAAAGAAAGAGAATTCAGTGACAAGAAAACAAAATGACCTTAAAATCGGCATACTTGAATAACTCAGAAACAGCTTTTACCATTCTCCCAATCTCTCTTCCCATGACGGTCTGATTTGTAACTCCTTTCGAATTTCATGGCGTTTTCGAATCCTTTGAAATCTTTGGTGAATTCCACCAAAGCAAAGCCAGAATGTCCCTTGAAATTCCAAATGGGTTGGACTCTTGTTGGATTAAACCCTTTCTGGATTAGCTCATCACGTAAAGCTGCACCGCTTTTGCCAACTCTCCGACCAGATTTCTCAACCTCCGTTGGTACGTTAGCTACAAGACCAACCCATGGCCACACAAACTTTTCTTCAGAAGAGGCGTTTCTCTTCATCTCTGAAGTCCCCGCAGGCGAATCTTTGACTGGAAATTTCTGATTCTGTTCCGTCTCCATCTTAGAGCTTCACATAAAAGAGATTCGCAAATGAGTTTTCATTTCCACACACCATAACCAAACGCAGAAAATAAGATTAAACAGCAATATCTACTTTTTTTTCTTATTTCATATATTGCATGTCCAACACTAATAAGAATGACAAAATCATTTTTTTATTAAGACCACAGATTTTATTCTATATGAGGAAATTTCTTTGCTTATTCAGAGACAAACCTTATCAGGAAAAAGGTTGCAGAAACAGATGAGTCATGGATCTAACTAGTCAAAAATCAAGTATTTAGAACAACCAAAACGAAATGAGAAAAAGAAAAAAAAAATCATTTTGGGTTTAATCAGGACAAAAAATCTGGAGAAATGTATGATTCGCAGTCTTCACAAAAGGAAATCACTTTCTGTGAAGAAAACTCTAGAGAACTTCTATTCTCTCTTTTCTTCAGAGAATCCAGGAAAAAATCCTTTTGTTAGGGTTTAAAAAAAACTTGCAGAATGGAGAAGAGTTCATGGCTTTTATTAGTGAAAAAAATGCTTCTTCATAACATCCAGATACTAGAAATCGAAAAGAAAAAACAAAAAAAAAGGGGGGTTTGTTACCTACACCTGAAAGAATCGAAAAAAAAAGTTCAAGTCTTTGCAAGCAAAATGAGCCAAACTCGACCACACATTTTACCCAAAAAAACAAAGAGAGTAGAAGCCATACTCAATAAAAAGCAGAGACCTTTTGTTTCCCAATGTTCTTCTGGTGGGTGTAGTCACAAGAATAGCGTGTTAATTTTTCTCTTCCCCAACTCTTTAGTTTTCTTCCTCCCCCAAAATTGCTTTTTGACGACACAGAGCGTCGTAGATGATAGACAGAGCAACCTCAGTGGCAAAGCTGTAAATTTAGACAAACAGAGTGGGGAAAAGATAATAAAAAACAAACAAATCGTAAAAACATTTCCTTTTCCTTTTTCAAAAACTTGGGGCACAAGACAAAAATGGAAGCCTCGGGCTTACAGAGAAGACTAGAAGACCAATAAGAATTTCTAAATGGGGAAATCATTGCCTCATTGTCATTGGTCCTTGTACTTTTTTTTATTATTTTTTCGACAAACCTTGTTATTGTTAAGCTTACAAAAAATTAGGAGAAAAATTCAATGCGTCTGCCGGGAGTCGAACCCGGGTCTATTGCTTGGAAGGCAATTATCCTAACCGTTGGACTACAGACGCTTCATGTCTGTGAGTCACGTTTTGTTTTATCAATTATTTTGTTGATAGTCTTGCTTTTCTTGGCGATGAAATTTTTGGGCATTCATTGCTGGACAAAGAGTCGGAGAACACTGACGCTGGTGAGTGGTATATCCTATCTTCTCTGTGAAAAAAACGCAAGAAATTTTGAAGTAGGAAAAGCAAGCAAAAACATTCTCGTAAATCATAAGAGCAACTGCTGGATCTCAACACCTATTTCGTGTGTTATTCAACAATAAGCTTCATCATCAAGTCGTTTGCTTCCTCCATCTTCGCCTTTTTCTTTACCTCATTGTTCCATAGCTCTCCAACAACATAACCATCATTTATCTCTAGTCTTGCTCTTTACTATTTCCATGTAAAACTTCTTCACAGCAGTCTTTCTTCTCCTTAAACAATCTCTTATAATTTTGTCCACAATTTTCTGCATAAATGTCTAAGAACTGGAATCTTTTGTCCGAGCCTTGTCAAGCACTAGTTCTTGAAAAAGGGCAGTGATTCTAAACACAAAGTAAAAGACTTTGGAACAGAGAAAAAATTCCATCTCCAAGTATCCGAAAAAGAAGAGCTTTGTCGCTACACACAATCTTCGTTTTTTTTTAATCAGTAATGGGTCAAACGCAAACATATCCCATTATCACATTCCTCCAAAAAATAAAAGCTACAGTACAACTAACTTAAATCAGGTGAAGACTAAGCAAACATCGCCAAGATAATAACAGTAGATGCAACAACCCAAAAGTCGCCACCTCGTCCTCACAACAACAGTTTACTTGGGTTCTGGGTCGTGATAGCGGTAAAGGCAGTGCACCAATCTCGACTCACTGAATCTTGAACCTTGTCGTCCCCAAGAAAAGGTATCCAAGCTTCTTCTCCTGCGTTTGCCATAGACCAGCTTACCTTCTCTGGTGGATTCTCAAAATCAAATTTCAATGGCGGTGGTCTAGCTTTCCTGCTGGATCTATTGCTTACTTGGCCTTCAATATGCTGCAAAAATACAAGATTCCATTATGTATCAAGAGTTTGAGAAACGATGGTGAAAGGTTTAAACTTTAAAGCATGTTAACTCACGTCTGAATGGGAATCTGTGTTCTCAGCTTTCTTGCTGCTGCCTCCTCTTTTAGAGGTTCCATGTTCCAAGTAGTAGAGTACCTCGGTCCTGGACCGAAACTTACGGCCTGTAATTGGTTCGTAATAGTACTGCAATTAAACCGGACAAGACAATGTTAATTCGATCCAATAGATGAATCAAACTAATGGTAATCACCATACATCTAAAATCATTTCATTCTAAGCAATTTGTAATCTTTCTACTACAACAACACACTTCACAACTACGTAATTGCAAAAAGATTGTTGCTTTATCTAACAACAATGCATTGCAGCAGCGAGGAATCAAAATTCATAGCCAAAGACAACAAAAAGCAGCCAAAGAATCAAAGCCCCATTTCTTGTATGCTTCAGAGAGAAAGCAGTAATAGAGATGAGATTTTATACCTTATCCACCGAACCAGCTGTAGCACCGGAGGTTCGAACCTTATCTTCAACTCTCCAACCAGGAGGCAACCAATTGCTGTCTCCAGGCGCCGCACGCTTCCGCGACTTCGATTCCGCTTGATGAGCCGATCTATCCGGCGATGGATTCGTACCGTTCGACATACCGATTCGTACGCTCTCCCCCGAACCAGTAGCTCCGATTCCTCCCTGAACAGCTCGCCGCTTCGCACTACTGTCTAGGGTTACGTCACCGGCGGTGGTAGTCGAGGAGAGGAATGAACCGGAAGCGAGAAGGGGATCGGGTGGAAAATCGCCGGCGACAGATCCGGGTTGATTTCCGTTAGCCGACGGTGTGGAAGATGACATACGAATTAGGGGTTTTATCGTCACCAATGAGGAGATTTGCAGATTTTATCGGCATCGATCTCGAGCAAGTATCTTGCTTCAAAATTACTATTTCTGTTTCTGGATTTCTTATTCGGTTTAATGTAAACCGAAAATCGAATATAAAATTAGAATTTAGTTAACCATCAATTCCGCCAAACTATACCGAACGGTACTCATTTGACATCCACTTTTCGTCTCTTGTTCTTACCACACAAGCTAACTAACATAAACACTTGTATTAATTGTGCTACACCAACATTTAAAATTATGTCACAATTATCTACACCAACATTATGGAACATGTTTTGTCTTGGATACAATGTTTTTGTGTTTAATTGTTTTTTCACGCCAAAACGTTGCCGAATGACATGCCCTCGATGAGATTCCACTTTAACCCGAAGACACGTAGCTGAGCAGCTCATGCTTGCATCAAAATCGATCGTTCAGTAAAGTTGTCATATACATCAGTTAACCATAATATATAACTTTACACAATACAATTTAGTATCAAACTCGAATTTAACTATACGTATTCTCATTCCTAATGTAAACCAATCCATTTTAAAGAACACAAAGTATTGTCCAATAACTACCGGTTTATTGAATGAAAATAAATTTGATAAAATTAGCTACATATCCAAAATCAATTATATTAGCATTCTACAGTTCCTTCAGTTTTTTATTCCATCATAGTTGTGTTACATACAATATCAAACCCAAGAATTATGCAGAAAAAAAAAAATTTATCAAGAATCAAGCGCAAATTCATATAACCTTATTCAATCTTGACCTCCATTTTAACACTATAGAATCCTTTATCTGAGATCAAAATACTTATATAAATTTTAATATGTTTCTGAAAGTTCAATATATTTATATTGTTTCTTTTGTATCTCTTTGGTTGAAGTAAATATAACCAAATATGTATGAAAAACTCTATATTAAGCATTTAAAATCAACTAAGAAATTTCACATATAATTAGCAAATTAGAAAGAAAAGATATGAGTTCGCTGTAATATAAATAGCTAGTTTCATTGTATTGAGGAAAACAAAATCTGCACAATAGATGCACGTTGTTAGAATGTTATTCTTGAATTCACCCTAGATCCAGTTCTGATATAGCATAGGATTCTGACGTGAATGTTCTATTTTGTTACTGTTTCAGAAGAAGAAATTTGTTTTTGTTTTGAATTAGGTTGATGATGTGCATCTTACTAACTCCGAATCAGAAGACCTAGAATATGAAGACTTTGCTTTGCCAGATTGTCTTGGCAGTCTCCAATTTGCACATTAGGACTTCAAATGTTGATATGTAAATAACATTGTCTTTTTCTATTATATTTTGCATTTTTTGACTTGCGCGGGCCAAAAAGTTTCATTGAAACCTAAAATAAAATTTATGTCATAAATCAAAAAATAATTAGATCAAGAATTTGATACATACAAAATTAAAATAAACCTAATCTATGAAAGTAATCATTGTCTAATATTAAAATTTTTAAAATTAATACTAATAAGTGTATGAAATCAATAAACACAAACTAAAATAAGATTAATATGAATTATTCATCTTTTTCTTTTTTTATCTTTTAATTTTTTTTCTCTATCATTTTCTTCTTTCTTTCTTTTTTTTTTTGTTTTTTTGTTTTTTTTTCTTCTTTATTTTCTATGTCTTTTTTTTAATTTTTATTCTACTGGTTTTTTTTTCACGTCTTCTTCTTCTTCTCCACATCTTTTCCATTCTCCTCTCATACATCTTTTGATTTTCTTCTCTTCCAGGTTTTATTTCCTTTCTTCTTCTTCTTCTTCAATGTATTATTATTCTCTTTCTTCTTCTTTTTTTTCTTTTCTTTTTTCATTGCCATCGTCTTCTTTGTTATCACCGACTTCCTATTCTTCTGGTGTTTTTCGGCTTTTACATCATCTTCATATTTTTCTACTTTCTCCAATTTCTCATCTTTTAAGGTTTTCATCCAATTTTTTCTCTTCCCTATCTTCTTCTTCTTCTACTTTGTCTTCTATTTTATTTTATTTTTCTTCTTCAACAAATTCTTATTCTTCTTCTTCCAATTATTCTTACTCTCTCCAAATTCTTCATAATATTTTAAAGATCTTTGTCTTATCTGTTTTTTTACTCCTCTCATGGTTTATAATTTCCCTTTTTTAATT